AGATCTCCATTGTCAGACGTAACATATTAGTTGGCCTTATTAGGTCAAAAGGTCACAGGTCAAAATATAAACTTCAATTCATTATTTCTTCATTTTATGCATGACTTTTTTATTATTAAATACCGTTCAATTTTTTTTGTAAAAATACATTTCCCGTTCCGGCATGACCAATCTTTATTTATATAATTGAACATCCAAAGTTTCCAAGTATTGAAAAATCGACGTTAAACTCGCTCAAATTTTAATCTACCAAAACTCTTTAAAAAATGAGACTTTTCTTCTTTTTCTCCTTTATCATTATCATCCTTATTTTGTACAAATTTCCGAAATGACACCCAACCCAACTGATAATAAATAACAAGTAATAAATCTGTGGATAAATGCAAACTTTGCTTGCGGACTTTCCATTATTGTTTGGCCCAGTTTTCCCTTTTTCTTCGTCTCCATTGTTGATTTGTTCTTCTCTCGAGTCTTCTTAATCATCCCCCCGTTTCCATTGTCTCATGCCGTTTAGTTCTTGATAAATCGACCCAACAACAAATCCTACATTATGTTTTAATCTTTTGTTATTTTGTTTTTTGAGAAAAAAATATCTTCAAAAAAATTGCATTTCCTCGTTAGAAATGAATAGTTTGAACACGGATTTTTGTTATAAGTTACGATGACCAGTGGCGGAAGGGTGGGGACATCTGGGGACGTTAATATTGTAGGATAGGGAAAGGAGGGGTTTATATAACATTGATGGGGACATCGAACAACCGTGGGGGCAGTGTCCCTCTGTCCCCACGCTCCCGCGGCCACTGCATCATGTTCATACATCTGAGTAGCCTGAATTCTCTCAGTGGCCGCGGAAGCCGTGGGGACATCTGGGGACATTGCCATTGTAGGATGGGGGAGGGCAGGGTTTATATAAGACGGGGAGATGATGCCGACATCGAACAAGCGTGGGGACATTGCCCCTATTTTGTCCCCTCCCTTCCGCGACCACTGGTGATGATGATGATGATGACGCTGATCTCGTTCTGTCAATAAGAAAATCATCCATTATTTAAATACCAACACCTTCTTTCCGTATTAGCTTTTCCCAATTATTGATTGGCAGGTAGATTGAGAAATGACCATTCATGACAATTCGATGGTTTCCTTCTTCTCAAAAGTTTGTGAGACGTGGATTTGTGTAGTATAAATCTTGAGATTTGAGGAGATGCATAAGTGTACGATGTGTGGATTTGTGTTGAGATTTGTGGAGTGGAGATGCATACATAACATGTAAAAATGCTGCGTGTTCTGTTCTTCTCTTTCCTCTGACAGCACCGGAATTCCAAATGAGAAGTTTCAAATTGGAAGAATAAAATGAAAATGTCTTTCATGCAAACTGAACTTGCCTGTCTCACATTGCACAAGGTTTACATTCAACAATTCATATGTACATATGGGAACAATCAATGTATGTCACTGGGAGTATGTACATAAACGTGTGTTACATATGTTACCACGTATGAATGCATCATTTATTTTATGACCACAATACGCACACAATACGAATCTTCACTCTCGTTCGTTGAATGTCTTTCAAAAACCTAATTGTTTCACGTCTCGGAGGGAGAACAAGCAAATAAAAATGTGTCTGTCGCATATTTATGATTGACAAAAAGGTCGCTGCATACATGAAATGAATTAAAAAACTTGTGGCGTAATAACAGTTTTTCTTTGTAGAAGTGTCATTCATCCACTTTTTCATAGAAATGATGACAGGATATTTAGTAATTGGGGTAAACTGTGGTTCTTTTTATGAATGTGTGTACATACATCCAATTAGTAGATCGCGTCCTTGATTTATTTTTTTAGAATAATTTGTACTAATTTAATTATTAAGAAATTTTTCCACTTTCCCGAGAAATTCGTGCCCAATTAAGAAATTATTAAATTAGAGCATTTGTTAAGACAAAAGAAGACGTTAAAAAAATATGTCAACCATACCACATCACGTCTTTTTGGGGAGTGGTTAGTTAATAAATTATCGTGTCACCAGACCAGGCAAGAAAGTGAAGCCAATGCATTGTGTCGAATCGTCTTCTCATACATACACGAAATTAATTAGTTAATCATTATAATTTGGGAATGACTGGCATCATGACACACGAGACGTATCGTCAACAGTGGCCGCGGAAGGGTGTGGGGACAAAAGAGGGACAATGTCCCCACGGTTATTCGATGTCTGCATCATCTCCCCACCTTATATAAACCCCTCCCTCGCCTATCCTACAATGCTAATGTCCCCAGACGTCCCCACGGTTTCCGCGGCCAGTGATCTTCGGCCAAATTTAATTAAGACACTAATTTCGCCGGATTTTTCTTTAATTTTGGTTGAAGAAGTGATGTCAAATTTGAAGAAAACAAAATAATGTGGACGTGGATGCGACGACAGGGATAAAATTTTAATTATTTTGTAAATACTTTCTTCAGTTTCTTGGGTTGTAATGCGTGCGTGACATTTTTTTAACCGTGTGGAAAGATCAGTCACCTTGAAATCTCTTAATTACCGACCGACCGAGTGAATAGTTTACTGTCACATAAAGATTTTAAGAACTTGAAAGACATAAAAATCATCTTAGGACTCGATGGCTCATCGTCAAAATGCACAATTTCTCCCCTCTGGGAATTTATTTTAAAATTCTGGACGACGAATTTGTAGTCAGTGAGTTGATTAATGGAATGGCGTTGAGTTCTTTAAGCCAGTTTCGAAGAGTTCCAATTTTTCTGAAGGCTTCTTAAACTTGAGATCTCCTTCTTCAAAAAGTGTCAAAATCTGGAGTGAACATTTTTGTAATGTCAACTCCCTGCCCTACAAATTTGTCGTCCAGAATTTTAAAATAAATTCCCAGAGCCCAGAAATGATTATAAATGTACGGATTTTGACGATTAGTCATCGAGTCAAGAACATAAAAATCATCTCAATTCTTTAACAGTCTCAACTTTTTTTGAGAAAAGCGAGAAAAATATTTAACCTTAAATTCGATTTCTCATCTCATAAAAGTCTCATCATCATCAATTTTAAACAAAATTAGCTTCCTCTTAACTCACATTAAACCGTGAAACCATTTAATTTCACATTTCATTTTCGTATCCTCTTCCTTTCCGACACCATTAATCAGATTAGTACCAAAAATCTGACCTGATAGTCAGCATAATTGACACATTATGATCATCCCCAGTCAGTCAGTCCCATTAATGACGGCACACTTGTTATTAATACATATTGAATTCGTGTATCTGGAACATTTTAAATTATGTCTTGAATAAAAAAATGAATTGATTTGTCCTGATTTGCAGAATGTAGTATGATCTCGTGCCAAAAGTTACATAGTTGCTTATCCATCCACTTAATAAAGATAAGTCTACAGATACATATGCATTCATGGGGTACTTCACACGTAAGATTAGCGTATGTACATATGTAGATATGAACAATAGGTCGAATGGAACGCAACACTGGTTTTTAAGGCCGGACCACCGTTCTTCATTGTCGGTCAGCACGCAGAAATGCATTATTATTCTACTAAGCAAATACATACGTATACAAACCAAAATTTGTTAACTTAACGGGCTGCACACGCAGTTTTATTCTTTTTATTACGCTCTCTGTTTTGCAATATTAGCGGATTTTTTACAGTCTGCGTACACTTACACATATTTCTAGGCCAGAAGAGCCACCAATATAAAAAAAACGTTGACGGGATAATCTTTCTCTCTTCACTTATTCGGATTGGATTAAGATTTCGAGTACATAAATAAAGACACAGCACTTGCGATTCGAATGAAATGACACTTGGTTCAATTTAATAATAATTTTGTAAAGAACTAAATTTGGAAATTGGCCACGTTAATTTAATCCTCTTTTAAGCTCCCTGTGTCCATCCATTCATCGCGTAAATGGTGCCTTTGTACGTACAAAAGTACAAGTACAAACAAATATTAAATGAGATGATGATTTTATATTTATGAGCAGAGGGCGGATATGTATGTATTTTCATTTGATCACGACCGACGGTCAAACTTTGTGGGCGTGCTCCTTAACTCGTAGATATACATATTCAGAGCACAAAAATTTCAAAATAGTTTAACATATTTCTAAGTTTTTTTTTAGACATTTCAACTATTATTTCAAAAATTCATAAATCTTTTACATATTTTTTCAAAAATATTTATTTATTTTTTGGTAAATATTTCAACCATGTGAAACTAAATTCTTTTGTTTAAAGAAATTCAGCCACAGACTAATCCAGTCCATTATTTTATAATGTAAAATTTCTCAAAAATCCTTATTTTTATGTTTTATTTCATACATATTTCGTAAATATCTTCTGCGTTTTTTCGTAAATATTAAATTTCCGAAATTCTTCGCAAATAAATATCCGCCCTCGATCTGGCCATAATAGATAAGTAATGACGATGATGCTGATGATAATGCCTCTTCATGTGTGAACTTCAAGTTTTGAGTCTCAATAGCTATTTATTTATTTATTTATCGCGTCGTCTTCTTCTTTATACCCAATTTCATCCATGTGCATCCCATCCCATCCTTTTGTTCAGATTCCTAGGTGGGATGGGATGCGAACTTGAAGATGAAATTCATAAATGGATTCATACACATTTTGCCATTTAACAACCTACCTAAATGTGGGTCTTTAAAGAAAGAAGAAAAAACTGGTAGCCCAATTTCCTCCTACACAATTTCATGTTTACTCTTTCTTTATGGTGAAAAATAGATAGAAATAGAAAATGCTTTCAATCCTTAATAATCAGTTTCGTTTCGTTATTTTATTTACTTTCTAATGCTTTTAGAGCTCAAGGTGGGAGCAGAGCAGAAGGGTGGCAACTTTTTTTTAAAGAATGACAAACATGACCGAAAATTACATATTTATTTATGCACTAAAAAAAGTTACAGAAATAGAATTGGATTTAATTAAAGTGCGTTTTTTTCTATAAATTTCTTTCAGCTTCTCAGGAAAAAACTGACCAAGGATGAAATCGTCTCCATTTTTGGGAGACGAAACGGAATCGACGAGTCAGACTTTAACGATGGTAAGTTCATGACATGTAATTTTAGTTAATTGGTATTTATAATTAAGCAAAGCTAAGGAAGTTGTTTAACATTAGTTTAATTATTTTTGGTCGGTTGGTTTCGTAGAGTTTTCGAGAAATTAAGTCATTATTAAATTATGTGGGTTTATAAAAATTTATTTATTTGTGAGATTTCTGTGCCGTTTTTGAAAGAAATTTTCGTATTTTGCTGATAAATATAACGAGAAAAAAGGTATGTTGAAGGTATGTAAGTTTCACTAGTTTGTATGATAAAACCGGAAATTATGGGTATTTATTTATACCTGTTCAAAAATTGGAAAAAAATATTCACTGATTATTCATTTTTTCAAAATATTTGAAAGTAAATATTCATTTTTTATTCATTTTACCTTCATTTTAATTCATTTTAATTCGCCATAGTAGATGGATTTCTCAATATCCATCAATAGCGTGAAAAATGAAAATGAATAAGACAATTGTTTCTTAATTGTTCAAAAATTTTGAAACAATTTTCCATTCATTATTCATTCATGAATTTATTGAATAATGAATGAATCATTTATTCATTCTGTATTCAATAAACATATGTGAACAGGTACGGGTCGGATACATTCAATTCATGCATTGCAGTACATTTAGGCAATATCTTTTCGTTATGAGAATAATTAATTAGGAATTAATTTATTTGCGAGATTTCTGTGCCGTTTTTAAGAGATTGTCGTGTTTCGCAAATAAATATAACGAGAAAAAGATGTGTGGTGCAGATTCAGATTCCACTTTGTCATTCAGAACTCATTCAATTCAAAAATTGGAAGAATTATTCACTGATTATTCATTGCTTCAAAATTTGAAAATCATCCATTATTCATTTTTTCTTCATTTTGTCTTAAATTCGCCTTATTAGATGGGTTTCTTAATATACCCATATATTAATTATAGCGTAAAAAATACTAAATAATGAATAAAACTATTCATTATTCATTCTTCATGAATTTGAAATGAGCAAACATTTGTGCAAAAATGTTGACTAAAATTATTTACCTTCATAAAGCTAATGAATGAATAATTTATTCATTCTCTATTGAATAAATGAATGTGAACAGGTATGGTATGGATAGGATTGCAGTGGCCACGGAAGGGTGTGGACAGAGGGGCAATGTCCCCACGGTTGTTCGATGGCCCCATCATCTTCCCATGTTATGTAAACCCCTCCCTCCCCTACCCTACAATGTTAATGTCCCCATAAACTCTCTTATCAACCCCCTCTGGAAATTGTACGCATGGATTGGATGTACCCTACCAGTGGCCGCGGAAGCCGTAGGGACATCTGGGGACATTAACATTGTAGGATGGGGGTTTAACATGGGCAGGCGATGGGGACATAGAATAACGATGGGGACATTGTCCCAATGTCTCCACGCTTCCGCGGCCACTGCATTATCTTCATGCATTTGAGTAGCCTGAATTCTCCCAGTGGCCGGGGAAGCCCTTGGGACACCTAGGATAGGGGAGGGAGGGGTTTATATAACATGGGGAGATGATGCAGACATTGAACAACCGTGACGAAAAGCGTCCCTCTGTTCCACCCTTCCGCGGTCACTGCACCCTACCCATAATTTCAATTTAGGTTGGTCGGAGAATTGTCCAGTTTTATCATAAGCGTATTTGCAGAGTACTGTTCAACACAGCTTCTCATCTTTTTCTTGTTAAATTTATTCGCAAACTGCAAAAATCTCTTCAACGGCGCATAAATCTATAGATAAATTAATTGTGACTGGTTCTCTTATTTAGTAAGGAAAGGATGTTGCGTAAATTGGAGAAGCGTGTCGAAAAGCAATTGTTCCGGATCATGACCAGCTTTTAACTGTTTAGTTTACTTGTAGTAGCCAGTGGCCGCGGAAGCCGTGGGGACATGTGGGGACATTAACTTCGTTGGGTAGGGAAGGGGTTTATGTAACATGTGGTGCAGAGGTTGTAGGTCGAATTGCATAATTTTTTAGGGATAATGCAATATGGTATAATTTTTTTGGCATAAGACAAATTGGTATAAGGGTATATAAGGGATAATTAAAAAATGGATAATTATACGAAAATCAAAATTAAATTTTAAATTAAATTTTAAACAGTAATTTACTTGTGAAGGCATTTTCCAATACCCTTGAGATAGTCGAAAGTGTCAAAATCAGTGTTGTACTTATGATTCTACAATCAAGAGGAGTTGGTTATCCAGGTCCCTGTTCTTATGCTGTGGCTCGACTTGCTCAGATTTCAATTTTTCGATTTCCAAATTCCAATGGCTTTGTTCATTTAGTAAAATTTTAATGGCTTTCCACGTATGTAGTATTTATGCGTAAATGCTAACCCTCCACGGCATTGTTGGAACGAGGGACTTTGTCGTGGTAGCGTTTTCAGTGGACATGGTTGTGAAAGTGACTGTGGAGTGAATTCAATTCGAATGAATGTAGAATTCAAGGAAAGAAGGAATGAAATGAATTTTGGTCCCTTTAAAGCTTAAAATATAATTATCCCTAATAGAATTATCCCTGAGTTTCATTATACCAAATGGTTCCCTTAAATTATACCAACAATATTATACCAAATCAAATTATACCAAATTGTCGTTATACCAAAAAAATTATGCAATTCGACCGCACACCGGTGCAGACATCAAACAACCGTTGGGACATTTACTGGTATGAATAAACTCGGGCAAAAGCTCCGGGGAAAGGGGAAAAGGGAAAGGCTATAGCCTGTGGCAAAGGGTCAAGGGAAAGGGAAATGCCCTTAGGTTATAAAGTTAGGGCAATTCCCCTAACTTTAATTACATGTAATTGAAATAATACCATCGCAACGAAGACAAATGCATTTCCCAAAATTTCTCTGACCATGTTTTTGATCAAATTCTTCAAGAAATGTACCCCTAGTGACCCCCACTGGTTTGTAATGTTGGTTAAAAAAGCTGAAATTCGGCACAGGCACATCTCAGAATTGCAAAATTTTGTGAACACCCTCCAAACTCACTCAGACTATCCCGAAAAACATTTTCAAATGCTAGTCAAAAATCAAATTATTCTCGGAGTTTAAAAACGCTTGTACGATTTTAGTCCCAGTTGTTTAATAATAGACAAGCGCACCAGGCCTATTATGTTATAAGTTAGCCCACATGGACAGACCTGCAGCTCAAAATGCTTAAAAAGTTCCAGTCACCCTCCAGTCACTGTATGTAGACTACGTTCGCCAGTAATACAGTGACTGGAGGGTGACTGGAACTTTTTAAGCATTTTGAGTATTGCAATCTTAATAACTATGAACATGACAGCCTCCACATTTGTACATGCAGGCCTATCCGTCTGTGTATCTAAGTAAGTATTCTCCAAATCTGTGATAATAGAGGACCTTTTTTGCTGTGGACCCTCTGAAACATTTGTATTTAAATTTTGATAAATTATAATATTAGCTAGTGAAGTACGTCCAAACAATGCCAAAAATGGGTGCTAAAAAAATCCGTATGTCAAGGGTACCTCTAAGGGACCCATTCTATCTTTTACACATATCCCTTCATTGTGGGATAACCAAAAGTCGTATCAACATGGGGTTTGGATATTTTTTTATCTAAATGCCATTGTCTAAAACGAAGTTCAGTAAGGAGCCGCTACGTAACTTTTTTGTCCCCAAGTTTGACCTCTATAAAAATTAAGTTTTACAGTTTATTAGCATGCCAATTTTAGCGAAATACATGTAAATTTAAAAGGTCAAACTTTGTCCATAGCAAAAAAAGTCCTCAATATCAACTCATTTTTGAACTTTTATAGATTTTCGAAATTTTTCTAACCAGGAAAAAAATTAAAATTCTAACGTCCTAACTTTGTATAGGCCTAAAAATCATCCAATTATTGTAAAAAAAACGCACGGCGATAAACAGGTTTCAAAATCGCCTTTAAATGGAAGAAGGGAAAATTGAGACAAAAATTCAAGCTCAAAACCTGCACGCAATAGACCCTTTTAGTAAAAGATGAATAAATGAGCGAAAGCTGAATTTTTCCAAAATTTTTAAAATTTTCAACATTTGTAATTACATAAGTGCATTTAAGTGCAACTTGGGCGATACCGGTAGCTTTACCAGTTGGATATCGAGCCCGAAATTTGAATTTAAAAATAGTTTCAGAAAATATTTTCAGGTTTTTAATGAAAATATAAAATAAATTTTTTTGATGTTGATAGCAAATAAAAATCTGCATAGTATGTCGATAGATCTTGTTTTGTAAGTTTTAAGGCCCTAACAAGTCCAACTAGTGTCCAACGTTCATAAAAAGTACAGCAGATGCTTAAAAACTAAGGTTTACTGCTAATTCCGTTAGTTGGGGTCAGCATAATAGCTGATCGGTAAATTTTGGGGAGATTGCCTGAAGGAAAGGCTTTCACCTTGGTTTTATTCATACGAAAATCCCCGTCTCCAGGGAAAATCTTGAGGTTGAGGGAGAAGCTATTCCCTTTTTCCTTTCCCTCGGGGAAAAGCAAATGCCTAAATTTTTATTCATATAATTACGGGAATTTCCCCGATTTTTTCCGGAAAAGGGATTTCCCTGGTTTTATTCATACCAGTCATTGTCCCTCTGTCCCCACACACGCTTTCGCGGTCACTGCATCATGTACATACATTTGAGTAGCCTGAATTCTCCCAGTGGCCGCGGAAGCCGTGGGGGCATCTGGGGACATTAACATTGTAGGATTGGGGAGGCAGGGGTTTATATAACATGGGGAGACGATGGGGACATCGAATAACCGTGGGGACATTGCCCCTCTGTCCCCACCCATGCTTCCGCGGCCACTGCTTGTAGCACAATTTTGTCAATTTTTTGTCGCAGACTGTAAATATTTATATAACATTTTATGCAAATTTAATTAACAAGCATTTACTTAAGTAAGATACACAAATTATCAAGATACACAAATACAACCAGCTTTATATACATGGAGTCCAGACGTGTTTTTTTACTTTATTATTTTGCAATTTATTAAATATACAAATCCAGAACGAAATTAAATATGCGAAATTCCAACTTAGAAATCACTTTTAGCAAAATTTTGTCCATTTAAATATTTACAGAGGACAACATTTCATGCTAATTCGATTAATTAAATATTAATTAATTAATTAAAATAAATTCAATTAATCAAAATAAATAATATCCTATTTTAAAAGTTTCAAAGTCCTTCCTCATTGTTTTATTTCAATAATTTAAAATTTAAAAAACCACCACCACCAAATTAAATTTGCATGTACGCACGAACGAAATATGCAAAGTTCGATTCATTTCATCTTAAAAATCTCTTTTACACAATTTTGCCCACTTAAATGTTTGCAGATTATAAAAATTCCGTGCTAATTTAATTGATTAATTGTTTAATTAATTACCAAAATAATTATGTAGCCTCCAATTTTAAAAGTTTAAAAGTCCTTCCTCCTCATTTTTTTTACTCTAATTTTTTAAAATTCAGAAAACCATCACAAAATTAAATTCGCATGTGCAAAATTCGATTCATTCCACCCTTGAACACGTTTGCATTAGAGATTTGCTAAAGTGATTAATTTGGATTAATTTCAGTGCCAAATTTTGACATAATTCAACCAAAAATGACCTTGCACCGGAAAGCACGTGGAAAAAGGTCACCCGATTTGTCCTCCAGTACGACGCTCATTCAGCTTCAAGGACTTGGACGAACCTTTCATCTTCGCGTGACGCCAAATCAAAATTTATTGGATCCGCATTTCGTCTTTTTGAAAAGAAATCAAAATCAGAGTGAAATCATGCCCGATTTTCATGTGAGGAAAGAAATCCCATGTTTTTATCAGGGAAAAGGACAGCATTTTCGGAACGGGGATGATTTAAATTCTTCCAGAAGAGTTGATGCATCAGTTGCGCTCAGTTTGTGTGGTGGATTGGTAAGTTGATTGATAAGTAAAATTGTCATTCTTATCAATGTAAGAGGCGATAACTCATCGTTAAAATCAGCACATTTTTAATCATTTCTCCCCTCTGGGAATTTATTTTAAAATTCTGACCGACAAATTTGCGGAGCAGGGAGTTGCCAATTTTTTGGAAATATACACTCCAGATTTTGACACTTTTTGAAGGAGGAGATCTCAAGGTTAAGAAACCTTCAGAAAAATTGGAACTCGTCGAAACTGGTTCAAAAAACTCAGAGCCATTATTTTAATCAACTCACTGACTACAAATTTGTCGTCCAGAATTTTTAAATAAATTCCCAGAGGAGAGAAACGATTAAAAAATTTCTGATTTTCACTCATCGAGTCCTACATTAATTAACCTACAAGCGTAAATATTTTACTAACTAGATTCCTAAACATTTGTGGTTTTGTGACGGAACTATTTATCATTGAGACAATTATCATACCCCACTTTTCAAAAAAATTGGGGTTTATATGTGAATTCCGGTGGTCTTTGTGTGTATGCAAAAATATTTCATGTATGCAAACTATGGCGTGGCGTGGCATAGTTCAGTTCATTCACATTACGGTACATAACATATCATGCAATCGCTTCTATAGAAAAATTGGACACCAAATGTCATCCTCTTTCCTTCCTTACGTAAAATCTGGCCTAAACCAGTACATATTTATTTAATTTTCGACCAGACATGAGAATGCAATGCTCAGGTAGCTCACCATGCGAATAAATGAGCAAATAATGTCACACACAATGGATTACAGTAAGGAACGATATGCGTTTCACTCATTGTGTCAAGTTTTAGCTTTTTTCGATGATACACACATTTAGGTTACGTTACGTTACACAATTACTACTCTACAGGTGTATGTACATAATATGTAAATACGTACATATTTTATGATGATGACCTGATGAGCTGCAGTGCTGCACCATGTCCGTATTTGTAGTATATCTATTTATATATGTACATACATGTACACATTTCGCAGGAAATTAATACGCGTTCCACCTTCACGGTTTAATACGATATGCAATGCACTCAAAATAATTGGCAAGCACAACTCGATCATTGTTTTCATTTCACCCTCAATTTCCTGATTGATGTTTGTTGACGCTATTTACACATAATTTACAGAAAGGGTTCATCCTCCCCACCTCCATTCAACCGGACGATGACGATTTAGACGGGTCCACTACCACTCCTAATGATGACTCTAACTATTCTAATCACCATTATGTCATTCACCCAATTCCAACCAGATTCCACAATTCATTTACAAACTCAACCCAGCGGAAGAAGGATGACGACCAGCGTGACGAAAATGAGCACGAACGCCACCACTTTTTGTTCAGGTTGACATCCCCACCACAAAATACGCCTAAAAACAACTTAGATTCTCCTCAAAACGATGCTTCCTGTGGACATAAGCATGATAAGGTCTTATCCCGGAAACCGAGATCCGCCTCGCCCGATAACCCCTTTGGCGGCAGCAATTTGGACCCTTTTGATTCCTACTGGTTCCACCAATACCAACAACCCACCCGCAGTAATCTCTTTACCCATCCGTCCTCCGTCTTCCCGTCGTCGTACTGGGGGCCCAAATCGTCCTCCGAACAAAGGGGGTCTTCATCCCCTTTCAGTCCGGGCATCACCGGCGCGGCCAATATCGGGCTGACTTTCGCGCGCAGAAATTATTACGAGGTGGACGATCCCCGCGATCACGAGGGCAGCGCGACAAATAAGGGCGACGATTGGTCGGTACGTCGCCGAAAAAGTGACGACGACGATCAACGCGTCTTGCTCTACGAATCGACCGCCGATGGCGCCGGCGCTTCTTCGGAAGACGAACCCGACACGATTCTCCCCTTTTACACGAAAGGCCGGAAAAAATCGGGCTCGCGAAGTACCAAAGTTTTAAAAACGTCGACCCGTTGGATTCCCACGTCGGGCGAGATGCAACGCCAAAACCAAAATTATTCGGAGTCAAATTCCTGGTCCAAATACAACCGAAAAGGACGCCGGGATGAAAACTATTTCGGGGCGGATTATAAATCCCACCCGTTGGATGATACGGACCGGATTTTTTCCGAAAAACGGGGCCGGTACGATAATTCGGAGTCGAATTCGATCTACTCGAGAGAAACGACGGCGTCGATGGATAACAAGAATAGTTTGAACGTCGATAAGCCTCCATCCCAGCTGACCATTGAAACAGCTGTTTTCGTCGATAAGGACTTGTTTAAACATATGCAGTCGAATTTTCCGGATGATACGCACGGGGAAGTTGTGAGGATCGTGTTGGCCATGATTAATGCGGTGCAGCTGCTTTATCAAGATCCTTCGCTCGGACATCGGGTAGATTTCGTGCTGAAAAGGCTCGAGGTTTTGGAAACGGATCCGCCCGGACTTCTCCGACCGTATGATATTGACAGGTATGGCGAAAATGGATATTTTTTAAAATGCAAAAAAGGGGACTTTGGAAAAAGTAATAATGTTATTTTTTTTCTGTTTAGATTTCTAACTAATTTTTGCAAATGGCAAAAAACTGAAAATCCTCCGAGTGATGCGGGTACGTAATAAAGAATAAGTTATAAATCGTGTTTCGGGTGCAAATAACCACTTGCGAGAAATAACGGGGAGAAGAAAACCAATTTTTTGTGGTCCATGGTCTGGCCCATGGTTCATTGCGAGCTATGGTTGGAAGAGAACAATCTGGTCTTAATTTTAATATTCAGATATTACAAGAATTCGAAAATCGGCGTGCCAATCCATCAAATTTTCAAAATCTAGAAAAAAATCATAAAAAACGCAGTTTCCGATTGGGAGGATGGTAAATAGTTTATCATACCGCGCATGGCAAGATGGCGCATATTTCATGCACTTTCTCCCAGTTTCTTGCACCTCGCATTTTTGATTTCCAGTGCAAGAAATGTAGTAAACCCGTAGGAAATGAAACACTAGTTATAAATTTGCATAATAAAAATTCGCTACTTTGCATAATAATTTACATACTTCAATTATTTAAAGATCCTCTCCACTGGGATCACGCCTTGATATTGACCGGCCTCGACCTCTACGTGGTCCACCAGTCGGGCAAGATAAGCAATCAGGTCGTCGGTCTGGCCCCCGTGGCTGGAATGTGTACCCGCTCCAGCAGCTGTACCGTCAACGAGGGACGCCATTTCGAATCCGTTTTCGTCATTAGTCACGAAATTGGGCACAATCTGGGGATGAGACATGGTAAAAATATTTATTCTGATGAGAGGACGGTTATGTATTTAATTTCAGCTTTTTAATTTAATGACGAATAACGGTCAATCTTTGTGGGTGTATTCCTTAACTCGAATAAGCCACAAAAATTTCAAAATATTTTTTTACATATTGCCACATATTTCTAGGTTTTCAGAAATATAAGTATTTCCACTATTTGAAAACTACGTACTATAATCTTTTACATATTGTTTTAATACATACATTTTGTAAATATTTCAACGATGTGAGACCAAATTTGCGTGTTCAAACAAATTGGACCTTAAAAATCCAGTGGACTAAATTCATAAATTCAAATTTTCCAAAAACAATTCTTATCTTTATGGTTTTTCCGTACATATCTCGGAAATATTTCGGAAATATTTTGACGTTTTTTCGTAAACACCAAGTACAAATTTTTCGGAAATCTTATTTTGATATTTGTCTTGTATATATTTCGGAAATATTTTGGCAGTTTTTCCGTAAATATTAGATGCATATTTTTCGTAAATACATAGCCGCCTTCTGTTTCTGGAGGCCATCTGAATATCAAAATTTTGACCTTTTTCTCATCCCCTTTAGACGGCCCCCAAGCCGACAACGATTGCGATCCTACTTCCCACATAATGAGTCCGACGCTCGGCAGTGGAAAAATCACGTGGTCCCCATGCAGCCGGAAATATTTGGACATGTTCCTCGAAACCAGTCAGTCCAAGTGTTTGCTCGATAAGGGAAAGTCCGAGTTGAGATTGGACCACGACGCGGATGGACGACTTCCTGGCGAACGATTCGATGCTGATCGACAATGTAAATGCATCAGTTCAAAAAAAAATTTAAATTTTAAAATTTTAAAATTTAAAATTTTAAAAATTTCGATTTATTTCCAGGCGTTTTGAAATATGGTCGCGGCTCCTTTCACGCCACGCAGCAACCGCTCGAAGACGTTTGTCGCGACCTCCACTGCAGAAGGGAGCACTACACGTGGACGAGGTGAGTTAATAAATAATAATTAACAGGGGGCGGATATGTATTCATAGATTTGCAGAAATAATATTTCAAAATATTTTTGCATATTTCATTTTCACATAAGTTTTCAAACATATACATAAATTTCTGTTTTATTCGACAAATGCATAAAGTTCCACATTTTTTGCAAACTATAGAGCTAAATTTGGCACATTATCATACAAAAATTGATAAGACACCTGTTTTTTAAATTACATAACTTTAGATTTTGCATATTTCCTATATAACTTTACATATTTTTTTAAATACATAAATTTGGTAAATATTTCAACGATATGAGACGAAATTTTTTTGCTGAGAGAAATTGGACCTCACAAAATTCTGAGTATGAAAATCCTTATTTTTCGAAAATTCTTATTTTTTGTACATACTTCGTAAATATTTTAGTAATTTTAGCGTTTTTCATTAATATTAAATGCATATTTGAATATTTGAAGAATTTCTCGTAAATACATTTGACTTGTAATGAGTGCGACACCGGTTGTAAGAATTTGCAAAATTGAATTAGTCATTAACCACTTTTAGATGATATTTATGTCTAATTAAATAAATTAGGAATATTCCAATGTTGTAAAAGAAGCTAAATTTGACACATTTTCATATAAAAATTTCGTACAAAAATGTTTTTTTCTAAAATTGCACAACTTTATATTTTGCATATTTCCTATAAAACTTTCCATATTTTTTTTTAAATAAATAAATTTTGCAAATATTTCAACGATGTTAGACGAATTTTTGTTGCACAAAGAAATTCAACCACATAAAAAATCCAGAGTATTACATTAAGAAATACAGAATTTGCAAAAATTCTTATTTTTTTGTACATATTACACAAATATTTTGACGATTTTTTTCGTATTTAAATATTAAAGGCATAAATTTCAGCGATTTTTGCATATCCGCCCCCTGTGATAATTAAGTATAAACACGATTAAATTAACTTATTATGATCTAACCCAACAGCCACCCAGCCTTGGAAGGGACCTATTGCGGATCTGACATGGTATGCAATTACGTGCAAAAAAATATTTTTTGCACGCAAATATTTTTCATATTTCAAATTTATTTACATTTTTTTAGTGGTGCCGTTCTGGAAAATGTGTCGGAAAATCGACCTACAATCACTACCCGGTCCAAACCGATCACGCCCACGAATCCGGGCGAAATGGCGACTTTATCCAGTCCAACCATCTTCCGGGCAGTGAAACGGCGGCGTATTCCGTGCAAAAAGCGGTCGACGGGGTTTGGGGGCAGTGGTCACTTTTTACCGATTGTTCCTCCGCATGTCTTTACTCGGAGGATGGCAGCTTGACGATGGGGTCGACCGGAGTCAGATTAGCCGCGAGAAGATGTGATAGTCCAAGGTATTATTTTTTTTAGCCCGAGCCAGAGCTTATGCTTCTTTTAATTTTTGGCAAAAATGAGCAAAACTTTGTTCAAATTTTAACTAAATTCAAAAATACCTCGAATTTGTGAATTTATTCAAATTCGTAACATTTTTACCGATGCAGATAAAAAGAATGTTAATAAAAATTTGTGGCAAAAATGAGCAAAATTTGTGGCAAAAATGAGCAAAATTTTTGTCCAAATCATGTCCTTTCTAGCCCGAATCAGGGCTTATGGACCCGTCATGATTCTCTGTATGTCAATAGATCGATTACGATCGTAAAACTTGCTCAATCGATAATGTCAGAAAGAGAAGAATTTTGTAGACTTGCGAAATTTTAAGAAATGTTGATTTTGGTAGATTTGGACGCCACTAGAAATACGGCAGTATTTGCGAATAACAGTTTATTTTATGTAGATTTAAACGATGTTGGGCACAATAACACTTTCTTGCAAAAATGAGAACCGTTTGACCCGATTCTGTACTTAGGTACCCGTCATGATTGTCTGTCTGTCTGTCTATCGATTACGTTCATAACACTTACTTTCCCATCTGCAATGGGTATTTGTAAGAAAGAGAAGCATCTTGTAGACTTGAGGACTTTTTTCAGAAATTTAAATTTTGGTAGATTTGGACGCCATTTGGGATTTGGTAGGATTTGCAAATACCAGTTTAGCATATGTAGATTTTGGATGTGGCGATATTTGGCACAAGGTTAATATAAATTTCTGGGCAAAAATTTTGTGCAAATCGTGTCCTCCGATTCAGTACTTATGTACCTGTCATGGATGTCCGTCAGTCTGTCCATCGAATACGCTTGTAAAATTTGTCTAGTCGATAACGTCTCTTTGTCAGAAAGAGAAGACCTTTTAAAAGAAATTGACTTGCGGAATTTTCAGAAATTCAAATTTTTTGTGAATTTATTACACTTATTAAAATTTGGTAGACTTGGACCCCAATAGGAATATGGTAGGATTTGCAAATGGCAGTTTAGTATATGCAAATTTGTAGGGTTTGGCCATTGGTACTCGAGAAAGTTTGTGGCAAAAATTGAGCAAGAATTTTGTCCAATCAAAATTGTGTCCGAGTCAGGGCTTATGATCCCGTCATGATTGTCTGTCTGTCTATCGATTATTACACTTGTAAAACTTGTGCACAACAACAATGCCAGAAGTTTGTAGATATTTACTTAAGTGGATTAGCTGGATTTTCGGAAATTTAAATTTTTGTAGATTTGGACGCCATTAGGAATATGGTAAGATTTGCAAATATCAGTTTTAACATAGGTATGTAGATCTTTGATGTTGGCCACAATTTCGTGCAAAAATGAGCAAAAATTTTGTCCATTAGTCGTGTCCTTTATTGCTAGATGAAGTACTTATCTTTCATGGTTATCTTTCTGCCTATCGATCGATTACCCTCGTAAAACTTGTCCAATTGAAAATGTCTCTTTGTTATTTAATAAATTTGTATAGGATTTTCAGAAATTTAAATTTTGGTAGATTTGGACGCCATTAGGAATATAGTGTAGGATTCGTAAATGTTAGTTTAGTATATAGATTTGGAAAATTGATGGCAGTAGTGCAAATAATGTTAATACAATAAATTTCTGAGAAAGATTACAAAAAATGTGTCCAAATCGTGTCCTTTTAAATTAGAAAATTCAGAACATGTGCAAACTTATGACATTGAAATTTTTAAATTTTGATAGATTTGGAGTCCAAATTTTGGACGCCACTGGTCAGGATTTCAAAATGGCATATAGATTTTCTACAATTGCTGACAAAAATTGCCAAAATCGAGTCATCTATAACTATAAAATTCAGAAATGTCTCAAATTTAATTGAAATTTTTAAATTTTGGTAGATTTCGACGCCTTTCGGAAGATTTCCAAATGACAGTGTAGTATGTATAGATTTTTTTTTAATTTTTTGCAAAAATGAGAAAAGTTTGTCCAATGTCGTGTCCAGTTAGAAAACTGGAAAATTCAGAAATATCTCGAATTTGTGACTTTATTAAAATTTTGAAAGTTTGGTAGATTTTTACGCCATAAGGAATAAGACAATATTTATAAATGAGAGGTTAGTATATATAGATTGTTTTAAAGTTTGGCAAAAGGGAGGAAAAAAATTGTCCAAAGCGGGTTATTTTTACTTAGAAAATTCAGAAATTTTTCAAACTTGTGAATTTATTGAAATTTGTAGAATTTGGTAGATTTTAAACGCCATTAGGAATACGGTAGATTTCCAAATAGCATGTAGATTAGTATATAGATTTGGAAAAAATTATGGATCAGTGCAAGTAATGTTAATGAAAATTTCAGACAAAAATTAACAAAAATGTGTCCAAATCGTGTCCTTTTAAATTAGAAAATTCAAAAACTTGAAATTTAAAATTTTCGCAAATTTTAACGCCATTAGGAATACGTTTAGATTTCCAAATGGTAGTTTGGTATTGTATATAGATTTTCTACATTTCTGAAAGCAACGAGTAAAAAAATTGGCAAAATCAAGTCCTTTTTAACTACTCGGAAATCTCTCAAATTTAGGAATTTATTGAAATTTTTAAATTTTGCTAGATTTAGATGCCGTTAAGAATACGGTAGGATTTGCAATTTAAGTATATGCAGATCTCAATGATTTGCCCATTCCGTACTAAACATTTTAATAACAATTTCTGGCAAAAATTAGAAAAATTATGGCCAACTCGTGTCTGAGTCAGGGCTAATATACCCGTCCTGGTTGTCTGTCTGTCTATCGTAAAACTTGTCCAATCGATTTGAAATTTTGCAGACACGCAGAACATGCAAAATTAGGAATCAATTTGGACTTTTTCTAAATTTTTTATGAAAAATGCGTAAAAATTACGACACAATTTTAATTTTCTTCCAGACCCGAAAATGGTGGCAGACAATGTTCCGGTCCGGACAGGAGATACAAAACTTGCTCAAATTCAAAAGTAATTAATCTTAATCTCCAAACTGTTTAATTACTCCAATTAAATATTTCTTAATTAACCTATTTACATTGACTTCAAGGTGTCCAAAATCTGCTCTGCCAACGTGGCACGGACAACGATTAGTCAATACGCGAACGACGTGTGTAACCGAGCCGCGACGGCGGACAATGAGTTAACCGGGGCTGGATTTATGATGAGCACGAATGACGGTAAGTACAATTAAAATTCTTCATTATAATCAGTGGCCGCGGAAGCCGTGGGGACATTAACATTATAGGGGAGGGAATGGGATGGGGGAGGGAAGGGGTTTGTATAAGATGGTCAGATGATGGGGACACCGAACAACCGTAGGGACATTGGCACATTTCCGCGGCCACTGCATCATGTTCATACATTTGAATAGCCAGACTTCTCCCAGTGGCCGCGGAAGCCGTGGGGACATCTGGGGACATTAAAATTGTAGGATAGGGGAGGCAGGGGTATATATAAGAAGGGGAGATGATGCGCACATCGAACAACCGTGGGGACACTGTCCCTCTTTCCCCACCCTTCCGCGGCCACTGATACCCACCCATCTTATATAAACCCCTCCCTCCCCCATCCTATAATGTTAATGTCCCCACCGCTTCCGCCGTCACTGATTACATACATACGTTCACAGGCAGAGCATTGACTAGGACATTTCAGTGGCCGCGGAAGCGTTCGTAGGGACAGAGGGACAATGTCCCCACAATTATTCAATGTCCCCATAATCTACGCCCATGTTATTCTGGATAGATTATCCGCATGTTTACGAAAATTATGTGTGGTGACAGAAATTTATTAATTTACGATATTTCTGCGCCGATTTAGAGATTTACATACGTTGCGAATAATTATAATGAGAAAAAGATCCAAAACTGTGTTGTATTGGAGTATGCAAATACGGAGAAAAAGATCTGAAAGTGCTCTGGCTTTCTGCAACGGAAGTGAAAGTTATTTTTCGAAAAGAAAGTTAAGTTTCGAATGACGTGAAAATTTAAAACAAGTTAAATTCAGAAAATTAAATATGCTATGGTTATCTGGGGGTGGTCTGGTGGTTATCTTGGGGTAGAAGTTATACCTGTTCACATTCATTTATTCGATACAAAATGAGTAAATAATTATTCATTAATTATTTAATGAAGGTAAATAATATTTTCAAAGTTTTTACATGAATGCATTTTTCATAAATTTTAAGTGCATAATTGTTCCAATTTTTGAATTTTTAATAGTTTTAAATGAAAAAAAAATATTTGCAACAGGCCTGAATAATACATTTGAGCGTACTCACGTCAACCTTCGCATATCTCGCATATCTCGCAAATTGAGCATAGCAACATAACTTGCGAAGTTTTGCGAGATATGCGAGATTTCGCAAAAAAATTGCTGGAAAATCATGGGATTTTTTTTTCGCAAATTTACCCAGCAATTGAGCATGTCCTTATTTCGCAAAGTAATTCTGCAAGAGAAATTGCAGAAATCCATGGAAACAATACCAAAATAGGTGTTTTTCTGTAGATTTGCGAAATAAGAGAGTTTTGCGAAGTCATATTTTGCGAATCCCCTCACGACACAAATATTTTGATCTTCGCAAGTTTGCTAAATGAGTTGCGATGCGAAATAAGAAGTTGTCGTGAGTACGCCCAGTGGGCGTATAAGTGGCCGAAAATTCCCATTTTTCTCGTGAAGTTTTTCATTTTTTTTTGTTTTTGAGGGAGAAAAATGCGAATTTTCGGCCACTTATACCATCATAACTTTGTTTAAACGAGCATTATAAAAAATCCCGAAATATGTGTTAAATTATTTACCTAAGGCTACATAATTATCAAAGTTTCATCAAAAATCGGAGCGAGACGGCTGGTATCATCGCATAGTCAGTAATACTAGAACGTCTCGAAATCTTTTCATCGTTATAAGTATTCGCGAAATACGTAAATCTCTAAATCGACGCAGAAATCTCGCAAATAAATACATTTTTGTAAGCACACATAATTTACATAAACATGTGGATAATCTATATCCAGAATAACATGGGCGTAGATTATGGGGACATCCAATAACCGTGGGGACATTGTCCCTCTGTCCCTACGAATGCTTCCGCGGCCACTGAAATGTAATTAAATTTACTCAAAAAAATGTACTATTTTAGCCGAGCGAGCGTGTTCCGTGTGGTGCGAAACATTAGACAACGGCGTTCCGCGAAGTAGAGGGTGGAGCTTTCCGGATGGAACTGGGTGCCAACTTATCTCCCAAAGTAAAGCGCAAAGATACTGCGTGGCAGGAAAATGTCAGGTAAATAAAGTGGGGGTTGAAAATTTAAAAATTTTATAAACAGAGGGCGGCTATGTATTTATTGTCAAGTTTTTTATTTGATGATCGACGGTCAAACTTTGTGGGTGTGTTTCCTAAAATCACTAAAATTTCAAAATTTTTATTTTAACATATTTCTAGGTTTTCATACATATCAATATTTCCGAGATTATTTGCAAATTCATAAATTTTTTACATATTATTTTCAACAATTCGTAAATCTATTTTATAAATATTTCAACGACGTGAAACAAAATTTGTTACAAAAAAAATCGACCACAAAATATTCAGCACATTAAATTCAGAAACGTAATTTTTTCTAAAATTTATATATATGTATATTTTTTGTTTTTTCTCGTTTCATAAATATTTTACAAATATTACAAACATATTTCAGCGAATTTTCGTAAATACATATCCGCCCTCCGCTCATAAAATCCAAAATTTTATGAAATCCAAAATTCATTCAAGTTTCCGACATCTTTAGGACTTTGCCTGCAATCCGTACTCCTTTTACGCCCTGTCCGACGAGGAATGTTCCTTCACCGCGTCGAACGAAGTGACCCCGCAGTCCTCCTGGTACACGTCGTCCTCTTTGGATTCCGAATCCGGGGGGAAATTTCCGAGCCTTCGGATCGGAAAAACTGCCGGCTGGACGGACTGGGAGTCGCACAGCGAATGCAAACTTCCCTGCCTAGCACCCGCCAAAGGGTTGGAATTGGTTAAACGAAGATGCTCATCGGGGTCAGATTCTGGGGCCGATTCCTGTACCGGGTTGGCACTTTCGGTCAAACTTTGTAAACCGGATAAGACAACGGTATTTTTAATTTGGATTTAAATTAAATTAAAATTTAGTAATTACATTGATTAAAATTGGGATACGAAGTCAAAAAAACGGCATTTTTAATTAGTATTTAAATTATATCATATTAAACCTAATTAATTGCATTAATTAAAATTGGGATCCGAAGTCAAAAGATCTAAACTCATGCATTAACTAATTTAATTGGCAATTATTTTAGATTTTTTGGATTGAAATTAAATAAATTAAATTAGTTAATTACATTAACTAATATTTTAAAGCAAATTTGATTTTCTAAAAATTTAAATCAACTACAGAGGGTGAATCAAGATACAAAACTCACTTTAGTTTATTTTTCTACAGCTTCATTTTTCGTTTGTGAATTTTGTAAATTGCTTCAATGTGTAGCCCATTAGTTTGTCTAACGAGGTGCAGTCGCTTTTTCCACACTATTATCACCTTTGACACTTTTTTGGAGTGATTTTGTTCCACTCGTTTTGAAAAGTTTTCCAAAACCCACTCAGCGCCCGAGCAGTCCGCTTGAAAATCTCTGCTTAAAGTACCAAAATCAAAAATAATCTATCTGAATAATGTCATGCGACTCGTCAAGAGTAATTTCAGTACAAAATTTATTTCTGGAAATTAAGTTTTCATTCAGTTATCGCGAAGTTGCTTTGAAAAACATGATGTAAGAATGCGTGGGGGCGTACACATGGTCCTCCTCCGCTTTAATCTATTTAGGTCAGAGTGACTGACCCTAAAAACTATTGCCTGACTCATCCCCAACATTTTGGATACTTTTCTGTCATGACGGATTTTCCTTATTGATGAAATTTGCGATATAGTACAACACATCCTCGATCCTAGCTGATCTTGGACACCACTTTGGTGGAGGTGGAACTCCAGCCAATGATCCCTGCTTCTTTATGCTAGTGTCATTTAATACACTGGACTTATGGCTTCAACTGGCATTGAATTCAATTTCGCCAGTTTCTTAACAATTTTTTATGGTACAATTCATCATTGGAAAACTCTTTTACGGCTACCTCGCACTCCGTGGGGGGGAGTGGGGGCATGTTGATGCACAGAACTAAGAGTTATTTTGCAAACTGTTCCCTGACTATCTGGGTACGGTACATACAAATTTCAGTAATCCCAGATGTCTCTAACACTTGTTATCTCAAAAACAAAAGTGAGTTTTGTATCTTGATTCACGCTCTGTAAAATTGAAGTATGAGGTAGCAAGAGATTTAAATCCGTGTATTAATTTAACCTCAAATTAATCCAGATTTGTTGGATTAAAATTAACTAAATTAAATTAATTAATGACACGAATTAATTTAAATTTAATTGAATTTAAATTAATTAATTAAATAATTACACCAATTAATTTAAATTTCATCGAATTTCAATTAATTAAAATTGACGTACGAAGTCGAAAATATCTAAATTTAAGTTCCAATTTAACTATAAATTATTCCAGATTTTACGAAACGGCTGCACCCGGTTACAAACTCCATTCGAGGTAACGAAATTCATTTAATTAATTAATTGAATCAAGCTTAATTAATTAATTACTTCAATTAACTAATTTCATTATAATTATTTAGTACGCGACAAAAGTGTGTTCAAAATATGCCGAAAAGATTCAAGGCTTATCCGGCATAGGGATGCAGCTTTCTCCCACGAAGGACGATAAGGACCGTCCATGTCGCATAGGGTGTCAAGACGTCTCAATTCCCTACAGATTTTACATGGTCAACGGAGAAGACGGCTGGTTTCCGGCGGGGACGGACTGCTCGCGTGGAGAGCCGGATAAGAAAGCGTACGTATGATAAGCAGAGGGCGGATATGTATTTATTTTCAAATTTATCACTTGATGACACGACCGACGGTCCAACTTTGTGGGTGGGTTGACTAACTACTCGCATAGATCCCAAAAATTTCAAAAATTTTTTACATATTTTCACATATTTCCCGATTTTCAGAAATTTTCAGAAATATTTCCGCTATTATTTGAAAACTTCGTAAATCTTTTGCATATATTTTTTGCAAAAATGCATATACATATTTCGTAAATATTTCAACCATGTGGGGCAAATTTTTTTTAACAAAGAAATTGGATCACAAATAATCCAGAGTATTAAATTCATAAGTATTTTTTTCGAAATTTTTTATTTTTTATATTTGTTTGTGGGAATTTTGTAAAAATTTTGCGTTTTTTTCCTACGTATTCCTACATTTCATCGATTTTGGTAAATGCATATCCGCCCTTTGATGAAAACGTGAAACCCTGTAGATAAATATGATACATATTAATATGCAAATTACTAATAATTATGTAGATTCTGTATTACCGGAAAATGCGTCGATTTCGGCACCGATGACACCCCCGTTTACCGCATCACGAATAAATTAATAGGAAAAATAGAAACCTTATTTCAACCCAGGAGCAAAAGACAGACGACGTCCTACAATATCATGGAGCCCTTAAGGGTCCCCTCCACCATGGACGAGTCCAGTTTGAGGGACCTAGTCCATAAATTTTCACAGCAAACGGGTATGTAAAATTTCCATGTTTCTAACTTGCGCCATAGTTAAAGTATGTACAACATTGGCGCAAGTTAGAACTTAACAAATCAATCTTTAAGATTTCCAAACAGTGTCTCGTTTCATGCTAATTTGCTAAATTTTTTGCACTGCAAAGCAAGAAATGCAATAAATTCTAGGTGCAAGAAACTGTTAGAAATATGCGCATATGATACCAAATCGGAAAATGTGGTTGTTCTGATTTAGAAAATTTGATGGATTTGTACGCCGATTTTAGAATTTTTGCAATATCTGAACATTAAAATTAAGACCGGATTGATGGTTGTTCCACAGTCCATTGAAATTCAGGTTTAAAAATATTGCAAAACTCACCCCTAATTAATTTTTGAAATATTAAGTCACATACATAAGGCTGATAAAGAATGTGTGAATTTTCAAGTTGAACATAATTACCCATTTTCCAGTATTGCGGGTTTCCTACATTTCTTCTCTGCACTGAAAAGCAAGAAATCCGAGGTGCCAGAAACTGGGAGAAAATGCAAGAAATAAGTGCCATCTAGCCACGTGTCGTACTAACAATGCGATGGTGTGAAGTGTAACCCTCCGATTTGGCTGAAATTTTAAAATTAGGTGGTCCAAGACAATACAACAAACGTTTCTTCAGGCAGTTTGTGCGATTGTGAGAGTTACTCAAAATATTTGAGGTCAAAGTTCAAAAAACGGCCGACTTTTTTCAGGCGGAGCGAGAAAACTCCACTTCCATTCTCTTTCCCTCGCTTTGATTTTCACTCCGAAAAATAATTCATTTCAACAATTTTAAGTTTAATTTTTTATAGAAAAATATTAATTATTCATTCCACATGTGACCATATGATTATTTTCATAAAAGTCCACAAAACAATACGATAAACTGCACCAGCTGAATTTGATGAATGTGGGATTGCCACAATTCAGTTCGCAACTAATATTTTTTTCTCTAAAACAAACTTCGCTTACATTTTTAAACTCGTGCTTTTCGTCATCACCCCATAATCCGCTCGAGTACCAACAATATCGAATCATTGGAACAAACACAGGAGCATTTAAAATATTAATATATAATTGGATATTAGAATAACCAACGCTTTCGAAATGGAAAGCAAGTTAAGTTTTTCCATGTTTATTTGCCGTTGGCGAATTTATAAATTAACTTTTATGTAAATTTGTACTAGAAATAAGTAAAAATCTCACTTATTTAATTATGAATTAAATTATGTATAATGCGTATTAATTGCTTTTTAAGATGTAATTAATAATGTTTATTTTTATTATTTTGCATCAAAGCTTGTGCTTGTGCATGAAGGCGTATGCGTGAGCGAGACGCCTGAATAAAATCAAAGCGAGGGGAAGAGAATGGAAGTCTCCGCCTGAAAAAAGTCGCCGTTTTTTGAACTTTGACCTCAAATATTTTGAGTAACTCTCACAATCGCACAAACTGCCTGAAGAAACATTAGTTGTATTGGCTTGGACCACCTAATTTAAAAATTTCAGCCAAATCGGAGGGTTACACTTCACACCATCGCATTGTAAGTATTGCATTTCTTGCAGATCAAACTATTTACCTGCAAGAAACCACTTTCTCCCCCTTATTTCGTGCAGGTGGTTACCTTGCAGTATTTAGTTGCATACAAGTTTGCCACATTTCTTGCAGTGGAAAGCAAGCCGTGCAAGAAATGCGAGGTGCACGAAACTGGGAGAAAGTGCAAGAAATATGCGCCATCTAGCCACGCGCAGGATGAAGAATTTATAGCGGCGGGCGTAGTTTCTTGCACCTTGCATTTCTCCCAGGTTAAAATATTTACCAGCAAGAAACCACTTTCTTCCCCTTATTTCTTGTCACTGGTTACTTTTACTTGCACCCGAAACCATGTTTCCAAATTCAATTTATTTATCTTTTTTTCAGGAAACTTTCCCTCCATCACATCCGCAATTCGCCGGTCCAACTCTGTCCCACTCGATTTCACGAGACCCATCCTGACACAAACTTATTCGCGAGATTACTATTCTCCAAAATCTTTTCGAAGTGCGAATCCAATCGCGAATTCATGGTCACGATATGCAAATTCAAGGGCGCCGGACTCGCAGTTTCGGTCGAGATCGGGTCAAAGTGTGGAGCACAAGGGCAGATCGGGTGGTGGTGGCGACGCGGTGGGGATGCGGGGTCGCAGCCTGAATTTGGATCATGTCCAACTCGGCGACAGTTCCGAGGAGGTTTTGAGAGGAAGCAAAACTGGGAAAATTATCGATTTCGACAATAATTTATTAGAGAGTAATATTCCAATCGAAGGGAGTTATTACGAGTGGAGGAAAATCGTGTCGGATTGTTCGGTATCGTGTGGGAATGGTAATTTAAAATAAAAACGAGATATTTAACGCGTATGAAAATCGAAATGTGTATGAAAACTTGGCACATTTTATGCAGAACCAAATTGGCATGTTTTCTGCAGAAGGCTAAAAAACTTGGGAGCAATTTAGTGTATATAAATTTTTGTGCAAAAATGTAAAGGATTTTTCAACAGGGTCCATTTTGCAGAATTTATTTGGCAAGATATTTGACCAATTTTTCTCCAAATTAGTTGGCCCATTGTCCCCCGATAGTTGCCTTTTATTGCAGAAATTGAACAAAGGATTTGACAAAATTTGCATGTCTCGCATAGAATTTGCAACGGGTGACGTCGTTTCGTAAAATATGGAATAATTATGATCTATAAATTGATGTTCCATGTTTGAGCTTCATTCCCAATTTTTCCGCAAAGTAAAATAAAATTTGCGGCTTACTTTTCCTGCAAAATTCTGCACAAAAATTTCCCCTTGATTATTAAGGGATAAGCAATTTTCCTGGGCCCTGCACCACCCATTTTTTTGTTGCCACGAGCAGATTTGTAACCATTTAATTTTAACTCAAAAAGTGCGAACCTGACATAGCCCGAGCCGATCTAGTCATATTTCTCCTAATTTTAAAACCTCACGTCTGTCATATGGTATTTATCAGTAATATTAATTATAAAAAAACCTATAGTGCAGATCATTTAGTTCTAGTTGGGGACAGAGTCCGCTTCTAAATTTTTGAAGTAATTACAAATCTGCCCCCTTTACTACCAGGACCCGTGGGGCTCGCTTCTTTAAAACCTTGAACATCCAAACTTGTATGTCGTACGCAGACGTAATTTTAAAAATGGCTATGATATGAAGGCTAAAATTTTTTTAGCTGAAAATAACAATTTTTAAAACCAGTATATATGGGTCTCCCTGTTAGGTCCCCACGGCAAAAAAATTCTTGAAATTTACCTAATATTTATTATCCTGGTATATCCCTTCAGGATCATGCCTGCCAGTCTTCTACGACCGTTTTAGAAAACCAGTGGGGGTGACCCTACTGGGTGATTCAAATAGTAATTCGGTCATTACAAGCTGTGTCCATAGTCCGTGATTTGTTCATGATTTCGTCATGATTGGATGGTTTCTCGCATCCACACTCCATAATAATTTTCAAAAAATATTTTTATTCCGATTTTATAATTGTTATGGTGATTAACATGCTGAAATCATGAAATCATGAACCTGTGAAAGCATGACCAAATCACGAACAAATTGCGGACTATGGACACAGGTATTGTACACCCTTGTACACGTGCATATGACCAATGTCTCGAATATCGGTCTATCAACTTTTAGAAAGAGGTCACCCTATGGGTCACTCTGCTTACTTTTAATTGCATACTCTTTCATGGGAAAGAGCAACCTCTCTATCAAATTTCAACTCGATATGGCGATTTTATTAAATCGGTATGGGTCACCCCCTCGGGTCCCTCCAGACAAAAAGTTATCCAATCTCAATCATTGTTCTTCTTTTAGGAGCGATTAGTAATCTCTGTGCCAAATTTCAGCTTTCTATGACAATTTTGAAATTTTGGTCAATAATACCCGACCCATCCAGACGACCCACACCGGTCAACCAGTTAACCGATTTGCTCATCTTCGAACTGAACTCATTATTTGCTCCATACTACATGTGTACCAAATTTCAAGTCGATAGGATAAGGTTAACGAGAGTTATCATAAACCCGATATACAGACAGACAGACAGAATGACGGACACGACAGTTCCAAAAGTCCTGGCTCGGGCTAATTTTATCATCACGATAATAAAATAAAATTCAAATATGTTAATATAGTTACCATAATTTGGTATTTTTAGGTTTGAGTACTGCATATTTTGTTAAAACCCACCCCCTTCGGATGGGATTTTCACATCGATGCCAACATGGAGGATTTGTGAAACATATATAAAACTGAAGGTGAAGACTTGTACGATTTTTTAAAACATATTTCACAAATCCTCCATGCTGGCAACATGGTCAAAATTAAGGTCACAGAAACACCTTTGTCCCTTAACAATCTTTTGCACACGTCGATTTTCCTACAGGAATAACAAAATTACCATAATATTCAATTCTAACTAATTATTTTTTCTGCATTAAAGGAATTCAAGAAGTCATAGTGGAATGCGTGTCTGGCGACACTGTGGTTTCCGACAGTTTCTGCAGCGCCCGACCGCGCCCAGGTCGCTCGGGGTACGTCGACTGTCGCAGGACGGCCTGCTCATCGGCGAGAAGGTCGGAAGGAGGTCACATCTGGAACTGGTTGCAGTCCGCCCTCGCAAATAATTCGTCCACTCCCACCCCAAAATCTTAATTAATTAACTACTTAATTGTTTTTCTGAGTAGTGTTAATTTTTCAAAGTTGAAAAAATTGTCTATTTATTCACTCCCTGGTTAAATTAAGAAATTGTATGAAAAATGTGGTAATAAAGTACTAAATAATAGCCCAGTAAATGCTAAAATTACAGTTTCAGGTGCATACAGTCGTTTGCAAAAGTCATTTGCACAGCAAAAAATTGGCAGATTGTGTGGTCCGAAATTGTATCAATTTGCTGATCAAAATATTTAAATCATGTCCGTATTCATTTTCTTCATCATGTCCGGATCAAATAGGATTTGCATATTTATTAATTTGCCCAAGACAAAACATATCCTTTTGCAATGTCGAATTGTATATTTAGAATGGGCGTCACTCAGCATATGCTCTCCGATTTTGACGAAATTAGTGTCAATCGATTGCAAATTTAATTAGTGTGAAATTTGTGAAAGACACGATCTCCCAATGGGTACGGTTGGCAGAGATGTTTGCATCCGAAGAGGAGAAAGCGCGCCTTAAAGTCGACAAACTTTACACTTTCCAAATTTACTGCGCGATTTTTCCTCTTCTGATGCAAATATCTCTGCCAAACGTTCTCCCATTGGGAGATCGGGTCTTTCGCAAATTTCACACTAATAAAATTTGTGATTTATTTGATACTAATTTGCTCAAAATTACGTTGGAATACCTCCATTGTTAGTGGTTTAACCTCCCAAAGTGTACGTACTTCACTACATATACATACAGCGTCAAAAAGTCTCATATGTATATGATTTTTTATTCCACTCATCATCAAATTTTCGACTAATGAGTCTCCAACTTGGGATCATATAAAATTAAATTATTTAGCAATTTTTATTTGCTGGTTCAAATTCTTAAACATTTTCATGCAACAGACGAACCTGCATGCATTTGATCACACCACCACCACCACCGCGTGCATATGCAAATATTTTATTGCATTTTATTATTTCCTCCTTTGCCAACCGGACATCACTTCCATATTCTTCGAGGATCGGATGACATTCATTTGTTAATCTGCACTAGGTGACAAGGTGACCAATTTTCCTGCGAAAATTTTCATTTTTCTTGGTAAAATCTATCTCTTTGCCATCCCACCGCCATGAAATGTCATCCCTTCCGCGGGGGAAAAGATGTCGCCCCCGTTGAATTTTATGAGTTAAATAAGGTGGTTAAATATGTATGAGTAAATAAATTTTAGCGACATTTATGCACATGTCGATTACCCGAAATTCCAGAGAAGTCGCATAGATACGCATAAACAGTATTTCTATCACGCATCTACGCACGTAGTGAATTTATTCCCGGAATATTTCTGATCGTATTTTACTGCCCGGAAAACTTACAGATATCGATCCAATTCAGCTGCCAGTCCGAATCTCGAGATAATTCATATCATTTTTACTAAATTGAACTTTCTCCCGATCATTTTCTTCGCAATAATTTCATACAAATTAATTTCCAGGAGCAAAGTGAAAGTGCCTACTGGTGAAAGTGTTAATATCCAATTATTTTCAATTATCCAAGTATAAATCTCATGCAATGGCAAGCCCTCAAACTAATCAAATCGTGATCCCGGAACATAAAGTCATGTTTAATCATCAGGTTGGTTTAATCCATTAATCTGTAATTCATTTATTTCCCGTGTATTCTTTCCCCGTGCGGTTGGTCGGCAGTCGGTGAGTATTTTAGGTGCCTGTAACCATACCTGTTCACTTTCATTCATTTCATGTGACTAATTATAATGGAGAATTATAGTTAATGAAAATGAATTTCCTGCGATTTGAATGAAAATGAGTGAAAGATTCCGTCATTTCAGATGAATGACTGTGAATGAAAGGATTTCTCACTTATTTCATTTCTCACCTTATGCTTAATACACGGGGCGAAGTGAGAAATGAAGTCAGACGAAGTGAAAAGAAATGAGTGAGTGTGAATGAAAATCTTCACTCAGAAATCGGGATGACTGAACTTTGAATGAAAAAAAGTTTTTTTTTTGAACAGGTATGGGGACCCACGGTTGTTGGTGAAAGAATTGTCCAATTTTATCATAAGCGTATTTGCAGACTCCAACGTTCGTTCGCTGTATCTTTTCCTCGTTAAATTTATTTGCGAAACACAAAAATCTCTTGAAAACGGCACAGAAATCTTGCAAATAAATTAATTGCTAATTAATTAATCTCATAAGGAAAGGATGTTGCATAAACGAATGCATGGATTGGATGTATCCACCCCTACCTGTTAACATTTGTTTATTTAATATAGAATGAATAAATTATTCATTCATTATTCAACAAATTCATGAATGAATAATGAATGAATAATTAATAAATAATAATCTTATTCATTATTCAGTTTCACTCTATGCTTAATACTTGGATGTTGAGAAATCCAACTAATAAGACGAATTTAAGATAGAATGAAGAAAAAATGAATAATAAATGATTTTGAAATTTTGAAGCAATAAATAATCAGTGAATAGTTCTTCCAATTTTTGAATTGAATGAAATCTGAATGAAAAAAGTTTTTTTAACAGGTATGAATCAGGGTGCATAAACTTTTTTGTTGTCCGTGGTTTCTCCTAAGGGGGTGATGCAAGGATGAATTTTTTTCAAAAAAATTAAGAGTTCGGGAATTGCATGCGATTTTGCCATGGAAACCACCAAATTCAAAGCAAAATCAGATGCAATTCCCGAACTTTTAATTTTTTTGAAAAAAATTAATCCTTGCATCACCCCCTTAGGAGAAACCACGGACAACAAAAAAGTTTATGCATCCTGGGTATGAATATAACACTAATTAACTTTTTTCTGCTGAATTTATTAGTTGCTCGGGCATGTACTCTCCTTCCTTAATCTGGACTGTTTAAAAACATGTCGCATGGTTTGTGCCCAGTGGGCGTACGAATCTGGCCGTATGTTTCCCAGGATCGCTATCGATATCCAAACGCGTCATGGGGGTCAAGAAATTGCGGAAATATTCTCATTTTTGGCGACCCATCGAGTTTCCTGCAACTTCATCGTGTCCCCACTACCCACCCCGTGGTACAACTGCCGCCCAGAGGACGACGACGATTATGAAACTCTCCGTGCCGAATACGACGTAGGTTCATAGCATATATAGAGAACTACTTTTACTTACAGAGTAGGTTAGAGGAAAGCCCGGAAAGCCGGACATGGTTTGAGGCATATTGAGACCAGTGCTCGCAACGGGTCCGAATCCCAAGACCCGTTTTTTTTTCAGGGTCCCAGGTCCGGGTCGGGTTTGGATCAAAAATTTAAAAGATCCGGACCCGCCAGGTCCGGGTTACCGATTTTATAACCGGGTCTCGGGCTTCATTTTTCCGGGATTGGGCGGGCCGGTTTTGAAAAGTTCAGACCCGGCTCACCTCTAATGAAGGTGCAGGAAACACGATGGGTCGCCAAAAATGAGAATATTTTGGTAATTTCTTGACCCCCATGACAAGTTTGGATATCGATAGCGATCCTGGGAAACATACGGCCAGATTCGTGGTGACAGGCCACAAACCAGGCGACATGTTTTTAAACAGGCCAAATTACAAGTGAAATTGCACTTGTAACGGGACATCCATGAATATAAAATTTCCGACTTTTTCCAGAATTCAATATAACTTTTTTTCTGCTAATTTATTAGTTGCTGGGACATGTGCTCTCCTTCCTTAATCTGGACTGTTTAAAAACATGTCGCCTGGTTTGTGCCCAGTGGGCGTATGAAGCTGGGCGTATCTTTCCCAGGATCGCTATCGATATCCAAACGCGTCATGGGGATCAAGAAATTGCCGAAATATTCTCATTTTTGGTGACCCATCGTGTTGCCTGTATCTTCATCGTCTCCCCACTACCCACCCCGTGGTACAACTGCCGTCCAGAGGACGAAGACAATTATGAAACTCTCGGTGACGAATACGATGTAGGTTCACAGTCATTCATTTAATGGAGAATGGATGAATTATTAAAAGGAATATACATACAAAATGTGAAGGTAGCACACTTGCTAGCTTAGGAAATCGAAACGAACAAATAATTTTTAAAAAATTCCCGAACCGAACCACGTTCCGGGTTCGGCTAGGGACTTCCGAACCACAAACTAGAAAGTGTTCCGAACCGAATTTAAAAAAATTCCCGAACCGGATCAGCAATTTTTTAAAAATTTCCCGAACCGAACTGAACCAGCAATTTTTTAAATTTCATTTCCGACCCGGAACGAACTAGTCAATTAAGAAAAAATCCCGATCCGAACCAGCAATTTTTAAAAAATTAACGAACTGAACTGGACCGAACCAGCAGTTTAAAAAAATTCCCGAACCGAACCGAACCAGTAATTTTTTTAAATTCCTGAATCGAACCGAACCGAACCAGTAATTTTTTTAAATTCCCGAATCGAACCGAACCGAACCAGCAATTTAAAAAAATTCTGAACCGAACCAGGTTCGGGACTTCCGAACCACAAACTAGCAACTTGGATGGTAGAGAGGGATGGACGGTTACAATTTTGCGTGATAGGTCAAGTTGCACCGCAGGTTAAAAAGTGGGTGTAACGAGTGACAAGGAATTCGTTATAAGTTTAAAATATGTTTGAATTAAAGAATGAATAATGAATGAATGAATGAACAGTCACTGCACAATTTTAAGAATTTGTTGCTAATTTATGACCCTACAGGGGCAGCATAATGACCCCGACTTTGGTCATAGGTTGACCTCAGCGTTGAAAATTACTCCATCCGTTGGGATTTTGGTGACCGAGTTGAGACTGGAAGTAATGCTACGGGATGGAGACGACGCCAAATTCCTGGGCCGTATTTTAAACCAGATGCAAAATCTGAAAAGATTGTGTTTAGACCTCGTGAATTACTCGGACGAAGGAGTCCAGGCTATTGAAAGGGGTGACATTCCTCCAGGAATAACCACGCTCGGACTGAGGGTGAACGGAGTGAAAGATGTAAGTACTAAATATACAGGGTGGTTAAAATGTCACGCTACAATGAAAAATTTCACCTCTAAAGCTAGGTAATCTATCCTGCTTTTCTTCGAGGTAGTCAAATAGCTAGACTCTACACCCACCTAAATAGTATACCTAGTTAGAACAATTAATGTAACCTTTTTTCAAGCTACACCGGGATTTTTTAGCAAGTTAGATCAAAAAATCAGGCCAAAAATTAGGAGTCACATGGCTCTAATCATTCCGTTGAATGGTCCCTTCGAAGAAAAATATTGGGGGTCAAAGTACCCACGAGCTCCTTGATTTTCACCTCGTCGAGGGAAAGGGAGAGAAAGTTACTAAAAAATTTGCCGCCAATATTTTTCTTCAAGGGGGCCATTCAAGCGCCACGTGATTCCTAATTTTTGGCTTGATTTTTTGATATAACTCGTTAGACAATCCCGGTGTAGCTTGAAAAAAGTTTCCATTGTAAGTATTTTTATCCGTGACTTAATTAGGCGGACGGCGTGAAATCCTTACAACAAGCATCGTACACTCACTTAATCGAGTTATTTCCTTCCCTCAAATTTTTGGACTTTGACGGATGGTCTGGACTTTTTAGGATGGGGCAAGACCTCACAAAAGAAATTAAATGTTTAGCAGCTCTTGCCAGGAAGCTATACCCATGCCCGAATTTTCAGGGGATTCGAGACGACTATGTTATCACGGGGGACGCGTGCAACTCAATAACGGCATTCCCGCGACCGTTAAAATTCCTCACGGTCCGAATGTACCAAAAGGATCATCGTACCGTGCACAAAATTGGGGACATGTTACGGTTTCATGCCCCGTCTTTACAAGAGCTGGACCTCCTCTGGCATAATTCAGAGGAACAAACCCTTTTCGAGCAAAAGATCGACTTGCCGAAATATTTTCCGGGATTGAAATCCCTAAAATTAAAATTTGTGACGGGAATTGAGATGGGTAAAATTGAAGGATTTGTGTTGGACATGATGGATCAATTTTCTCTTCGGAAGATATTTTTGGTAAGTTCATAAAATGAAATGAAATTGTGAAATAGCGTAAAAGGGGCCGTCCATAAATTGCGTAACGCAAAAATCGCGATTTTTTAGACCCCCCTCTTCTGTTATGTAATTTATGGACAGCCCCTAACCAAAGTTTTGGAAACGCTAGAACAAATGGGGCGTCCATTAATTATGTAAGTTATAACTAACAATGAGGAGGTGTGAGGTGGTTATCGCCGATATCCACCGGACTAATCACGCTCAAAAATAAGTGGACCCGTATTTTTGCGGTTTCCTGAACGGGCATGTTTACGCCCGTGGCGGAATTTAAAAAAATTTTCAGCCAAAAGTCTGATTTTTAAAACGCTGTAGCTTTTAGAATTTTAACCCGATTTCAAAAGTTAAACCCAATTTTTTCTCAGAATTACTTCCCTGAAATTATTAAAATTCATTTTTAAAAATTTCAAAAGTTTGATACTTTCATGCCATTACTGAATTTTTAAAAGCGTTGAAAACGAGAATTTTTTGAAAATTGAATTTTTATAATTTCACATAATTTATGGACGGCCCATCATAATTAATTTTTACATAATGATAAAAGATTTAAAATATTACAGGAAAATAAGCTTCAAACTTCCATCCCACTCTTAACCCATCTCCAAATACTGGTTAGTTCCTCGGTCCAGAACGATTTTTGGGATTATATTATCCCAGACTGTGACAAAAATGGGAAAATTTTGGAAATCCCACAAATCAAGGGTTTGAGTATCTCTTTAATAACGGGAGATTGTGGGTCCGTCCAAATAACGAGATTCTACAAGATACTTCCCAACCTTACACGGTTCCAGCATGTCTTCAAGGAAGGGGAAAAATTGTACAGGTGTGACCATAGGATTGAGGCAGGACGCGCACTAAACAGCAAGAAGTCGCCGAGTTATGTAAGACTAGATTCTGAGGAGGCCCTGGAGTACGGGGCAGGATATATCGACTGCCTGGTTCGCCCATTCTTGAAAATTTCTTATTCACGTCAACCATGCTTTTGGGATTAAGGTGGCATTGTATACGGGTTTTTAGTTGGAATTGTTGTGTCTCAACCTTCCCTTCTTCCATATATTTAAATGGCGATTTTGAAACCTATTCATCTCCGTGGGGTTTTTACAATATGAAGATTTTAATGCACATAAAAATCGATAATTTTTAGGTTTACAAAGTTAGGAGGTTAGAATTTTGTTTTTTTCTACCAATAGGAAATAAATATGAAATAAATAAAAATAATAAGTATAACTAAATATTTTCGTATTTAAAAAAATCAAAATTCTAGACCCCTGACTTTGCAAACCTAAAATTTATCGATTTTTTTGTGCATTAAAATCTTCATATTGTAAAAACCTACAGTGCAGACTCCATATAGCCCGAGTCAGGGACAGAGTCCCTGACTCCGTGAGTCCTAGCTGTTTCTAAATTTTTCTCCGAATTGACCGACATAATATTACCACTTTGAACTTCCACAGCTATATTTGCTATCAAGAAGTGGTTTTTAGCCTTCGTACCAAATTACAGATGGAAAAAATTAAACTTAAAAAATGGTATGGGTTACCCTCCAGGGTCACTCTGGTTAAAATTCGCTCACTTTTAACTTCATATCCTTTCATGAGAAGCCATTAGGTATGACCTTGCCGGATTTAATGTTTTTAAAGTAATTTCTAAAAATCGGTATGGGTCACCCCATAGGGTCGCTCCTGATAAGAATTTTACCAATTCCACGTCATATTCTTCTATTAAGACCCATTAGCAACCTCTCTACCAAATTTCAGCTTTTTATGACGATTTTGAAAAATCAGTATGGGTCATCCCATAGGGTCCCTCAAGATGAAAATTTTTCAAACTTAAAGTCATTTTTATCTATTAGGAGCCATTAGCAACCTCTGTACCCAATTTTAGCCTTCTACGACAATTTTGAAATTTGGTGCATAATACCCCACCCACTCCGATGACCCCCACCGGTCAACCACTGGACCGATTTCGCCCATCTTCGACCTCGTTTCCTAACTTTGTCCAATATGCATATGGTAAAAATTTCAAGTCAATCGGTTCAGCCGTTTTGGCTCTATCGTGCCGAACAGACGGACGGACGGACGGACGGACGGACGGACGGACGGACATGACGGTTCCATAAGCCCTGACTCGGGCTAAAAACTCAGGGAGATGAATAAGTTTCAAAATCGCCATTTTAATATATTGCAGAAGGGAAATTTGAGACACAACAATTCAAACTCAAACCCCGCATGCTATTGCACGTTAAGGTAACATTTTGTATTTTTAGTGTTTTACAATTAGCGTCATACAATTACAATTATTCAAACAATTTAGTGTCAAGAATAAGTATTGCGCAAAATAAACGGGTAATTTGATGCAAAATTTTCAGTAAAACTAAATTGCAGTCAAATAAAACACATCATTTAATTCATAACAAAAATTATGTTTTCACATTATACAAGTAATACAAATGCTTTCATTCATTTTTAACCAAGATTTCTTACAGAGAAAAGTGGATGAGCAAGGAGACCTAGAAGGTTCAACTCCATAAGGATGCGTAAGCCACGTTGAGAGCCAATAGCAGACGACGGCGTGGTTTTTGCACTTTTTCACCATAACCTCTCAGTTTTTTAAGCTTCTTAAACTATCAAAAACATACTTTTTTTCGATTTTGGCGTCCAACCTGTACAATTTAGTGCATTTTCGACAAATTTGAACTCCGAAAATTTAAAACAGACATAATAAATAATATTTAATTTAAAAACTTTTCTGAGTGGCTGGCGCTGGGTGGGAGGGGTCGAAAACCACGCCGTCCAGCGTAATTGGTTATCTGGGCTCTCAATGTGGCTTATGCATTCTTATTACTCTACATCTTCTATATGAATGTATGTTCAATGGATTTCTTATCAATAAATATAATGGAACAATTTAATTGTCTTATTGTGCACAATAACTACATAGCATGTCTTCTTAAGTGAGAATTTTCTCACATTGTTCTTTACATGCATACCTGTTCACTTTCATTCATGTGACTGGTTATGATAGTGAATGAAAATGAATTTCCTGTGACTTGAATGAAAATGAGTGAAAGATTCCGTCATTTCAGATGAATGACTGTGAATGAAAGGATTCCTCACTCATTTCATTTTTCACCCTATGCTTAATACATAGGGCGAAGTAAGAAATGAAGTCAGATGAAGTGAAATGAAATGAGTTGGAACGAAAATGACTGAATGTGAATGAAAATCTTCAGTCAGAAAACGGGATGACGAAATTTTGAATGAAGATAGTTTTTTTTGAACAGGTATGTTTACATGTATGCAAATCTAATTTTCTGACATAATCCAACTCCTTTTACATATGTTAGAACGTGACATGTTGCGTAAGAAATATGCAGGAAATCCTATACAGGGAAACCAAACTTCCAAATTTAATTGACCTTTAATTACTTTTTGACAAGGTTTATTATTCCATTCTTTTCCAATCCGTCACATCCGCCCAACACCAAGAAAAAATGTTTTCTTACGGGAATAAGACGTAACGCAGATACTGGAGAATCCACACCCTTAAAAAAGCCGCACATCATCTCTTACAAACTATCTCTTTACAGTAAGTCGAAATAATTCTATGAATAAAATCACACCCTAATTCAATACATACCTGTTCAAAAAAACTTTTTTCATTCAAAGTCCATCCATCCCGATTTGTGACTGAAGCTTTTCATTCACATTGAGTCATTTTTTTAAAACTCATTTCAATTCATTTCACTTCATCTGACTTCATTTGTTACTTCACCCCATGTATGTATTAAGCATGGGTGAAAAATTATTTCATTCACAGACACCCATCTTAAATGACTGAATCACTCATTTTCATTCAAATAACAGAAAATTCATTTTCATTCATTATCATTCTGTATTATAATCAGTCACATAAATGAAAGTGAACAGGTATGATTCAATAATTGTAAAACTCTTGCTCTTTCTACCAGAGAAATGAATAAGTCTTTACCAGCAATCTACTTGTTGATGGCGATCGCGACGTTTCGTGAGATTACCGCTTTCGCCATTCCGGAGGAGATCTATGGTAGGCGGCTAAAAGAAAAGATTGTCGAGAAATTGTTAAGGTTCCCATGGATGACGCTATGGCGCGTAATCTCACTCTACCCCTATCCAATATCTTCAAATGCAATTTCTAAAATTGAATCAACTCCGTGAGTTTTGAGATAAATGCAACTTTTGATAGCTCACTCTAAAGCAAATTTTTGGTACTACAAACAAGTCGATTTTAAAAAAAATTAGCCAATTGGTTTGCAATTTTTTCATACTAAATTTCCTCACAAATAAATTTTCTAATTTTTTCCAAATCGACTTGTTTGTAGTATCAAAAATTAGCTTTACATGAAATATCTAAAGTTGCATTTACTATCTCAAAACGCATGGAGTTGATTCAATTTTAGAAATCGCATTTGAAGACATTGGATAGGGGGAGGGTGAGATTACGCGCCAACGCGTCATCCATGGGAACCTTAAATTTATTACAAGTTTAACACACACACACTTCACATTATTTTTTGGTGAAGGGACCGCCCTAGGGGAACCCTTTGCGGTCGAGAGCAACCCGCGGTTCCGTCGTCAAGGATCCCGATTCCGATCCGAATTCGATGCCCAAGAGCAAATTCGTGCTGCACAGTCGGCAGCAAAGGTTCCGGTGGACGGAAACAAAGTTAAACTCAACCCATACTGATTAGAAGAAAATTAAATTTTTAAACAAATACATAAATTATATATTTTAAATTATTCAGGCATATGTTTTTCTTTTAAGTAGACTTTAATTTTTCATCAGAAATTTATCTTTATAAGCAAATTGTGGTTCTCGAAAAGTTATTGTACTTAAATAATTTCAGATTTCACGTTAAATAATTGACTTCTCCGAGGCTGTGTCCGATTTTGGGCGTAATTATAATTATTTTTATGTTGCCAGTACTTTATTAAATAAACTATACTACCAGGATAAAAATCAAATTACGGTGTAATTTTTTTCATGCCTATCAAACAATGGAGGTCTCCTAACGTAAGTATGTATGCTCACAGATTTGGACCAAACTAGCGTCAGTCGGTCACAAATATTATTAGTATGAAATTTGCAAATAGAACTATCTGCCAATGCTCAAGTTTTGCGGAGATATTTGCATAAAAAGAGGAGAAAACGCACCCCCAAGGCTGGCAAATTTTTCATTGTCCAAATCTGCCGCGCATTTTTCCCGTTTTGGATGCAAATATCTCCGCTAAACCTGCGCATTGGCAGATAGTTCCATTTGCAAATTTCATGCTAATTAAATTTGTGATCGATTGACGCTACTTTGGCCCAAATCTGTGAGTATACGTCGGGAGACCTTCATGTTTTGATTAAATGCTATGATTTCCGCGAAGCTATCACTGCACCACTAAAATATGCAAACTCACCCATCTGTGTGGGTCATAAGGCTTGATTACACGTGATTTTTAACTTAAGGGCGGTTTACTGGTCATGTTTTTCACGTGAAATCACCTTGGCGTGAAAATTTTCACGACAATTTCATTGCGCGCAAGTAACTGACCTGTAAACCTTACTTTATTGAGTACTAGCGTATAAGCCCGTCTCCCGCCGGGCGACGGACTTATTTGATTTTGATGAAAATTAAGTGGGATTGTTCATAATTCCACCGAATTTTTTGTTATTGTATCTATATTTGAAGCTGAAAAATCTGTTGGCAAGGGAAGTGAAACTCTCTCCACTTCTGTTTCCGTCACGGAAAATTACTTTCACTTCCGTTGCAGACAAACATTTCCAGCTTATAATATAGATAATACGTACGAGTTTGGGGCTCCATCATGTGAAAAATAACAAAATATCCAGAAATTATTAATTTTTTGCAGAATAGTGGGCCAATTTTTCAGCAGATGCAGGTCCTCCTATATCGAACAAAGAATTTGAAAACATTTGCACACATCGAAAAGAATTTGTAACGGGTGACGCCGTTTCGTAAAAATTTTGAAACTTTACAATTCACAATTCGATGTTCCAGATTGCAATTTTTCAATTGACTTGAAAATTTTCGGAAACTTATAAACTTTGCAGCTTTCTTTTTCTGCAAAAATTTCACGTCCTTACTGCAAAAAACAAATCCCTAAATTTTGCACACGTCGATTTTAATACGTGAAGAATAAACGATCCCAAAATTACCATGATATTCAGATCTACATTTTTTTTTGCTTTAAAGGAATTCAAGAAGTCATAGTGGAATGCGTGTCTGGCGACACGGCGGTTTCCGACCGTTTCTGCAGCGCCCGACCGCGCCCAGGTCGCTCGGGGTACGTCGACTGTCGCAGGACGGCCTGCTCATCGGCGAGAAGGTCGGAAAGAGGTCACATCTGGAACTGGTTGCAGTCCGCCCTCGCAAATAATTCGTCCACTCCCACCCCAAAATATTAATTAATTAACTACTTAATTGTTTTTCTATGAGTAGTGTTAATTTTTCAAAATTGAAAAAATTGTATATTTATTCATTCCCTGGTTAAATTAAGAAATTGCATGAAAAATGTGGTTACGTTAGCGTAAAATAAAATAGTAAAATCAAAGTTTCGGGTACACATGAAAGTCATGCACACAGCAAAAATTGTCAGATGATGTCCAACTGTGTGGTCTGAAAATGTATCAATTTGCTGATCAAAACATTTAAATAACGTCCGTATTAATTTTCTTCATAATATGAGACGATCATGTCCTGATCAAATGACATTTGCATATTTATTATTTTTACCCAAGACAAAACACATCCTTTTGCAATGTCGGATTGCATATTTAGAATGGAGGTGGACCAGCGTATGCTCTCCGACTTTGAGCAAATTAGTGTCAACCGATTAGAAATTTAGTTAGGATGAAATTTGCGAAAGACACGATCTCCCAATGGGCACGTTTGGCCGAGATATTTGCATCCGAAGAGGAGAAAACGCGCAGTAAATTTGGAAAGTGTAAAATTTGTAAAATTTACTGCGCGTTTTCTCCTGTTCGGATGCAAATATCTCCGCCAAACCTGCCCATTGGGGGATCGTGTCTTTCGCAAATTTCATCCTAACTAAATTTGTCATCGAATGAGACTAGTTTGCTCAAAATCGGATCACATACGCTGGGAGACCTACATTGTTCGTGTTTAAACCTCACAAAGTGTATAGCAGCGTCAAAAAGTCTGTCTCACACATATTTAAGTACATGGTTTCTTATTCTGCTCATCATCACATTTTCGACTACTGAGTGTCCAACTTGGGATCATGTAAAATTAAATTATTTAGCAATTTTTATTTGCTGGGTCAGATTCTTAAACAATTTTCATGCAGCAGACGGACATGCATTTGATCACACCACCACCGCGTGCATACATGCAAATATTTTATTGCATCTTATTTCCTCCTTTGCTTAACAAACAAAATAGTCAACCGGACACTTCCACATTCTTCGAGGATCGGATGACATTCATTTGTTAATCTGCACTAGGTGACAAGGTGACCAATTTTCCTGCGAAAATTTTCATTTTTCTTGGCAAAATCCATCTCTTTCATACCACCGCCATGAAATGTCATCCCTTCTGCGGGGGAAAGATATCGTCCAAGCTAAAGTTATTGATTGCGTTTGACATTGTAAGTGAAATTACATAATTAATTGCAATAATTAACATAGGACTTGATTACTCATCGTCAAAATCAGCACATTTTTAATCATTTCTCCACTCTGGAAACTTATTTTAAAATTCTAGACGACAAATTTGTAGTCAGTGAGTTGATTAATGGAATGACGCTGAGTTTTTTAAGCCAGTTTCGAAGAGTTGCAATTTTTCTGAAGGCTTCTTAACCTTGAGATCTCCTCCTTCAAAAAGTGTCAAAATCTAGAGTGTATATTTCCAAAAAATTGGCAACTCCCTGCTCTACAAAGAAGGGTATCTGTTATGGTGATCGTTTTGGGCTAAATTTCGATGAGTTTTGAATTATTTTGATAAGAAATTAAGGCGATTTTTTGGGCTAATATATCTTATCAAAATTCGTTTGGTTGTCAGTGGTTTTTGATTGGTAAATAGAGCTCAATGATTCTTACCCCGATTTAAGACTTGGGGAACCGTTTTGCCAGTCTGTCTGTTCGTCTGTCTGTTCATTTTCAACTTTGTCAAATGAACCCCGATTAACTGCAAACTTGGCGAGTTGGCAAATTATACTATCAAACAATTATTCAGCATGTCTACTATAACTCCAAGGGTCCTGTTTGAGTCACTTCCAACCCATGAATGTAATCAATGTTTTTTTCTTGTCGGGCTTTGGTTTATAAACATTGGAAATTTTATGCAAAATTGTAGCAACGCGCAACATGGTTACCATTTTATTAATACCTGTGGTAATTTTGCATGGTTTCCATTTTATTCCCTGTTTTTTGATGCATTTGAATTTATTGCTCGAAATCTAGAAATGTACCATCTTAAATTCTTTGATGAAAAATCACCAATAGTATGATCATCAACATATGCAAATATTTACAAAATCGTTCGTGGGCTTCGTATTTTAATTTGCGTTTTTGTTTTTGGCCTATCTAAATACGTGTTAAACATAGCCCAGGAGAATATTTGTTTCTCCACTTGTGGGCATGTACCATTGCTGAAATTTTCAGGAATGGTAGTTTGAAAGTTGTTTGATATCATATAAAAAAATCAGAAAAATCGTTCGTGGGCTTCATCGTTTTATAATTCATCGAAATTTAGCCCAATAGGATCGTCTTAATAGATACCAAGCTTTATCGGTAATTTATTTTAAAATAAATTTCCAGAGCGGAGAAATCATCAAAATTGTGCTGATTTTGGCAATGGGTCATCAAGTCCTTTGTTAAGAAATTTTTGCACAGTTGATAGTTGACAAAATATTTATGAAAATTTTCCAATTTTTTAAATCAGATAGTGTCCGCCATTTTACTACAATTGGCCATAATTTGGATATTTTTCTTTCTGGGATTTCACTTTGAGGTGATCCCTCCATCCGATGAGTTTATCAAGGACGCCACCCTGATGGGCATGCACTCCTCGACGGTCGTAATATTCGTCGTGTTCCTCATAATCGACGTCATGTTGGACGTTTGGCTGTGGATCATTCTGCCAAAGGTGAGTTTTTTTGCAAGGTTTTGCGGGTTATTCACGTCGTTTTGCAAAAAGATTGAAAGTAAGCAAATTTGTAGGGACATAGATTGCCTAGCTCTTTGATTATATTAAATAGATTATTTGACCAAGGTCTCTTGTGTAATTTAAAAAAATTGTTTTTGATGTAAAACCTTAAAATGAAATTTAAAATAACGTTTTGTGCAAAATTCGAAATGAAATTTAGAAACATAGTTTCATATGAATTGAAAAATGAGTTTTTTAAATTGTTTTTGATGAAAAAATGATTTTGTTTAAAATCTTAAAATGAAATTTTATAAAGAATTGGTTTTGTGAAAAAGCTTAAAATGAAATTTTACAAACAATTTATTTTATGTAAAACCTTAAAATAAAATTTAGAAGAACGTTTTGTGCAAAATTTGAAATGAAATTTAGAAACATGGTTTTATATAAAACCTTTTAAGGGAACTCACTTTTACCCGTAAAACAATTATGCCAAGTAAAAAATTTGACTGGTGTTTTCGGGAAATTTTCACCCCTACTTTTTATGAAAATTTTGTCTCAATGTCACATTTTTCCCGAAATTGTAATTTTCCTCTTTGTAAATAAAGGTCAAACTAATACCTTTTTATGAAAGAATGTCTCAATTCCCCAAATTTGAAATTTTCTCAAAGGTGTGTTTTAGCAATTTTTATCGCGACATTCACGCCGTTTTTAATAAAATTAAGGAATATTATGTTAATTTATATAGAAATAGATTTCCCGATGTCCCAGTTGTAGTCTTTTTTTGTCCAAGATAAAAATTATTTTTTATGCACAAGCTTAAAATAAAATTTGATAAAAATTCAAGTGCAATTCCTTAAACTTACTTTTACTCGTCATAAACTAAGCTAAAAATTTGATGGATTTTTTCGGGAAACTTTGACTCACACGACATACTGTAATTTGGGCGACAGTTAATTTTGTCTTTATGTCTTAATTTCCCCTAAATTGTAATCTTCTTCACTATAAACAAAAGTCCAAATAATTCTATATTTTGTTAAAAGAAAATGTCTCAAGTTTCCCAAAATCCACATTTTTTCCCCTAAACAAAGTTACAATTTCCCTTCTGTGAAAAAGGAGTCTCGATTTTCCCAAAATTTCCATTTTCTCTTCTAAACAAAGCTACAATTAATTTCATTCTGTTCAAGAAAATCTATCGATTTAAAAAAAATACATTTTCTTTTCTAAAAACAAATTTTTAAATTTTTACGTTTTTGCAATTATTTCAGGGAATTTTGACCCACACACATTTACAATTAGTAAGTGTGTGTATTAGTGTAACCTAACTTAAATAAAAGTTAATTTTGTCTTAATTTCCCCAAAACTTCCATCTTCTATTAAAGATATGCAGATAAGTTTTGCAAAATTTTTGCACTTTTGCGAGTCATTCACGCCGTTGTTAATAATAATCAAGAGTAAGTAAATTTGAATGGAAATAGGTCAATTTCTTGGTCCATATGATTATGACATTGTTTTATTTTTGAAAAATACTAGCTTACAATCACTTTTTTTTAATTAGCTACGGTTAAATTATGAAAAAATAAATCAATTTCAACATCAGATATCAATTTTCCATTATCTATTTTTAACTGCGTGTTAGAAATTTGTCTAATTAAAATTCTGAAATGTTAATTTTTCGGTAATTTTAAATATTTTTATAATTTACAGATCAAGCTTCATATTCTAATAATTGTGAAACAAAATCCAATTACGGTTCAATTTAAGTTTTTCAGTTGAAATGTTGTCAAAATTTTAAGTATTATTTCAACAATTTTATATCAGATTTCCATATTTTTTGCGCATTATAGAGAATTGGTTTTTATTGGTATAAAAAAAATTTTTCAAGCGCAAGTCCTAACTTTTAATTCGTAAAACAATTATGCTAAGCTAAAACCTTGAGCTATATATGTTTTCGGGAAATTTTGACCTACACTGTGACCTGAAAAGTAAATTTTGTCTCAATTTTCCCAAAAATTGTGGGTTTTCCTGTTAACAAAGGTCCAATTAATTCTAGCCTGTGTTAAAAGAAAATGTGTCAAGTTCCCCAAAATTTAGATTTCTACTATAAACAAAGGTTCAATTAATTCCTTTGTATGAAAAGAAAAAGTCTCAATTTTCCCAAAATTTCGATTTTCTCAAAGGTGAGTTTTGTTAAGGTTTTACGCTTTTGCGAGCAGTCACGCCGTTTTTAATAAAATTAAGGTTTAAGTAAATTTTATATGGAAACAGATGTAATTTTTGTTCCCTTATTAGCATTTTCTCATCTAAACAAAGTTCCAACTAATTCCATTCTGTGAAAACAAATGTCTCAATTTCCCCAAAATTTAAATCGTTTATACAACAAAGTTCCAATCAACTCCAGTTTGCTATAAAATGTCTCAATTTCCCTAAAATTTCAATTTTCTCCTCTAACCAAAGGTCCACCTAATGCTATCCAATTTCCGCAGAAGGACAAGTCCAGAATCCAAGTCTGGTTCATCATCAAAGTTTCTCTCGAGCTTTGTGACGCTGTGGGGTTCTCCGTCGAGGTGATATTTGGTCACCACACGTCCATCTACATCGCCCCCATGATCGCCAACTTCCTCTTCACGGCTTTCTTCCTCTGGGTCGTCTACGTCTTCATGGTCGAACTCCACAAAACGCCAAAGACCATTCTTCTCGAGGGGAATAAGTTTGTCAAGTTTTTCAAAACGGGGGGACATCGACGATCCAGTGGGTTTGGGGATGACGAAACGGTGTTAAATTCCGTTATGGATGATTAAAAATAGCTAAAATTGTAGGTGGGTAAAATATTTTGTGAAAATGCAGTATTTTGAGCTCAGTTCTTCCCAGGGTTTGGATTTCGGGGGCTGTTACACCCACAAAAGGACGAAAATCTACGTGGAGAAGGTAACAGTCAGGCGAAAATACAGATTTTGAGACCAAATTAACTTCTTAACGCTGTCAAAATACTTTTAAAAAATTGTGAAAACAATTGATTTTGACAGCGATACAAGTTAATTTCTTAACAAAACCTGTATTTTCGACTGACTGTTACCTTCTCCACGTAGATTTTCGTCCTTTTGTGGGTGTAACACCCCCGGAAGTCCAAATCCTTAGAATAACGGAGTACAGAATACTTCTATTTTCACAAAGTATTCCCCCCATCCCTCAATTATTAATTATATCATCATTTTTTCACCGAGTTACCGTCAATACTTGTGGTAAATTATAGGTAATACATATAAATTTATGAGATAATATGATCTAATAAGTCTATAATTAATTAAATAATTAAATTGAACCTGAGTCATGGGATATTTTCATAACAAAATTTACCACCATTTGTTTACATTCTTATCTAATCTTGCCAAGCAGAGGCAGATTGAATATTCTTTATTTTGAAATTTTTGTATTTATTTTGAAATTATGTATTTATCTTAAATACCTAATACCTCGTATTACATGTTTATTCGTTTCACATTGTACTTATCAAATTTTAAGTTGAAGAAAATCTCTTATCTCATGTGTCACAAATTATGGTCCTATCATCATTAACACACGACATTTTACTTGTTAATTTTCAAGAAATGCATACAAATGTACACAACCTGCATGAAAATGATAAGCTTGCATGAGCATCTCGTTTTATTTACCATTCTAAAATTTAATAAATAACATTCCTTAAAAAATTTCTTTCCCAGTTTCATTTCACATTTTCTTGAGAAAGGTCAGAATTCATGAAAAGATAATCATAAAAAATAAATTTAACAAATGGAATCGTTAACAACTTTAATGCTGGTAAGTATGTAACTCTCTAAAATTCCTTCACTTGCGCCTTAGCTAAAAATTATAACATTGGCGCAAGTTAAAAACAACTTGATTTGCTCAGAAATTTAAATATTTTTGCAAATATGAGATATTTTTCCATCCTATTTTTTCAGTGCACCTCACAATCCCTCTTCCTAATGGCGATTTATAGATTTTCCTCGCTCGAATTTGAACTAGATCCCTCCTCGTCGACACCTTTTCGCCCCCGAAACCTTGGACCGTCGGAATTCACGTCGTTGGAAGGTAATTATTTTCCCACAGTGGCCGCGGAAGCCGTGGGGACATCTGGGGACATTAACATTGTAGGATAGGGGAGGGAGGGGTTTGTATAAGATGGGGAGATGATGGGGACATCGAACACCCATGGGGACATTGCCTCTCCTCTGTCCCCACACCCTTCCGCGGCCACTGTTCTCCCCCCTAAAAAAGTGTCTAAATAAAAAAATACAAATTTCTTCCTCCCCCAAAGGATTCGCCCTATGTTGGATGGTCCTTCGTGGCTTGACGGACGTCTACATGAGCACCAATTTCTTAGTGTGTGCCTCCCAAAAGGTAATTTTCAGTGTTTCTGGTGAAAGTAACCACGTGCAAGAAATAACGGGGAAGAGAGTGATTTCTTGCAGAGAAATATTTTGACCTGCAAGAAACGCACGGCAGCAAGTAACTACGCCCCGCTCGCTATAATTACTCATACGGTTTAAACGTTAAACAAATATTTGAAATATTCTTAAACCTGAATTTCAACTGGTACCAAAGCTAATCTGGATCTGTACTTAATTTTAACATTCAAACATTGTAAAAACTCTAAAATCGGCGTGCAAATCCATCAAATTTTCAAAATCAGGAAAAAATGCAGTTTCTGATTTGAAGGGTGGCAGTTTATCATACAGCGTGTGGATGAATGGCGCATATTTCGTGCACTTTCTCCCAGTTTCTTGCACTTCGCATTTCTCCCGTTTCTTAGTTTGCACTGCTAGAAATTTAGCAAATCGGCAAAAAATGAAGAACTATTAATTTCATCCAAAATACTATTAAATTAATTTCTATGCAAATTTCAGACCCAGTCAAAACTTTACTCTTCCTGGTCCCGTTTCGCCCTCGTGACAATGCTGATCGACTCCTTGTTCATGCTCCTCCTCGTTCGGAACGAGACTTATCTTGGCATGGAAATGTTCGCCTTGGTTATCGACGCCGTCATAAAACTTGTCATTACTTGCATATGTCTCAATTTACGGAGAAATTTGGGTGAAGGGGAAGAGCACAAACCACTCCTTTCCGGTTTTACAAATAGTAAGAAGGGAAGGACGATGTGTTAATTAATAAAATAAAATAAAAAGTTTGATGATGTTTACGAAATAAAATTTTATTGCTACATATTTCAGAAATATGTATGTATATTCATGATAACATTAATACGACATTCTTTGTACGAAAAGAAAATTATTTACGTAATGGATCTCCATGAATTAAAATTCACTATTATCAATTAATTAAATCAGAGGAATTAAATGTTCGGCCTCCTTTGAAAATTAGATCATAATAAGTCTATTTAGCGGTGATATTCTTGATATTCAAAATTCTGACGGTGGACGTGAGTGGCTACTTTATTTGCATAGTGTCAAATAGTAAATCCAGTTAACCACTCCCACTTACAGGCAAAATTTTTCCGTAACGTAGGGGGGCACATGACTCGTCGCTAAAATGGTCAAAATCAACACATTTTTAATCATTTCTTAGCTCTGGGAATTTATTTTAAAATTCTGCACGCCAAATTTGTGGAGGGGGGTAGTTGCCAATTTAAAAAAATCTGTCGTCCAGATTTTGAAGGAGGAGGAGTGGCCGCGGAAGCATAGGGACAGAGGGTCAATGTCCCCACATTTATTCGATGTCCGCATCATCTCCCCATCTTATACAAACCCCTCCCTCCCCCCATCCTATAATGTTAACGTCCCCACGGCTTCCGCGCTCACTAAGGAGGAGATCCCAAGGTTATGAACCCTTCAGAAAAATTGAAACTCATCGAAACTGGCTTAAAAACTCACCGCTATTCTACTAATCAATTTACTCACTACAAATTCCCCGTCCAGAATTTTAAAATAAATACCCAGAGCGTAGAAATAATTAAAAATGTGCCGATTTTCACGATTTTTGGGACGAGTCATCGAATCCTACTTACGTTAAAAATATCCACCGCTTTAAGAATGAGAAAGAAAAGAGTCAAGATAATGGAAGTTTGCAACAATATTTAGTGATGTGACGTGGCATGATAAATGATTGGAAATTTAACACTTTTAGCCTATAAACTCTGGCTCCTGCTGTCCGCTGGCTTGTTGTTGTTGACCCTGCTGCACTTGAACTTGACTCATGTCCGCATATGTAAAGACGACGGTGCCCGGTGGGGCGGAAACGGTCGCAGGGTTGATCGTATTCGTCGTCACGGGAGTGTTTGAGGTCGTTGCAGCAGTGACCATTGTCCCCGCAACGGCTGAAGGGGACAGGAGCAGACTTGAACTTTCCCCAATTCCCAGCGGTTTATCGCCCTTGTTTGCTTCCCTGTATTTCTGAAGGTACAGTTTTAAAGGTTCCACATAGTTGTCAAAGCCAAGAGTGGTCATTGCGACGAGGATGTCTTCTCCGTTTATCGTTTTCCGCTTTTCTTGGTGACACCGGTCCGACTAGAATCAAGTAAATTCGTGAATTGTATAAGAATTTCAAGTAAAAATACAGAAAATGTTGGAATAAATGTCTAACAATGGAGGTCTCTCAACGTATACCACAGATTTTGAGCAAATTAGTGAGAATCGATCACAGATTTGATTAGCATTAAATTTGCGAGAGATTCGATCTCCCAATTGGCACGTTTTGAAGAGATATTTGCATCCGAAGAGGAGAAAACACGCAGTAAATTTGGAAAATGTAACGTTTGTCAACTTTAGGGTATGTTTTCTCCTCTTCGGATGCAAAACGTGCCCATTGGGAGATCACGTCTTTTGCAAATTTCATTCTAATTAAACTAGTGATAGATTGACACTAATTTTCTCAAAATTGGATCGCATACATTGGGAGACTTCCATTGCGAGTGTTATGCAACTTACAGCTTCCGATGTGATAAAACTGACAAATTCGCTCACACATTCTTGAACACACTCACGGGCATCCTTCGCAATCTGAAGGAGAGGAGACAGACGACAGGTAAAAATTTTAAATTATACATAATTAATTACAATAATAATTACACAGTTTACTTTATCCGAAAATACCTTTCCACTCTTTGGAATTGATCTTTTCATCAGTCTTGCTACATTTGCAATTGGGAGGAATCTATCTTGTTCACGAAGCATCCCTGTGTGTCGCTCGTCGTCACCATCTCTGCTATCTGGACAATTAAAATTCAAGGTCAATTAAAAACATGGTCAATTATTTTCGTCGTCATTAAAACTTTAAGCAATCGCTGCCTCAAATCAAAATTGAAATTAAATACAAGTTAAATTTTCATCGTCAAGTTTAACTTAAATATATAATTAGATTGATCGGATAACTTAATTAGTTTAACTTAAACTTTTACGATTGCTTAAACTTAAACGATTGCTTATTAAGCAATCGAACAGCTTAAAACTGTTTAAGCAATCGCTGCCTCAAATCAAAATATTTGTGTAAACAATAACACAAATTTTGTCACAAAATACACATTTTTTCTGTAACAATATTGATAAGCCCTTACCTTCCGTGTCCCCATCGATACTCCCCCCACTCAGGATATATTGATCCCCTGCGACGTGATGTTGATGGAGAAACTGTGTCGATAAATCTTCATTTTCACTCGCGCTATCCATCTCAATTTCTTAACAAACTAAGAATATTTAACTAATTATTAAAATCAAGTAGAATTGCTCCTTCTTTTACTACAAATTATATGACTTACTTAATTATTTCTTTTTAACTTTTCAAAATATTAAATATTAAAAGAAGCAAACTTTTTTAAATCGTTGTTTGCTTGCAGTTTACACGATGATGAGGAATAAACATTGGAGCAAAGCGGTGCATCGGGGCTGAATGAGTGCAAGTTCAACGCCGTAAGTGAATTTGTGTGCATTTAATTAATGCATTAGTAATTTAAATAATTCAAATTATGCATTTAAAAAATTATTTTGGGTTCAAGTGAGCATTTATAATTAAATATTTTTTAAAATGTTTTATTGCAGATTTGTATTTAACAGCACAAATACTGATTTTCAGATAGGATCAGACCGTACCAACATCAAAAGACGTGTTTACATACAACTTGTACGGTTTCATTTAAAATTTGATAAAATGATTATAAAAATTTCACTTTTTCCATATTTTTTTTTCTATTTTTTATTACAGATTTTGTGGGATGTGAGATGTCCAAATAAATACAACTGATTATCAGTTCTCAAGAAGTCAAGACACATCAACATTGTGAGACATACATACATATGTAAATATACATAAAATTTGTACGGCTTCGACTAAAATTCGGTAAAATTGCAAAAATTCCACTTATCATTTCTTTATTGACATGAGTTTGTAAATTTACTTATTGCTTATTTATTTTTATTATTTAGAATTGAACACGTTAAATTGGACAAACTGACGACATCGCGAAGTCCAGCGTCCTCCTTTCTCCGCTTCTTATTCCGCAACTCTTCTCGTTTTATGATCAGTTGGAAAAATCTGAAATCAATCAAAATCAGTTTTCACTTCATATTTCTCAGGTAAGAATAGTATCTTCTCTAATTGTATAAACAAACCTGAGAGAAAACTCCCCTCTCGAATTGAGTCCCAATTTCTCTAAAATACTCATAAATTTTTCTATCGAGTCGCTATTTTCTAACATCCAGACTTCAACGCAGGCCATTGAAATTCCTTCAAAGGCAAAGTTTATTAGAAAGCAGTTCTTTCCCACAAGATGAACAAATTTATTTTTCTGTGAGTTTGCCATCTTCCGTATGGTCATGGCGTCTCGAATGACTTGTTGAACGAGACATGTTCCAAGACTGAGCAAACTCCGGACCTGGACAACATCAAAAGCGTGACATGATCGGGAAGGATGTCATCACAGACGGAACTCTGAAGATTTTTATCGAAGGCAGTACTAAAAGGTAAGGACATATATTAATTAGCAGGGAAAAGGAGATTCTAAGGAGAAATCTTCTCCTAGTGTATTTCATATTCCATGATTAATTAATAATAGGCATTGTTTCCTAATTTTACGAATAATTAGCATACGGCGGATATTACGTAGTTCTTTATGAAAAGTATTAAATATTAAAACGAGTCTTTTTCCTACGTATTAAATGCATATTAGGTATTTAATATAAAATACTAATTTGATAATTTTGTAGGAAAAATTCTAAAATAATTACGAAAAATCGTAAAGGCCTCAATTCTTTCAGCTAGCGCTCAGGGGTCCTATTCATTTGTGGCAGCAGGGTAGAGGTGAGTCGGGCCTAAGATTTTCAAAGCCCGGCCCGCCCAAGCCCGACTCAAAAACCCTATTCAAAAGCCCGACCCGCCCAAGCCCTATTCAAAGCCCAACTCAAAAGCCCGGGCCCGCCCAAGTCCAGATTTCTAAAGCCCGAGCCCGCCCAAGCCCTATAGGGCTTGGCGTTGAGAAAGCCCGCCCAGGCCCGAGCCCATCGGGCTTTGAGCCCGGGCCCATAGGGCTTAATCGGGCTTTTTTGTTATGGCGTGACAAATTATTTATACAATTAAAAATTTATACAATTAAAAATTTATACAATTAAAAATAAAATTTGTAGAGCGTTCTAAATTACGCATGATGAAACACGAATTGATAAATAAAGAAGTTCAAATTATTTAACAAACAAATTTTAAAGATTTAGTATTGAATAAATTATTTTCACAGGGTACAAAAATAAATAAACCCCAAAACTGTTAGTGTCAATGATGTTTAGTAAACAAAAACGTAGTTTTTATGAACGAATGTCAGGTTGGATAAACTACTGCCACTAATCCTAAGTTCAGTGCGACTGGCGGTCAAGGTTAAACCGCTGCTTTAAAACACTCTCTCATCACTAACTTGTGATGTGGGGATTGATAATATCCTTGGAGTAATTTTCTGCATCAATAGAAATTGTGTGGCGCCGCACCAAAATTTCAGGATATGCTGACCTAGCTTGATCCAATAGCCTCACCTTCTTTGAATATGTATCCTCAATCATTTCCATTTTGAAAATTTTTGATATTGGAATTACTTTTTAATGAAAATCCTATGAGAATACAATAATGAATTGTGAATTGCAAGTATAAAATATAAATGGTGCGCTTTTGGCCAAACTTTTGACTCTCATATTACTCCTAACTCCACGAAAAATATTAGTCGGGCTTTTGAGTAAAGCCCGAGCCCGACTCAAGAAAAGCCCGCCCAGGCCCGACCCGACTCATGGGCTCAACTCAAAAGCCCGGGCCCGCCCAAGCCCTACTCAAGAGAAGCCCGCCCAGGCCCGACCCGACTCAAAGGCCAAACTCAAAAGCCCGGCCCGCCCAAAGCCCGTTGGGCCTGGGCGGGCTCGGGCTAGCCCGATTAAAGCCCAAGCCCGACTCACCTCTACAGCAGGGGCAGGGATCAACGCTCAACGGAATTCATGAAGACGGAAGACACTGACAATATCAAGCCGCCGTCTTGTGAAGAAAATGCTCCTGGAGGTATTAAACTTGAACTCATTTTCTGCTGGACCTCGAGTCCAATGTCTGTTTTTAAAGCCGCGATGAAGACGACGAGCGATTCTTTCTCAAATTGACACCCGCTCGTCGCCGTTCATAGTGTTAAGACGCCACTGCATTGGCAGCATCTCCTTGAACCCTTTGTAACTTATTTGGACACGCTGGGTGGATGACGGCCTCAGGTAATTAATTTAAAACTTTCCCAAATTCGTAATTTTAAATTTCATTTATGACTTTGTAAATAAACAATTGGAATGGTTTCCTGATGAGACGCAACACTGATATTTTGTCTTGCACTGATCTAGTTCTTATACATCCATGTCTAGTTCACTGGTCTGGACCTTTTTCTTGAAGATGGATGATGCTCCAATTTTATCCGGATTTAGGTATTAAACTTGAACTCATTTTCTACTGGAGACACCGACGCTATTAAACTGACAGACGAGCATTGCCAATTTCATTTTGCTGGTAAGTTATTCACTAAAATTATGTTACATTTAATAATTTATGTTTAGGTAGTCATGAACTTTATGTGTTTAGGAGACTAGCTCGCTGGGAACACTTTGATCTTAGCTAAAAGGCCGCTGGCTGACCTGTTTGTGAAGGAGGAGCCAAACAACAGATTTGTGTACGTCCAATTTACGCATCTATTTTTGAATGACATGCATTGTACATATATATTTTTTAAATACCCGAAATTTTGATAAAATAACTAGATATTTAGTTAACAAAACCTGAATCTTGGAGAGTTATTGACTTTAGTGATTGTTCTCCAATTTTACGAATAATTAGCTTACGGCGGATATTATGTAGGTACTTATCGAGAAGAATTCGTACGCAGTCCATGCATTTATACTTAATATTAGATACCAATTTAATAATTTTTTAACGACAAATTTCAAAAATAATTACGAAAAAATCGTAAAGGCTTCAATTATTAGAATTTTTTGCCTAATTATTATTTTTAATTCAACGCTATTTTTTGTGTAGGCCAATGTTTTAGAAAAAATAGTTCGTATTCTGTATTAATTTTTTGTTGTCTAGCCTAGGAAATTCTTGATCATTCTATTCAATGAAGAATGTTCAGGGTCCTTTTCATTTGTTGCAGTAGGGTCAGCTACTGAAGACACTGATATTATCAAGTCGCCGTCTTTTGGCTTGCACTAGCTTGAAGATGATGCTCCAAAATTTTACCCGGAGGTCGAGGGTCTGACCTTTTTGGTCGTTTTGGGTTTGGTTTTTTTTTTGGGAAGGAGTTGCCAAAAAATTTTATATCCTTTTTTGAATGACATACATTTTTTTTAAATAGCTGACATTTTGGCTAAATAAAGTTTAGTTATGAAAACCTGAATTTTAAAAAATATATATGTATTTATACTAATGTACTAATGTAATAAATAATAAATTGTTTTTATGGGCGAAATTCCAAAATAACTATGAAAAATTCTGAAAAAATCATAAGCGTCTCGGACGCAGGGGCCATTAGAAGATACTGATATTATCAAGACGCCACGGCAAAGCAGCATCTCCTGGGGCTCGACATTTTTGTAACTTATTTCGGCACGCTGGGCCGACCACATAGGTAATTATTTTTAAAACTTTTCCAAATCACAAATGTTATATTTTATTTTTAAATTTTATTTGATTTTTGCAGGTAACCCAAAGACCGACAGTGTGTCGCCCTTAAAGACACTTTGATCTTGGCCAGAAGGCCGAGGGTCTGGCCTTTTTGTGAACGCAGGGTCGACGACGACTTAGATAATTAGTTTAAAACTTTCACAAACGGGCAATGTTTTACTTTATTTTAAATTTTATTCATTACTGTGAAAGGTTGGAAAACGGATGAACGAGCATCACTTACACTCTAAATAAAATCATTACCAAATCATTACCAAAATGCACACGTATATGACTGCAGAAACGGTAATAATAACCACCAGCTGGTAAAGAAATTGATTGAACCCGAAGTGATAATAAAGAACACTTTTTGGGATAAAATTAATACCATGATGTATGACAGATGTACTACAGAATGTAGTACAATGTCTACCACTTGGTAATAAACCATACCACTTTGTACACGGTGTGCTATTCATACCGGGATTAATGCTTTTTATTATGTATACCCCATTATTACCAAATGTTGTGCAGATTTCCACCGAAAATAATAGATTTTTTGCTTTTCTTTACAATAATCTTTTAATCAATTATATTTGTTATAAAATCATTTTGAAACATACATAATTATAAAATTTGAGTATAATGAAAACTATTGAGTTACATAAATACATACATATTTACATATTTATTCTTCTGTTCCCCCTTCAAATTCCGATAAATCATCGATTTTGGATGAGTCCACATCGGTGGACGTCACCAAATAAAATGTTCTGCAGATTAAAAATTCACAATTTTTAGAAATTCTCAATCACGAGCACATTTAAATAATTCGCGAATTTTCACTCACCAGATCCTCCACTGACTTAGAATATCTTGATGAAGGTAGTAGCTTAATTATTGCGGCTGCGTGTTTCTGAATGTTTAAGTGTTTCTGATCGGAGGTTGTAAGAGAAAGTTTTAAATTTAATTGATTAAATTAAATATATATTTAAATATTAAGAATGCTTTAATGACTCACCCTTTCACCTCTATTAACTTTGCTACAAATTCATAACTAAAGTTATCGACGACGTTTTATCGAGGCAGTTTTTCTCATTGCACTCTGCAACCAAACGGAAACTTTTGACGCTCTCAGTCACTGCAGCGTTTACAATCTTCAAAATTTAAAATTGATTTTATGTATTTATTTTCGGATAGCTAAAAATACCGTTAACTGATTGTAACCTGAGTGAAAATATCAAAATCTTCTGAAAAAATTGGGTTCTTCTGAAATCATTATTGGACATCGGCAACTCATCAGGATGTGTAACTAAAAATATACGATATGTTGCAGACTAAGAATAATTTAAGTTTAATAAATTACTCACCGTAAATTATTGATGAAACCTTCGTCGTCGATCTCCTCCCCCTAGTCGTCTTGCAGAAAAATCTCCGTTCCGATTTCCAACTCAAATTTTTGCTTCACTGAAAAAATAAACTTAAGATTGTTATTTACATACTAGTTCCTATTAAGATGGTGCAGTGCAAAATGTAGGTCCCCAATCAAGATCACCATCTTGATTGGGCACCTACATTTGATAATTTGATACTTACCTGTTTCCAAAAATTCTATATAATTTCCAGAAGTTTTTGTCAGTTTTTTCCGTCGGGCAGAATTGGTTTCGGCATGTTGACTTGAGTTGAGCGGAAACTAAAACCGAAAAACGCGCCACTGTGTAGCGTCTCACAATTCATACCAAATGTATTAAAATTTTTTTTTTTAAGCGGGTATTATTTATTATTAACATAAACATTGAATGTATTAAAATTCTTACCTCTATGGTAATAAACTACACCAAAATGTAGATCTCATCAGCACCACAACTTGTAGCGCACGTGATTAAAATTATGGTAAAGAGTGTTTTCTAAATTTGAAGGATATACAAGAGCTCGGTAAAGACGCTTATTAGGAATTCTTTACCAAGTTGCTAAGAGTGTACTTCATCAGGAGACCACCGGTGACGCTTTGATCTTATCCAAAAGGCCGAGTGTCTGGCCTCTTTTGCGACGGTGGAGGCAAATAAATTTCTAACAGATTTGTGCATATCCAACTTACACATCTATTTTTGAATGACATGTATTGTATACATTTTTTAGTACCCAAATTTTTAACAAAATAAAGATATTTAATTAATAAAACCTGAATTTTAACGAGTTAATGATTTGTATGCAAAGTTCAACGCCGTAAGTGAATTTGTGCGCATTTAATTAACAATTATTAATTTAAATAAATCAAATTATGGATTAGGAACGCTTTCAACGAAATACGCAGGGACAATCTTCTACACACCGTCCGAGACCACTTTCCTTCAATCTATGCCTTTGTCTCGCAATGTTACACCAACCCTTCGTCACTTTTCTACGGGACAGTACCCCTCCCTTCGCTACTAGGCTGCCATCAGGGCGACCCTTTGGGCCCGGCCCTCTTCTCCTTGGTGATCCACCCCATCGTTGAATCATTGGACACGGAACTGAACATGTGGTACCTAGATGATGGCACTGTAGCTGATATCCCAGAGATAGTGTTAGCAGCTCTAGAGACAATTTCCAAAATGAGTGAACAAGTTGGTCTCCACCTCAATCGTGATAAGTGCGAAGTGGGTATTCTGGGAGCAGATCGAGACACCGCCATCGACATTCTCCGTCAATTTCAACTCCAGGCTCCTGGGATACAAGTAATGTCCCCCGAAAATGCGATGCTTCTGGGTGCCCCCCTGGAGATCGTCTTGGCCACAAAAACGGAGCAGTTGGCTACTTTCTCCCGCCGACTCAGTAACCTTTCCAGCCATTCAGCCTTTTTCCTCCTCCGAGCATCAATCTCTATTCCACGCCTTATATATTTTCTCCGTTGTGCCCCAACGTGGAGAAAGTTGGACGCTCTTACCCACTACGATGCTGCTCTCAAGGACGGGCTGGAGGCGATCCTGAATTGTTCTCTTTCGGATGCTGCCTGGATACAGTCATCCTTACCTGTGAAGGAAGGCGGATTGGGGGTTAGACATGCTTTGGATGTGGCGATACCGTGTTTTCTTGGGTCCGTCCACAGCGCTTTGCCCCATGTAGAACATCTCCTTCCAGTTTATCTACATAACACTGACATCGCCATGCAAGAGGGAGAGCAGGAATGGTCCGCCTTTGGACCCACGGAACTACCCCCCGAAACTGTCAGAGGAGTCCAGGGCGCATGGGAGCGTCCAATTCTGGACGTCACTGTGTCCCAACTTTTGCTTGACGCCTCAACTCCAGAAGACACTGCCCGCTATAGAGCACTACGCGACAAATTTGCCGGGGCCTGGCTCAACTCTGTTCCGTCCCCCCAACTTGGTACCCTTTTTTCAAATGAGGCTTTTCGCGTCGCAATCTCCCTTCGTTTGGGTTGCGACATCTGTCAACCCCACACCTGCCCTTGTGGAATTCAGGTCAACTCGCGAGGCTATCATGGTCTCTCCTGCAGGCGAAGTGCTGGGCGGTGGTCACGCCATGCTGCCGCTAATGCCGCTAATCGCGAGAGCTTTGCGTTCCGCCGAAGTCCCCTGCATTTTAGAGCCGGCCGGATGCTCCCACCAAGACGGAAAGCATCCCGACGGTTTGACCCTCGTCCCCTGGGCAAGAGGAAAATCTCTGGTTTGGGATTTTACCTGTGTGGATACCTACGCCCCTAGTCATCTCCCCAACACAATCCGGCACCAAGGCGCTGCTGCTACCAAAGCAAAAACAAAAAGAGACGATATTACGCTTTTCTCGAGGACCGCTTCATTGTTATGCCCGTTGCAATTGAGACGACAGGTATATGGGGGCAAGAGGGATTATCTTTTATTAAAGACATTGGTCAACGGATCGCTGCCACGACTGGAGAACCACGCTCCACAATCTTTCTCCTCCAGCGATTAAGCATTGCAGTTCAACGTGGGAATATAGCTTCAATCCTGGGAACCCTCCCACCAGGAAAAAAATTCAACGAAATCTATTATATTTAAAACTTTTTCATTTTTAATGACATTGTTAACAAATTTGCATGTCTTGATAAATGTAACCATTATGAATTAGTAAATTTAAATAAATAAATGCTTTATAATTATGGATTTAAAAAAATTATTTCCGGTTCAAACGAGCATTTATAATTAAACTATTTTTATTCTTAGGTGAGGCATAGTAACCATAAGCACATGAAAAAGTGCATGGTTACGGCGAAGCCTAAGAATGCAAACAGACCCCCCCTTCAAATATTCCACCGAAGATTGTGACAGAACGGCTAATCGTACCAAAATGGTGTAAAAGGCAATCGTGCAGACCTTGCTGGGTAGATAATGCCCGTCAGGTCTAGAGACATGAGAATCTTATTTTAACGCATTTAAAATCGATTTTAAACTTTCAAACGACTGGCAAATTCACTTTTACCATGCAATGATAGTGCGAGACCCTGATTTTCATGTGCAGAAATCTATAACGCGTCATTTAAAGCAAACCCGAGCGAAATCGGATACGAAATGAAGGACTTTTCTTGGTGGCATCTACAGCCAGTTACGTCACAGTCCTCTATTACAGTATTATGCATACATAAATATGAGGTTTCTATTAGCAACCAGCATAAGCGAATTGAGACCTGTACTGACATATGTAAATGAGTGCATCTACATATATGTATATCTAATATTTATGCACGTTCTTAACTGTGAGTCCACACCCACAGGAGAAACTAAGTTGGTACACTCTTAGAAATCCAATAATACCAAGCGGTATTCAAAAACACCACTCTGTAAAACTGGTATGGAAAGTAATACCATGTAGTACACCCTTAAAACCCGGTATTAATCGTCACCAAACGGTGTACACATGCGACGTAACCAAACGGTGATAATGTTTTCACCGCTTGGTGATAAATCTTGCCTGCATGGGGACAAATTGTCACTGACTGGTGTTAATTTTACCACCATTTGGTTACGTCGCATGTGTACATGTTATTACCGCACGGTGTAGTCACATGTGCACATCGTTTGGTGACGATTAACACCGGGTTTTAAAGAGTGTAATGGCTCGGTACAAGATTTGCCATATCGGTAGCAAATTTTTACGGATCGGTATAATTTTAATACCGCGCGGTAGCAACTTTAATACTGAGCAAACAATACCTGCCTGACCATACCAGATTTCTACAGTTTACATATAGGGGAATTAATCTAATATGCAGCGCATCTTAGACTTGACCCACATATTATAATTAATTTGGTATTTAATGTAATGCATCTACACCCTAGGGGGATAGTTAATTTCGGAGGGACTCTTATTTGTATGCTTAAAAACAAAAAATAAATAAATTCTTTTAAAAAAAGCTTAGGTGAGGCTTGCTTAAAAGGGGAAAACAAGCTGTTATCATCGTGTACTAAAATAATGTGGTGCATCGGTGTTTATCCCTGGATTTATCATTTTCGGTAAATATCCCAACAACATATGCACTATGGACCATTTGCCTCACCGTGGGCCGTTTTATGCTACAAAGAATGTAAATAAATTTTAAATTTTACCAATTTTAACCTCGGTGAGAATATGCGATAAATATGAAATGATACTGGATTTACGAAATTCCAAAGTTTTGGAGATTTATAAAGTTGGATACATAGGTAGCTTATACATACGTACCAATGCAAATGATGAGTTGCTATTAACAAGTTAGCGATGCAGTGCAAAAAAATATTTAGAAATAAAGCCAAATCTACGCTAAATAAAATTACGCACCAGGATTTTAACAAAACTGTTCCTGAGATTTTCTTCAATATGATGAAGGTTTACTCAATCGAAAAAGAAAACCTAGTGATTGGGGTTAAGTAATCCAATTTGGTTGCTTCGTTGACTTCGTTCATATATTGCTGTGCGTTCCTAATTTTGAGTAATTTGTTCTGATCATTAAGTAAGAGTCATCGAATATCGTTATCTGTAATCGATTAATGATCAAACTTATTTATGACCAACATTTAAGGACACTGAATTTTAAAAACTTAGGCCTACATAAATAAATTTTTGAAATAGATATATTTATGCTGGTCATAGAAGATAATATTATAATCTAATTATGGCGAAGTTTCATTATTGCAAATTTTTCATATCAATATATCATCAAGAGGGTATATTTCGATTAAACAATTGATCACGGCCCACGGTGAGGCAAATGGTCCCTAGTGCATATGTTGTTGGGATATTTACCGAAAATGATAAATCCAGGGATAAACACCGATGCACCACATTATTTTAGTACACGATGATAACAGCTTGTTTTCCCCTTTTAAGCAAGCTTCACCTAAGCTTTTTTTAAGAATTTATTTATTGCAGATTTGTATTTAACAGCACATAATACTGATTTTCAGATAGGATCAGACCAGACCACATCAACATCAAAAGACGTGTTTACATAAAATTTGTACGGTTTCGACTAAATTTTGTAAAATTATTGCAAAAACTTAACTCTTTCCATATCATTTTTTGTTATTTTTTATTACAGATTTTAATTAACGGTTGACAAATGCATAAATACGGATTATTATCAGTTCTCAGACCGCATACATACATCGTGAGACGTACATACAACACTTGTACGGTTTCGACTAAAATTCGGTTAAAAGTATTGCAAAAATTCCATTTTTATTATTATTTCTTTATTGAGATCAGTTTGTAAGTACTTAATTTACTTACTGCTCATTTATTTTTATTATGTAGAATTGAACACGTTAAATTGGACAAACTGACGACATCGCGAAGTCCAGCGTCCTCCTTTCTCCGCTTCTTATTCCGCAACTCTTCTCGTCTTATGATCAATTGGAAAAATCTGAAATCAATTAAAATCAGTTTTCACTGTAATAATTCTCAGGTAAGAAATAAGTATAATATCCTCTAATCAGCGGCCGCGGAATCGTGGGGACAGAGGGACAATGTCCGCACGGTTATTCGATGTCCCCATCATCACCACACGTTGTATAAACCCCTCCCTCCCCCATCCTACAATGCAAACGTCCCCAGATCATCTGGCCAGATGTCCCCACAGCTTCCGCGGCCACTGTCCTCTAATTGCATTTACAAACCTGAGAGAAAATTCCCCTCTCGAATTGAGTCCCAATTTCTCTAAAATTTCCATAAATTTTTCTATCGATTCGCTATTTTCTATCATCCAGACTCCAACGCAGTCCATTGAAATCCCTTCAAAGGCCGAATTATTAGAAAGCAGTTCTTTCCTACAAGATGAACAAGCTTCTTTCTCAGAAGCGAATTTGTCCTTTTTCCGTTTGGTCACGGCGTCTCGAATGACTTGTAAATTTTCCAGGTTGAACGAGATATGTTCCAACCCTGAGCAAACTCTGGACCTGGACAACATCAAAAGCTTTACATGATCGGGAAGGATGTCATCACAGACGGAACTCTGAAGATAGGGGAGGATAAGGCAGCGTCTCATGGCAAAGAGGTGGATCGGCATTTTTATCGAGGGCAGTACTGAAAGGTAAGGATAATACAAATTAATTAGTGCTGATTAATTTTAATACTAATTAAAAAACAATGACTATTGTTTAATAGTTATTGTTTCCTAATTTTACGAATAATTTACATACTACGGATATTGGAGGTTTATCAAAAATTATTAATCGGTAAAAAATATTTTTCATACGTATTTAATTTATGCACTTTAATAATATTTTTTTTCGAAAAATTCTAAAATAATTCCAAAAAATCATACTACATAGGTCTCAATTTCTAGGATTTTTTCACCGATCGCTCACGGATCCTATTCATTTGTTGCAGTAGGAGCATATGTCAACAAAGAGTAAGTTATAAACCCCCAAACCTGAAGTACTTTAGTTTTATTTGTGATTTCTATAGGCAAACAATTGGAATTTTCACTGAGCCCCCACAATTGCAAAGGAAGACACTGATATTATCAAGCCGCCGTCTTGTTCCAGAATCTGGAATCCAGATGACGATGCTCCAAAATTTTACCCGGATCGTCTAAATATTCAACTTCAAACTCATTTTCTGGAGTCTGAGTCTTGAGACCCTTGGTGGTACACTTTGATCTTAGCCAAAAGGCCGAGGGTCTGGACTTTTTGAGAAGGGGAGCCAAATAAATTTCTAGCAGCTTTGTGCACATCTAACATATTTCTTTTTTAATGACATGCACTGTATAAATTTTTTAAATGCCCGAAATTTTTGGCAAAATAAAGATATTTAGTCAACAAAACTTGAATTTTAAAGAGTTAATGTTTTGTGTCAAGCTTGTGCATCATATAAACTAGAAACTACATAAATAACCGCCGTATGCTAATTTATCATCAATTAATATTCATGTAAATATGTACCATCTCCTCTTTCGAAATACTGTCCCACCAAGACATGCAGAACACCTTCCTCAATGGCTCTCTGAAACGGTGGAACTATTCCCTCCAAGGTCCCAAAACCCCCCTGAATCCCACACCCACACAACCTCAAACTCCTCCCATCTTCCAAACACCCCTTATACAACATCTTAAAAAGGACCGGATTCAGGCTCGAAAGCTGAATAATTTTCTGCACCAAATCCTCCTTGACGCTCCTCTTCAATGGAAACAAATTCAAAACCAGGCTGCTCATACTCCTCGGCGCCCCCACCAATTTCGAAATTTCCCCACATTTCGCATACAACAATGCAAACGTTACAAAATGCGGAAAATAATTGACCGCTTGAATTTGTACACTGGTTTCGTCCCCCCTCGGAAATATCACTTCACGATAAACACTCGACACAATCTGGTCAACTAATTTGTCAAAAACTTGCGGATTTTGAATTGCTCGAAGCATCCCAGAAAACGGGAGGAGGTGTGTCTTGTCCTCAAAAAAGGTGAGAATGACCACCCACGTGAAGAACATCTTGGACAAGACGGGCTCAAAGGATGCCATGTAATTTGCATAAAGCACCTTATCCGAGATAAGTGGTAACAGCAGTACCGTCACGTCGGCCACTAACGCGTCCTGCGCCACCATTTCCGGTGAGATTCCTAAATCTTTAAAGTATTTTTGTACCAGCAGATTTTTCGCGAGGTGGAGAAAGTTACAAAATTCAGAGATATCATTATCATTTTCAGACTTATCAAGGGACCCTCCTCCACTTTGTACACATTTTAATATGGGACCACAAACACCACTTATCACACTTTCTTCCAAGTAATATTTGGCCAAGTCTTGTTTTAAGGTGGTCACTTCGCGTTGCTTTAAAAAGAGATGAGTCGACGCTAAAACGCGTAATAGAGTCAAACTAGAAATTTTCCCGTCCTTATTATTATTTGTTCCTAAAAATGGGAACATTTCCATATAAAATTCTGTAACTGCGGTCAACATTGTTCGAATTTTTGTAGAAAAATTAATGTTTTTATCAGTTTCCGTACTTTTTACGGAATCCACCAATTTTTTAACGCCTCTCCGCAACTTCTTGTCGTAACTTTCTCCCTCGAGCTTTCTCTTTTTCGCTTCCGGGTCAATGAGGTCAAACGGTACGAAATTTCCGACAAAAATACAAAATTCATCGTCCTCTTCGATCGGTGACATCATTTCACGAAACGCTTTTATCGCTGTGTAGTTATTTCCATTGTTATTATTTTGAGCATCAGTTTGACCCTGATATCCAAGCAATGATAACGTGTAACTTATCCAATTTTCCAGCAACGATGTTAACCCCGCTTTAAACAATTGTCTCCCATACGATCTGAACGGTGTGAGGGCGAAAACTTGCAATTTCCCTCCATACCAGAGTAAACCATAATTTGCCACAATTTTCAAAGAATTAATCCGATTAAAGTCTTCATTCCACGCTAAAATTTGGCAAGATTTGGCATCGTACAGAAAAATTCGGTTGCTCGAAACGGAAATTATGAATTTCCCGTCCTCCGTGGGGAACATTTTGCTCGGGGAATAATTAAAATCTTGATAAGTTCCCGGGCATCGAGGCGGGTCACATTTTTTCGGGTCGAAAAACCCAACAGGTCCGCGTGTTCCGGGGGAGAGGTCGACTTTCTGACAGGAAATGACGCCACCGTCCATCCCACAGCGGAAAATTCGCCCCGTTTCGACCTCTCCAATGAGCAGGTGTTCTCGTCCTCCTTGGACTTCGAGGGGGACGAAACATAACCCGGCAGATTTGATGTCCCGCTTAGAAGAATTGTTAGCGTCGGACTGAATTATTCGGGTGAAATCCTCTTTTTCCAGGTCGCACAAAAACGTGGCGGCGAGAGTGGAAATGGCGAGGTATGGGAAGGAACAGTCAATCTGCAAAATTCGGGATTGCAGACGGAGGATTATTCGGGATGGGGGAGGTCGGGGAAATTCGTCCAAGCTGGCGACCTATTAAGTACATAATCAAATAGGAGATATTAAATTTCATGAGTGAAGAAACCCGATCTGCTGAAAATCGCCAAATTTTTTGAAGTTTGCAGTTAAAAATAAATTTCATTAAATTTATGCAAAATTGATTCTGCTGAAAATTAGTGGACAATTGCCAATTCTGAAAATTGCAAATTTTTCTATCGAATTTTGCAGCTTAAAATTAGAAATAATCTTGCTGAAATTAATCTAAATTTTAAATTCTGCCCAAAATTTTTCCACATTTACGTATGTACATTCTCCATAAAATTTTTGGGAAATTGTGCAGAGCTTTGGAGTATTTTGTGCGTCTCTTTTTCAGAAAAATGGTAAACTTTCTACTTATCCGACCAAATGTATTTAAAAAAAACTAACATCCGTCTGTGAAATAACTCCTTGATTGTCCCCGACAAATAAGAACTTCCCATTTGGACTCCATCTCATCTCCGTGACCTCATTGTTCACGTGGTACGGAACGTCGTACAAATGTCTGAACGCGTCTCCCGGTGAAGATCGCATTCCTCTCGGCTCCTTCTCCCGTCGAGATTGGAGTACGTGAATCGTTGGCGAAATTCTGTACAGCGCGACGCGACCCCGAATTGACGCCACGGCGACTTCGGATTCATCCCCGGACGCCACCACGTTACACACTTTCCCTCCGGTGAACGGAATCATGAAGAGGAAGTCGAGCGTGTCTCGGGAAAAGAGGTAAACCGTGCCGGAAGTGGATCCCACGTAGAGAAAAAGGGTCGTTGCTTCAACAAAAGTTACCTGTACAGGTTAATTAAAAAGTTTTGTACAAGATTTCCAGTGTTTCAAAATTCTATATTTTAAAATTCCACAAACTAAAAATTTTGACGGGATATAACTTGGTTGAAATTTTGCATTAAAAACATTTTGAACAATTTCATAATTTACGAATGTTTCGGGGGACAAGTAACCACTTGCAAGAAATAAGGGGGAGAAAGTGGTTTCTTGCAGGTAAATATTTCGACCTGGGAGAAATGCAAGGCGCCAGAAACTACGCCCAGCAGGCGCTATGTTTCACACGATGCGTGGCTGGATGGTGCATATCTCCCAGTTTCTTGCACCCCCCATTTCTTGCGTTTCTTGCTTTTCACTGCAAGAAATGTAGCAAACCTGTGAAAAAAAACGAAACTGTTGCTTATAGCTCTGTTCATGTAACTTACTGTTTCGTATACATCTAATTATTTATTAAAGGAGAGACAGGTAGATAAAAAATTAGTTTGGAGTGAATTTTGAAATATATTTTGACACGGCGGCTATATGTATATCGTTGGAGAAATCTGGCCTTAATTTTAATATTGAAGACATTGTACAAACTCTAAAATCGGCGTGCTAATCCGTCAAATTTTCATAATCATGGAAAAATCGGAATACAAATCGCATTTTCCGACGTAGAGGGTGGTGGTTTGTGACCAAAAATTTCGAAAACTGAAACTCGTCTTATACGCTTTGGTCCACAATTTGGACGCAGTGGCCGCGGAAGCCGTGGGATATTGACATTGTATCTTAAGGGAGGGACGGGTTTTTATAAGATGGGCATCTATTCTACATATCACTGGAAAAAATCTGGTCTCAATTTTAATATTTAAAACATTGCAAAAACTCGAAAATCGGCGTGCAAATCCATCAATTATTCACGACTACGCCACGCCGCCTAAAAGTGCTTGTAGTTGAATTAAATGGCGCATATTTCTTGTAGTTTCTTGCACCTTGCATTTTTTAGAAATATGGTAAACCCGCAAGAAACGAAACACTCTTTTAAAAATTTACATACATGTCTCGCCTTCGAACTTGTCGTCCCACTTGAAGAAGATCCGAGGGCAAATCCTCCCCCCTGAAAATCCAGGCTGGATATGTCCACATTCTGAATTTCGACAAAGAGTGGAGCTTGTCCACTCTGACCAAGAGATCGGTCTGTTTAAAAATAATTACATCAAATTAATTAGATTTCCACTAATTTCGCTAATAAATTTAAATCATCTTCTTACCTTCCATTCATCCGTTATTATTATGCCAAACTTATCACCTATTCGGTCACAAATTTATTTTAATCACATGATTTTTCCCTTCCCATCGTAAATATGTACGTAGTGCGGAGATATCTGTAAATTGATTTTATTTGAACAGAAGGGATGGCTGGATAGATATTCTCCATCAAACAAACTGGTTGGTTAAGTTGTTTGCTTTTCCATGCATGAATAAGCCTCTGATTACACAAGTGGTACTGGTAACACGACCATGATGGAGAATTATCATGTGGATATATGCACGAAATGAAAGGTGAGATGAGTGACGAGAGGATGATGACAAGCTTTTGTCATCATCCAGAGAACTTCCAGAAGTGCAGACCAGAAAGTCCTTATGTTTGTCCTGCTTGGGTTTAGTTTCGAGAACTAAACCCAACTGTGAGAAATGTTTGTACGTCAAACCAAACATCACAGACTCAGAATATTTATATGCAAGGCCAAATAAGTTAGTTACGGCAATTTTGCAGCAGACGTATTAAATTGGATTTTTAGGCTTATCTACCCGTAATGGTTGTCTGTCTGTCTATCGATTATATCCTCGTAAAACTTGTTAAATCTTGAAATTTTGGACATGCAAAATTAAGTGTCAAGGTGGAAAATGAGCAAAATGTGTGGAGAAATAAGTAAAGTTGTAGTCGTATTACATTATATCAAAAACACCTCAATTATTAAAAACAACCTGACTCGGGCTAAAGAAAGTTGCACAGTTTTATAAGGATTATTGTACGAATTTCATCAACGGCATGCACGGAGGGAAAAAGGTCTGCATGAAAATTGCGAAATAAACTTTATGTACCGGCCCAAATCTCTCTTTTTACGATATAATTTGCCAACAATAATCATCATCACGAAGGAAAACCAGGAGCACAAACAAAGTTTTTGCTGTGCTACTTCATAATACACGTTCTCGTAGTGCAAAATAGAAAGAAAGCACGCATTGCGAATCTATTTTTCCACTTTCTCTTATCCGATATGCGTGGGTTTCCTCCTCTGCTCGGCGTGAGTAATAAATATGCATAGAAAATACTTTCTTCTTACTGCTAATTGGCGGATTGATCCAACCCACTTAATTGGGTAGGACATGCAATCGATGCGAGATATATGTACATATGCAAAATTGTTTTTCGTCCGTTTCCTCGATTTAAATACTTAAAACTAGCAAAATCCTGGTTGAAATTGACCCATATTTCTTAAGAAAACATTAAAAGCATCACACTCTTGGAAATTCAGCAATCCAGAAAGCTATGCATAATAATAAAATTCATGCAATTTTCATTTTGTTTAAAATGCATGCAATTTTCATTTTATTCTGGTGAAATACACATGGCGTCGATTTCATATCAGGATAAATTCGAGTAAACAATAGCTAATGAAATTGATTGGACATTGATCTTATGTTTTTTATTGCACATGACGTAGACATGTGTCGACGTATGATTGGGACATGACTCAGAATTTCTTTGTTTCATAATGACAAAGAAAATATGTAACTTTATGTAAGTCAAATGGTCTCGAGTAACTGACTGACTTGACTGGTGTCAGATTTCCGTTGGCAATGCATATGAAATGAACAAAGCAAATTATATGCACCCCTACTTCTCTCCCTTTGATGAAAATATTATTTTATTTAGTCTAACTACTAAACACACATATGTAAAAGTCGGTTAAATACATAAATTCGCAACATTGTAATTTATCTTTCACTTCCAAATTCAATATTTGCAATTAATCCGAACCAGTAAACTGTTACTGACCTTCAACTTAACCATAGAATAATTCGCACAGCTAATTTTTTGCACATACGTTCCATTTCGTCAAAACTAAATCAGAATATAGATCCTCAAAAATTTAATACAATACGATAAATCTATTTCATAGAAATTTGCCACCTACTTAATAGTTTTGTTACTGGCGTTCAACTTAACCAAACTAACCGAGTGTAATTCGCATTCCTAACTTTTTTGCATATTTCGCCCAAAATTAATTAGAATTTAGAATATACCAAAATTTACAAAAATATATTTCATGGAAAATTGTCGCCTCCTTCCACCTCCTCCCACGATCAACATAAATAATATAATGATTCACCCAACTTGTGGATCTGATCTGAGAAAAAGTACAAAAGTGGCTGCAATGATTGATTCGGTAATTGACAATTTCCAAGAAAAATTGCACTCAACTCAATTAATGTACTATAACTCTGTGACTCATCGTCAAAATCAGCACATTTTTTATAATTTCTCCACTCTGGGAATTTATTTTAAAATTTCTGAACGACAAATTTGTAGAGCAAGGAGTTCCCAATTTTGAAAAAAATATACACTCCCGATTTTGACACTTTTTGAAGGAGGAGATCTCAAGTTTAAGAAACCTTCAGAAAAATTGGACCTTGTCGAAACTGGCTTCAAAAACTTACCACCGTTCCATTAATCAACTCTCCGACTACACAACTACAAATTTGTCGTCCAGAATTTTAAAATAAATTCCCAGAGGGGAGAAATGATTAAAAATGTGCTGATTTTGACGATTTTAGTGACCTTTTAAGCCAGTTTTGAAGAGTTCCAAGTTTTATGATGGCTTCTTAGCCTTGAGATCTCCTCCTTCAAAAAGTGTCAAAATCTGGAGTGTAAATTTTTCTATAAAAAATGGCAACAATTTGCTCCACAAATTTGTCGTCCAGAATTTTAAAATAAATTCCCAGAGGAGAGAAATGATTTAAAATGTGCTGATTTTGATGATGACTTATCCAGTGCAATATTATTACTAGATTTTATCCGGCTTCTTAATATTCTGCGGAATTGCCGTTCTCAACAATATGTTTGTCGGAATTCGAGATCCTGAAGCGTCTGGTAATAAAAATATTCAAATAACAATTGCTCATTCCGAATTCCTCCATAAAATTCTAGCTAATTTTAATATGCAAATGACTCATTCACTAATTTATTATGTTCATTGGTCTATTAATAGCTTTTCCAGTCGGGTGCATGATCTTATTCGTCGTCATCATGGGAGCCGAGATGTATTTGGCATTCCGTCTTTATAGAGCTGCTCACGAGGTAAATATGCATATGACTCATTTACATATGTACTTTCTTGATACCGGCTTAATGACCTTTGACCCTCAATGTAAATAATTATGACGTAATCGTATCTATTAAGTGAGATGAACCCAATGCATAAATGAATTCACAAGTTTGAGAGAGTTCTGAATTTTCTTGTTAAAAAGGACTCGATTTTGGCATTTTTTGCTCATTTTTGCTAGCAGCTGTAGAAATCTTACATAAATTGAACTAACATTTGTAACTCTTGATTTTTTCTTAACGGCATGCAAATCTACCAAAATTTCAAAGATTTCCAAAATTTGAGAATTCTGCAGAATTTTCCGTTTAAAAAGGACACGATTTGTAAATTTTGCAGAACTCTCAAAATTTTGGAAATTTTTGAAATTTTGATAGATTTGGTAGATTTTGGCACAGATATCTGAAATCTATATATACTAACTGATATTTGTAAATCTTGCCTTATTCTTGACGACGTGCAAATCTACCAAAATTTAAATATGCATTAAAATATGCTCACAAGGTAAATATGCATGTATGACTCATTTACATACTTTCTTGATGCCGGCTTCGTTAATGACCTTTGACCTTTTACCCTCGATGTAAATAATTAATTGTGTCAATTGAAATGAAGCCAAGTGCATAAATAAATTCACAAGTTTGAGATATTTCTGGATTTTTTCTATATAGTTTAAAAATGACACAATTTGGGCAATTTTTGTGCTCATTTCTGCCAGAAATAAAAATAATCTGTATATGGTAAAGTGATATTGCAATTCTTACCGTATTCTTAACGGCGTCCAAATCTAAAAATTTCAATTTCAGTAAATTCTAAAATTTGAGAGATTTCCGAATTTTATAGTTAAAAAAGACTCGATTTTGTCATTTTATGCTAATTTATGTCAGAAATTGCAGTATATGTACGAAAGTATGTAGAAAATATGTACGAAATATCGGCATTTGCTAATCTCACCTTAATCCCAATATTCCTAATCGCGTCAAAATCTATCATATTTTACAAATTTCAATAAATAAAAAAGTTTGACATATTTCCGATTTTTAAGCTAAAAGGACGCAATGTAGACAAATTTTTATCAAGAATAGGAAAAACATCTAATATAAATAGCTCGCATTTGAAAATCTTGTCTTACTCCTAATGGCGTCTAAATCTACCAAACTTTCAAAATTTCAATAAATTCAATAATGTAAAATTTCTAAATTTTTCAGTTAAAAATGATACGATTTGGACGAAATTTAGCTCATTTTTGCCAAAAATTAAAAAAAACTATATAATTACTAAACTGTCACTTGGAAATCTTCCTATACTTTTGAGGACGTAGAAATCTACCAAAATTTAAAAATTTCAATTAAATTTGAGACATTTCTGAATTTTATAAGTAGTTACAAATGATTCAATTTTGGTCAGCAATTGTAGAAAATCTATATTCCATTTGGAAATCCTACCGTATTACCAATGGCGTCCAAATTTTGGACTACAAATCTATCAAAATTTAAGAATTTCAATTTCATAAGTTTGCAAATTTTTTGCATTTTCTAATTTAAAAGGACACGATTTGGACACATTTTTTGGTAATTTTTTCCAGAAATTTTTATTAACATTATTTGCACTACTGGTCTGGTATGCTATGCACTAGGAATCTATATACTAAACTAACATTTACGAATCCTACACCATATTCTTAACGACGTCCAAATCTACCAAAATTTCAAAAAATTTGAGAAATTTTTGAATTTTATTGTTACAAAGGACTCGATTTTAGCATTTTTTGATCATTGTTATCAGCAATTGTAGAAAATCCGTATTACTAAACTAGAATTTGCAAATCCTACCGTATTCATAATGGCGTCCAAATCTAACAAAATTCAAAATTTCTGAAAATCCTAATCTCATTTTCAAAATTCTTCTCCTCTTTTTTTAACAGAGAGACATTCAACGTTTGACAACATGGCGAAAAGCGGCCGGGGCCGTGATGACAATTTCCACCGTTTTGATACTCTTGATAAGACATACGATTTCGAACGTTGCGCCCCCAGCGCCACCGCCGCCGCCGACGCCACCGCCGTCCTCGCCCTTCCCCCTCCTCTGGTTTTATGTCGTGTACTTTATCGCCGCAATTTTTAGGATGTACATGCTCTGGATTTTGTGGGCGTTTCTGGGCGAATTTGACCCTTCGGAAAATTCTCGGTTAATAAGTTGATCGAATTATTTCTTTAAAAGACTGACGATTATTACGCATTTGTATTTATTTTGTAAATTTTGTGTAAATAAAGAAACATTTTTAGGAGAAAGATGAGTCCATTTGCTTATCAAGAGAGATGATAGGAACGTTCCAGTGGCTGCGGAAGCGTGTGTCGGGACATTGTCCCTCTGTCCATATTTCGATGTCCACATCATCTCCCCATCATATAGAAACCCTTCCCTCCCCTATCCTGTAATATTAATGTCCCCACAGCTTCCGCGGCCACTGGGAGAATTCAGGCTACTCAAATGTATGAACATGATGCAGTGGCCGTGGAAGCTGGAGGGGACAGAGGGACAATGTCCCCACGGTTGCTCGATGTCCGCATCATCTGCCCATCTTATATAAACCCCTCTCTCCTCCCTCCTATAATGCTAACGTCCCCAGATGTCCCCTCTCCTTCCGCGGACACTGGTCCCACTTGAAATAATTGGATTATAAATAACTATCGTCATCATCTCTTAACAAATCGCATACTGAGAAGAAGTCATTAAAATGTAGTTTGATTTTGTCAAATTTTCCGCATCAGGGAAACAAAACACTGTTTTTGTTGATTGCCGACTTAATTAGTGAACTGGACGTACACAATTCCCGAGAGTAATTAAGATATCTCGTTACTAATTAAGACGCATATATAAATCTCGTATATATAAAAGCATAATCTGAGATTGGGCAGTTATCATTATTCAAATTTCCATTGTCCAAGATGAACTCAAAGGTAAGAACGGTTAAGAAAACGATAATTATTTACTAAAATCTCCAATATTTTTCCAGATTTTATCCGGATTTGTCCTCCTCCTCGTGGGGCTGGTCGCAGTCACGGTTGCGAACCCCGTCGCGGAAGAAGATAGTCATCGTGACGCCAGATTCTTCGGATTGTTCGGAGGATATGGCGGTATGCAATTGTTTTCATGGAAATGCTTTAATTTTCTGACATGCACTATTAAAAATCTGGTGGAGTCAGATACCTACTCCGTACTGGTACTGATTTGGTAATAAGTTCCTACCAGATTGGTAGTATTTAGTTTGCTTCTGCCTTGTAAATTTTTTATTACCACAACATTACTAAACGGTAATGCCCGTTATTATCAGTTCCGGGAGAGTCACATATCCATGTACTCGGGTCGGTTATGATTTAATACCATTTGCTTAAAAGTGTGCGATATTGTGCTTACAGGCGGGTACGGCGGTTATCGAGGGGGGTACGGTGGCTACGGATGGGGCGGATATCGCGGCGGATGGGGCGGCGGATGGGGTGGTTACCGAGGAGGTTACGGTGGGTGGGGCGGGTATCGAGGCGGGTACGGAGGGTATCATGGCGGATGGGGTGGTGGTGGTGGTGGGTGGGGCGGCGGCCATCACCATGGAGGATGGGGACGTTAAAGTGACACGATCTTTAAAGAAATTCTCATCTCGATTTGTCGTAATTTGATTTCATATAAATCTTGAGATGAAATAAATACGAGTAGTTCAACATCTATGACTGTATGTATGTACATTAAGATTAAAGACGTGCATGCATACAGAATTCCTTTAATTGCATATGAATAACAAATACATTCAACCATTCTTAAATTAAAGCGTGCATGTACTGGACACGTGACACTGAAAACATGAATACGCATCCATTATACTTGTCTTAATAAGGGTCCATTCCATTCCGTCGAAATAATAATAAACTACTCGTTTCCGTCGTGGAATGGAATTTTAGATCTATTATGTCCAGTTCATGAGTGCATGCAAGGTTAAAACATTTTGTGGTTTGAGTCGCAGTTATATTTAGTTAAGTGCACTCATTGTGCATAAAACTCTGTATATACATATATAATTTGGAGTTTTAGAGCATAAACTTATACATATGTACATGTCACCCCTGCATTTTTTCTTAATATGCATCGCATACCAAGTAATCTTTTACTTACAGGCTTCCAGTTTACATACATACATCACTCTTAATCCTAAGATATATAATACACATATACATTTACTTAAATCGTACTAAATAATCTGGTGGTGGGTCAATATTATATATTTTCATTTAACCATCATGACATAACATGAACCCCTGATCACAAGTCCAATTACAACAAACTTTAACTTTAATCTCGTCACGTTTACTTTTATGTAATTTTGACATTTGTCTTTATCAGCGTTAAAGTGACACAAAAATGTTGCGATGAATCATGATTCATGAATCAGTCAAGATGTGAATTGTGAATGCATTTAAGTGACATTTCAGATTCTCCTTAAAAACCAAGCTCTCCATCGTACCAAAGTCTCAGTCGGATATTAGCAAATCGGGTCGTATGTACAAGTGAATAGTTAACTTAATTAAGAGTATAGTTAATTAAGTGGAATAATTAAACATGAAGCCGATATACCAATTTCTAGTCACTTTTTGTGCTCTTTTCGTCTCAATTGATTCCGCGATACCGATGTATTCGCGAATAAATGGCAAAATCCATTGTAACCAAAAATATAAAGGGAAAGTTCACAACAACAAGGAAAATAATTTGGTTGTGCCTTTTGGAGAGAAGGGGATATCGTCTTATCGAGATGATGCCGACTTATCGGTGGTAAGATACAGTTGATAATCATCATACCGAGATATGTAAATATTCATAAACGGAGGGAGGAATATGTAATTATGAAAAATCGTAGAAATATGTAGGTAATAATTACGAAAAAATTTGCCAAAATGCGAAGTACGAAAAATCATAAAAAATGCATCATAAAACTTGTATTTCTGAATTTAATCCTCTGCATTTTTTGTGGTCTAATTTCTTTTAGCAAAAAAGAATCGTCTGAAATCTGTACAAAATATAAGGATTTTTGAAAAAATGTATGTAAAACATTTACAAATTTTTCAAATAATATCGGAAATATTTATATTTCTGAAAACCTAGAAATATGTGTCCCAATATGTAAAAATAATTTGGAAATTTTTGCGATCTCTGCGAGTTAGGGAACACACCCACAAAGTTTGACCATCGATCATCATATGAAAAAGTTGGAAATAAATACATATCCGCCCTCTGATTAACAATCATACCAAAAATTTGCATGTTTCTAATACAGACTTCTTAAAAATTAGCCCGACCTCATCACAAAAAACGGATACCCGGTCGAAATTCACCACGTGGTTACAAAAGACGGCTACATTTTAGAACTTCACCGAATTCCACATGGACGCTCGGGCGACCCGGGTGGTAAAAAACCCGTCGTATTTTTGCAACATGGATTTCTCGCGTCTTCCGCGGTTAAAAAAAATATTCCAAGAATTTTATACTTTTCGGAAACCAATTTTTCGAACACTACTTTTAGAATAGTTTAGCTTTATGATTTATTTCATAAATTTTATTACAGGACTGGATTATGAACACGCCAGAGAAATCTCTTGGTATGAGAATTTAATAATTGTAAATTTCTAAAATTTTTAAATTTTTAAATTTTAAAATCGGACAGCTTATCAACTCGCCGATAAAAATTATGACGTTTTCCTCGGAAATGCGAGAGGCAACACGTATTCTAGAAATCATACCACGTTGAGTCCGAAAGATGTCAGATTTTGGAATTTTAGGTCAGAAATTGAAATTTGACTCAAAATTCGTCATAATTTCCCTAAATTTTGGCATAAATGATAACCATTTTGAACATACATAGTTATCATGAAATGGCCATCTACGACGTTCCCGCAGTGATTGATCACATTTTGACCACAACTGGAGAGCAGAAGCTGTTCTATATTGGCCACTCCATGGGCACCGTCATGTAAGTATTTTATGTATATCATTATTTTTGCACACGGATTTCGCACAAAATTAGCACGCAAATTGCAAAGTAAGAAAGTAAGAAACATTGCAAGAAACATTGCAAAGTAAGAAACGCGAGAAATGCGATGTTTTTTGAAAATTTGACAGATTTGCACGCCGATTTTCCATTTTTTTGCAACGTAAATAATAAAATTAAGACCAGATTTCCTCAATGATAGCTTCCTAATATATATAAACCCGGCCTTCCTTTATCACAATATTAATGTCCCCACAGCTTCCGCGGCCAATGCGCCCAAATTGTGGACCAAAGTGTACGAGACGAGTTTCAGTTTTCAAAATTTTTGGTCACAAAAACCACCACCCTCTACGTCGGAAAATGCGATTTGTAGTCCGATTTTTCCATGATTATGAAAATTTGGCGGATTTGCACGCCGATTTTAGAGTTTTTGCAATGTCGTAAATATTAAAGCTAAGACCAGATTTTTCACATGAGAGAAATCCCCGGTGTAAAACATATTTCAAAATTCACTCCAAACTAATTTCTTATCTGCCTGTCTCTCCCTTGAATAGTTAGCTGTATAAGAAACATTTAGTCACAGGCAGTGGCCGCGGAAGCGTGGGGATAAAATCAGTTATTCGATGTCTGCATCATCTCCCCATTTTATATAAACCCGTCCCTCTCCCATCCTACAATGTTAACTAACGTCCCCACACCTTCCGTGGCCACTGGTCACAGGAACAAAGCTATAATAAACAGTGTTTCGTTTTTTTGCGGGTTTGCTACATTCTTGAATTGCAAAGGAAGAAATGCGAGGTGCAAGAAACTGCGAGAAATCTGCGCCATCTTGCCGCGCGCCACATTTGCTCTGGGCGTCGTTTCTTGCGCCTTGTATTTCGTGCAGGGAAAAATATTTACCTGCAAGAAACCACTTTCTTGCACCCGAAAAACTGATCATGCATACCATTTCAGACCGTTTTCTTGAATTCTTTTCAGGTTTTGGGTCACAATGTCCCACTTTCCCGAGTACAATGCCAAAATTCGACTCATGAGTGCGCTCGCCCCTGTCGCATACGTTACCCATATTAAAAGCCCGATCCGACTTTTGGCCCCTTTCGCCACGGAGGCAGAGGTAACAAGAAATGCTATTTCGTAATTTTATTAAAAACTGCAATAAATAATTTGCACTTTTTGCAATAATTTACCATAATTTCCCAGCTCGTCCTCAAATTTTTTGGCGACCATGAATTCCTCCCGCATCGCGGATTCATCAACATTTTTAGAAAAATCGTGTGCCAACGGGAACCCGTGGGGGAAGCCATATGTGAAAATGTTGTCTTTCTTATCGCCGGATTTGATAAGGCGGAACTCAATGAGGTATCAATTTCAAAATTTTGAAAATTTTCAAATTTTTTTCATCCTTTTCACCTAAACTCTCTAACTTTTTAATTGTTCTTAAAATTTCTAGACCATGCTTCCCGTAATTTTGGGTAAGTTTTTTAAGTAAATTTCCCCAACCGTCACCATTGGGTGAAAATTGATTACCATATTTTTACTTCAGGTCACACCCCCGCCGGAGCTTCTACCCACACTTTGATCCACTTTGCTCAAGGCATCAATTCCGCACAATTCCGACCTTTCGATTACGGGAAGGAGGAGAATCTAAAGCGCTACGGACAAGAGGAACCTCCCCCTTACGAACTGGCCAAAGTTTCCGCACCCATCGCCCTCTTCTGGGCGGACAATGACTGGTTGGCGGCTAAAATTGTAAGACAACCATACCTGTTCACTTTCATTCATGTGACTGATTATGACAAAGAATGATAGTGAATGACAATGAATTTCCTGTGATTTGAATGAAAATGAGTGAAAGATTCCGTCATTTCAGATGAGTGACTGTGAATGAAAGGATTTTTCACTCATTTCATTTTTCACCATATGCTTAATACATGGGGCGAAGTAAGAAATGAAGTCAGATGAAGTGAAATGAAATGAGTTCGAAAGAAAATGATTGAGTGTGAATGAAAATCTTCAGTCAGAAATGGGGATGGCTGAACTATGAATGAAAAAAGTTTTTTTGAACAGGTATGAAGACAACACATGTATAGGAGTCATTTGCTCGAATTATCGTAGATAAACGCTCGAGATTGGTTTTGATTTTAAAAAAATAACCCAAAAATTCGGGTTATATGGATCAAAAATTAAAGAAAGTCCGTAGCTCTTCTGCTCTTTGAAAAGTCAAAGTTTCCAAAATTCCAATAAGTGTTTCGGGTGCAAGTAAGACCACCACGTGCAAGAAATAAGAGGGAGAAAGTAGTTTCTTGCAAGGTAAATATTTTGACCTGGGAGAAATGCATGGCGCATGAAACCACGCCGCGCTGTTGTGCTTCATACCGCGTGTGGCTCACATTTCTCCCACTTTCTCCCAGTTTCTTGCACCTCGCATTTTTTGTTTGATGAAAGAAGCATGGTACAAATCTTAAAAAGAAGAATGCTCTTCATGAACAAATTAAGAAATGTGGATGGCCAGATTATGGATAGATGCATTAATTTGCATATTTTTAGAATTATATCATTGTCTCCTTTTGTGGATTGTAAGATTTTTAGAGTTTTGAGGTATTTCCACGTCATTTTAGAAAATAGAGTGATTTTTTAATGCTAAATTACTATGCAGATTACTGAATAATTATTTGTGTCGAGTGTCGACTCCAAGATTTTTTTGGAATTTTAAGAGATAAAAAATAACGAGACGAAAGTGGTTTCTTGCAGGTAAATATTTTGACCTGGGAGAAATGCATGGCGCATGAAACCACATTTCATACGGCGGGTGGCTAGATGATGCATATTTCTGGCACTTTCTCCCAGTTTCTTGCACCTCGCATTTCTCCCGTTTCTTACTTTGCAGTGCAAGAAATGTGACAAATCCGTAAGAAATTAAACACACCTTGGTAGAAATGACTGCAAGAAAGTGATTTTTTGCAGCTATTTTGACCTGGGTGAAATGCAAGGCGCAAAAAAACTGTGCCCGCCGCTATACTTCATATGGCGCGTGGCTAGATGGCGCATCTTTCTTGCACTTTCTCCCAGTTTCTTGCACCATCCAAGAAATGTAGCAAACCCGCAAAAAAAACGAAACACTATTTATTATAGCTTGTTCCTGTGACCGGTGGCCACGGAAGGTGTGGGGACGTTAGTTAACATTGTTGGATGGGGAGGGACGGGTTTATATAAATGGAGAATGGAAAAATCTGGTCTTAATTTTAATATTTAGGAAATCTTAAAAAATCTAGAATCGGCATGCAAATCCGTCAAATTTTCAAAATCATGAAAAATTAGGAAAACAAATTGGATTTTCCGACGTGTGCATGTGACCAAAAATTTAGAAAACTGAAACACGTCTCATACGATTTTGGCGCAATGACCGTAACAATGGCCGCGGAAGCTGTGGGGACATTAAAATTGTAGGATAGGGGAGGGAGGGGAGATCAGATAATGGGGAGGTGATGCGGACATCGAACAATGGTGGGGACATTGTCCCTCTGTCCCCAGGCACCCTTCCGCGGCCACTGACACAACGATTACATAAAAATTGTCAACCCACTTTCTCAAATTATGTATTTAAAATTATGTATATACTTTCTTCCAGGACGTGGCCGCCCTGGCGTCCCAGTTGCAAAATGTGGTCCTCAATTATCAAGTTCCCTTCAAAAAATTCACCCATCTCGACTTCATTTTCGCCATTGACAGCGACAAGTACGTGTACAACAACGTGTTGGAAACGATGGAGAAATACTAGCGGAATTCATTTAGTCTGTCGTGATTTAAAAAAATTAAATGCTTATCGCTCTCTCATAATTTTTATGTATTATTATAACCGTTTCTTTTAAATAATTAAAAAAAATCGTATAAAATTAATGTAAAAATTAACACTGCTCGTATTTTAGTTTGCATGAAATAATGCCACCAACAACAACACTGGACGAAAACATGACTGTCTGAATTTTGAATTCATTTCAACATTCATTTTTAATTCATTTTAAAATTCATTTTTAATTCATTTTAAAATTCATTTTTAATTCATTTTAAAATTCATTTTAAAATTTTTAGAACTGATTGCAGAGAAAGTGCTGTGAAAGTGAAGTGAAAGCTATATATGCATGTAAAAATTACGACAGAATTACCAAATTTTTGCTACATTTCACTCATAATTAGTTAGTGATTTTATTTCGTTACGAAATTTTCGAAAATTATACTTCATATCACATTACAAAATAGCATTACCCCCAATAATAGCCTCCTGCACAAATAAAAGAAAATGTCAAATTTCCATGCAAAATTTACAATTACGATCAATTCACGCGGTCATTGGTATTATTTATTTATGTAACTTTGTAAAACCCTTAAAATCACACTTTTGCAAATATTTCCAACAAAAATGAGCTTGCATTTGTGTAAGTTTACTCAGATTTAGGATGTTTTTTAACTTTGTAAAATTATTTTACGAAGTTTACGGATTTTACAAAGTTACCAAGGACTGCGTGAATCTCTTTGATATATTCGCTTACCATAGTATGGATATCCATAACCACCATAACCACCCCACCCCCCGCGGTAGCCCCCCCATCCACCATAACCGCCCCACCCAAATCCCCCCCATCCCCACCCAAGCCCAAAGAATCGCCCATCTCTGGAATGTTCAGCATGAGCTCCTTCCTCCCCCGTGGGTGCGGCACAGGCCACACCCAGACAAACAAGGATGAGGAAAATGCCCTAAAAATTTGGAAAAATTTTCTATAAATTTCTTAAAATAAGGTAGCAATTTTTTATATGTAAATTTCCTACAAAAATTTATGAAAATTTTCTGAATTTCTTATAAAAATGTACAAAATCTTCAAACCTTGTTGTAAAATTGTATCCAAATTTTTTATACATTTTTTTCTACAAAAATGTATGAAAAATTTTTGAATTATAAAAATGTACAAAATCTTCAAACCTTGTTGTAAAATTGTATCCAAATTTTTTATACATTTTTTTCTACAAAAATGTATGAAAAATTTTTGAATGTATAAAAAATGTATAAAAAAAATGTATAAAAATGTATAAAAATGTAAAAAAATGTATAAAAATGTATAAAAATTCAAAATGTATAAAATTTTCTTATAAAAATGTATGAAAAGTTTCAGAATTTCCTGTAAAAATGTGTGCAAATTTTCATATCTTCCTATAAAATTGTATCAAATTTGGTTTAATTTTCCTACAAAAATGTACGACAAATTTCAAAATTTCTTATAAAAATGTATACAATTTCCTATAAAATTGTGTAAAATTTTCTAAAATTTTCCCTAAAAATGTAATTGCATAGTAAAATTCTTACCAAAAACGATTTCATAATTTTAGTCTGATTTTATTTCACCACAAATAATTCTGGTTGTGCGAGTTAAATTAGTGTATTAAATGAGCATCAGGCGTGTTATATATTTGGTTTATATATCTGGCTAATAATTAGCATCTAATTTAAGTTTTGGTCTTAATTACCACATAATTTTCTACCTCATTCCGAGATGTTGTTCTTGAATAGCCACTGAAAACTAGTTGGTCAATGTCACTCATATCAGTGTCATTATTACCTCATGTCATAAATTTGACCATGAATCACGCACAATTTCCGCTTTTACTACGCATTTCATATATCGAAAAAGTACAAAAATTACAATACTAATTTGTCCTGTTGGATCTACCTCAAAGGGACTGTGCAGAAAGCATGTGATCGACTTTAGGGGGGACAAGGTATCTTATCCTTCCCATGTTAATTATAATATGGGGCGTATAGGTCACACCGGGTGGTGGGGGGGATATGGGTCAATATTTCGCTTCCGTGACCCATATTAAAGGCCCGGTCCGACTTTTGGCCGGTAACAAAAAGTGGCATTCAGTATGTAAATTTATTAAAAACTGCAACAATAATGCAGGATTATGTATGCATTTCCAAAATAAAAAAAGTTTGCCCATTTTTGGTTTCACCCCTTCGTTACACGCGTTTATTTGTTTTTTGTATAAATAAAGTTAAGACGTTATTACAAAAATGATTAGGACCTCAATCAAAAACGTCTACATTTGAATTGTTCTAAACCAAATTCCAATTGTTGCACCTATACATTTTTTTCGGTTTTGCCATTTTAATGAAAACATGATCTTGTGGCGTTGAAATTATCAAATTTTGACTTTGGCACGCTTTAAGGTTGGAGTTTCTTGTAACAGTTGAGGTATGGCTGCCGTTGTAATCTGCAATCGAGTAAATAAAAAGATGAAGGATATTTATAAACTAAATTTGACTAAGAATGGACATCTCCCAGCGGATGTTCTCCGATTTTGAGCAAATTAGTGTCAATCGATGACAAATTTAATTAGTATGAAATTTGCGAAAGACACGATCTCCCAATGGGCACGTCCAAAATCGTGCAAATTTGATACGATTTAAATTTTCTCCCAATTGGCCCGTCTGGTGCAGATATTTGCCCCCAAAGAGGAGAAAATGGATAGGAAATTTTGAAAGTGTAACATTTTATGACTCGTTTTCTCCTCTTCGGATGCAACTATCTCTGCCAAACTTGTCCATCGGGGGGTAGGGAATTTTGCATTATCTCCCAATGCTCAAGTTTGGCGGAGAGATTTGCATCCGAAGAGGAGAAAACACGTCATAAAGTTGTATACTTTCCAAATTTACTGGGCGTCTTCTCCTCTTCGGATGCAAATATCTCTGCCAAACGTACCCATTGGGGGATCGTATCTTTCGCAAATTTCATCCTAATCAAATTTGTGATCGATTCCCACTAATTTGCTCAAAATCGGATCGCATCCGCTGGGAGACCTCCGCATCGTCGTGTAAATTGTGCTTTTTCTCATACGCTATGTGCTCCAATCAGCTCCAAATCTGTGAGGTTTGGCATCCCATAAAATCGTGGAATACAATTGTTCGTGACCTCCGGTCCGAGTCCCCTCACCGACAATTTTCTCAAACCTGCGTAATATAACACAAGCTTTAAAATGTATCTTAACATGAAACTCGTCGTGGAAATCAGCACATTTTGAATCATTTCTCCCCTCTGGGAATTTATTTTAAAATTATGTCCGATAAGTTTGTAGAAAACATATTCATATTCTCGATCATATTTGGGGTTTTTTTCCTTCATTTTACGACTTTTTGCCAAATTCTAAAATTTTACATACTAAATTGCCAGAAAATTTGACTTTCTCAAAATTATTCAAGGTTAAAAAATTATAGAAATTGCATTCAGTCTGGCGTGACTTAATTAATTGTCAATTAATTAAACCGCCTCTGAACCGTTGTATTGATAGAAGCAAAAATATAACAAAATGAAGTCATATTGTGGGGATTTTTATGGTCATTTTTCATTCATATTTTGAGATTTTATCCATCATTCATATCCGACGTTTGCTTATTAGGATAAGTCCTAAATTGCTACCTGGGTTCGATTCAGCCCACCGTTCCCGTCGCCCCGAGGGGACGAAGATCTGGTCACTCTCCTCCCGTAAATCTGCCCAAAGCAGAAACGTCTCCAAATTCGGGCAGTACTCGATCACTCCTTCGACGTAGGCTGAATTGACTTTGGAACACGTTTCCCCCCACATCCGGATGTCCCTCCGCCCCCCAACGGCGTAGTCTTCTGGGCGACCAACTATCACGGACATGTGCTTCACCGCGGGCCAAAACAACTTGAGCCAGGACCATTCCAAGCTGAGGAATCCATCCGGGGTCACCTCCTCAATTTGTACCTGTTCAAAAATTTAAGGTTCATTCAAAAGTCTGAGAAGATTTCTGACTGAAGATTTTCATTCATTCATATTCGTTCAAACTCATTTCACTTCACTTCATCGGACTTGATTTCTTACTGCGCCCCATATATGAAGCATAGGGTGAAAAATGAACGGAGTGAATAATCCTTTCATTCAAAGTCATTCATCTGAAATGATGGAATCTTTCAGTCATCTTCATTCAAATGATATGAATTTCATTCAACATCATTCACTATCATAATCAGTCACATGAATGAATGTGAACAGGTGTGCTTTGTGTTAAACATAGGGTGAAAAATGATAGGAGTGAGAAACCCTTTCATTCATATTCATTCATCTGAAATGAGTGAGACTTTCAATCACTTTCATTCAGAATTCCATTTTCATTCATCATACATAATTCGTGAAATGACGAAATCTTCAATCATTTTCATTCAAATGGCAGGAAATTCATTTTCATTCACCAGTCAAGTGAATGAAAGTGAACAGGTATATACCTTAACCGTGGTCAATTTATCCCACACGCCCTCCTCCTTGAAGGGGATCAAAAAGTCGAGCATGAAGAGGAAGACGGTCGCGTCATAGTCGGCGACCACCCGAACGCTGAAAGTCCGGATGGAGCGATGCACTTCCGGCAGGCTGAGGGTGCTCTCACTGGTCGTCACGTGACTCCGGATTCCACTTGTGAAGAATTCCACATCCAATGTCACTTCACAACCATACCTGTTCAAAAAAACTTTTTTCATTCAAACTTCAGTCATCCCGATTTCTGACTGAAGATTTTCATTCACATTCACTCATTTTCGTTCAAACTCATTTCGTTTCATTTCACTTCATCTGACTTCATTTCGTACTTCTCCCCATGTGTTAAGCATAGGGTGAAAAATGAAATGAGTGAGAAATCCTTTCATTCACAGTCATTCATTTGAAATGACGAATCTTTCACTAATTTTCATTCAAATCACAGGAAATTCATTTCCACTCACTATCACTCGCCACTCAGATGAATGAAAGTGAACAGGTATGCTGGCAACCGTACCTGGAACGCATCGTGCGTAGAAACGTGGCCAGACTGGGCGGCAAAACGATCCCGCTGACTGAAAGGTGGAGCCGTTTCAAACCCCAGAAGGCCAGGAATTCGAATACTTTGACGACGTTCGGGTTGTCGAAGGAGGTCGAGGGAAAACCTGGGCATCATAAAAAAGGGGTTGTAAAACTTGTTTAAGGCTCCTATGGATGACGCGTTAATCTCACTCTACCCCTATTCAATGTCTTTAAATACAAATTCTAAAATGACATCAACTTCATGAGTTTTGAGAGAAATTCAACTTTTAATAGATTAATTAATGTAAAGCTTATTTTTTGGGGTTTTGCAATTTTTTTCTACGGGTTTTGCACAGAATCGAAAACCGGTTTTACCAAAATTTGAAAAAATCGAAACCCCACCTCGGTTTTTTAAAATCTTTTCCGGTTTTGGATGCCCTACGTACCTGGGACACAAAGCGTGACATCCTTTAGCGAACTCGTCGTCACATTCATCCTGAAAAGGGAGGTGGTCAACCGGCCCAGAAATTTCTCCCCCTCGCCGAGAAACTTGGTCACGTCGGCCTCCTTCAGTTTCGGTGACGGCGAGGCGCGTAAGGCGGGCGCTTCCACGCGCACGCTTTGCAGCGGGGCCGACGTCAAGAGTGCGGCCACCTTCGTGAGCATGCAAACATATTTCACACCCTGCTCCAAAATTGTTTCCGTTTCTGGGAGCTGCACCGTCAGGAATTTAAGCCGGGGAAAAAGAGATCCCGCCTCTTGAGCATTGAATGCGCCACTCAGGAGTCGTACCTGTTCAGAAAAAAGCCTTTTTCATTCAAAGTTCAGTCGTCCCGATTTCTTAGTGAAGATTTTCATTCACACTCAGTCATTTTTTTTCAAACTCATTTCACTTCACTTCATGTGACTTCATTTCTTACTTCGTCCCATGTATTAGGCATACGATGAAAAATGAAATGAGTGAGAAATCCTTTCATTCACACTCACTCATCTGAAATGACGGAATCCTTCACTCATTTTCATTCAAATTACATGAAATTCAATTTCATTCAAATCACAGGAAATTCATTTTCACTCAAATCACAGGACATTCATTTTCATTCAAATCACAGGAAATTCATTTTCACTCAAATCACAGGACATTCATTTTCATTCAAATCACAGGAAATTCATTGTCATTCAAATCACAGGAAATTCATTGTCATTCAAATCACAGGAAATTCATTTTCATTCACTATCATAATCAGTCACATGAATGAAAGTGAACAGGAGTCGTACCGGAAGGGTCAATTTCTCCAATTCTGGCATTCCAGAAATGATCCCGGTGATCCCTCCGACTTCCATTTTTGCCAATTTGGACTGATTGAACGCGGTCATGTCGAGGGTGTGGATTTTGTCGAAGAGAGCGCGAGAAAGACAGCGCCCCAAGTTTGGCACCGCTTCAAACGCGAGAAGGGTCAAGTTTGGTTGGGGGCGGACAAAGTAGTAGGCGCAGTTCCGGAGGTAGGCGTCCTGCAGGGATTGCAAGGTTTTTGGCGAAGATGGGAGGAGGAAATTGGGTAAAAAACGGGTCAATTTCCGGCGAAGTTTCTCAGATTTCGTGCGGGCGCCGCCACCACAATGAAGAAAAAATTCGGATAGATGTGGCACCATTTGGTAGAATTTTACGACTTGATTCCAAAAAATGCAGGTTTCGCGACATGCCAACAAGTCGGTGGAATCCAGGTTGGAGAAAATTAAGTGAAGGACGGTGCCCTAATTAATTACACGGAATATGTAAATATGCATATCATTAAAGATCACTTTAAGATGGAGGTCTCTCAGCGTATGCGATCCTATTTTGAGCAAATTAGTGGAAATCGATGACAAATTTGAGTAGAATGAGATTTGCGAAAGACACGATCTCCAAATAACTTTTGGGATATTTGCATCCGAAGAGGAAAACACGTGCAGGATATTTGGAAAGAGTAAAATTTGTCAACTTTAGGGCACGTTTTCGGGTGCAAATATCTACGCCAAACGCAAGATTGTGTAAATTTCATACGATTTAAATTTGCGAAAGACACGATCTCCCGATGGGCGAGTTTGGCAGAGATATTTGCATTTGAAGAGGAAAAAACGTGAAGGATATTTGGAAGGAGTAAAATTTGCCGACTTTAGGGCTCGCTTTCTCCTCTTCAGGTGCAAATATTTGTGCCAAACGTGCCCATTGGGAGATCGTGTCTTTCTCAAATTTCATCCTAATTAAATTTGCCATCGATTGACACTAATTTGCTCAAAATTGGATCGCATACGCTGGGGGACCTCCATTCCGAGTGCATAAATTGCATGTATTTTGCTCTCAATGAAATGAACAGCCGATAAGAATTACCGGAAGTGCAGGTAACTGTACTTCCTTCTTCTCCTTCCTTTTTCGAAACATTTTCATCTGTTAAAAAATGAAGTTGTAATTTTATCCAATTCGTATTATCGGTAGCTAAAAAAGTAAAAAAAAAGTTCTACTTTTGGAAATAATGTCCTCTGAATTTTATTTCACTTCACGTTAGACTCGGTGACTCAGCGTCTAGAAAATCAGCACATTTTAAAATCATTCCTCAGCTCTGGGAATTTATTTTAAAATTCTGAAATTCATTCTGGAAGAAACCACGGACGACAAAAAACTGGAGAACCAATCCCTTAAAAATGTATTTCTTTTAGCAACGCAAATTAATCAAAACAGCACATCAAAATTTGTCAACATAAAAAATTCTGAGCATCATTCCTTAATCGATCAGTGTCATTTCTTCAGTGGTCACCCGGCAGTGACCTTGACCTTGATGATGACGATGGGAAAAATCCTCCTCGGCGTCGTCCTCCTTCTTGCCGTCTTCTACCAGCACATCGCTCACTGCCAAGAAGAATCTTTTACTACTCCTCCTCCCCCCAGCAATTCTAGCGATTTTACGAACGAAACTAGAACGGAATTCGGCAAGTCTAAATCACAACGGAGGCATCTCCTCAGCGGACGCTCTCCGATTTTGAGCAAATTAGTGTCAATCAATGACAAAATTAATTAGGATGAAATTTGCGAAAGACACGATCTCCCAATGGGCACGTTTGGCAGAGATATTTGCATCCGAAGAGGAGAAAACACGCCTTAAAGTCGACAAATTTTACACTTTCCTAATTTACTGCACGTTTTCTCCTCTTCGGATGCAAATATCTCGACCAAACGTGCTCATTGGGAGATCGTGTCTTTCGCAAATTTCATCCTAATTAAATTTGCCATCGATTGACACTAATTTGCACAAAATCGGAGAGCATACGCTGAGAGACCTCCATTATGAGTTCTATTAAATTTTATTAATCAAGTTAATTAATTAATTTGTTCACCTTGTTAATTAGAATTTAAGTGCTACAAATGCACGGAGAACAAAGATTGTGCTTTTAAAGCATACCGACAAAAATTCCAGAATGAAAACACTCCTGACACTGTTACCTGTGGCGGAAACACGACTACTGTAAACAGTACGTCGTTATATTTATTTACAAAGACGTAATTAACCTAGGTCTCGATGACTTGTCGCCAAAATTATTAAAACCCACACATTTTTAATCATTTCTCCCCTCTGGAAATTTATTTTAAAATTCTGGACGACAAATTTGCCGTCAGTGAGTTGATTAATGGAATGGCGCTGAGTTTTTAGCCAGTTTCGACGAGTTGCAATTTTTTTCTGAAGGTTTCTTAACCTTGAGATCTCCTCCGCCAAAAAGTGTCAAAATCTGCAGTGTATGTATTTTTTTTTAACTGGCAACTCCCTGCTCTGTCGTCTATAATGTTAAAATAAGTTCGCAATTTTACAAAAATATATTGATTTTGTTTGGCGATGAGTCCAGTGGCCGCGGAAGCCGTGTGGACATTGCCATTGTAGGATGGGGAGGGAGGGGTTCATATAACGACATCGAACAACCGTGGGCCCATTGTTCACACCCGCGGCCACTGATCGAGTCCTACGTTAACTGGGAAATTTTTTAATTACATAACCCAAATTCTATGACCGCGCAGAGTGCATGACGAAATTCAACGACGCCGGTAACGCCATCGAGAGGGGATGTCTGCCACGGAATTTCACCATATATTTTGCTGAAACAGATCAACCGTGCAAGGGGAACCTTCCCGCATTTGAAAAACTTGGCAAGGGGTTCCAAATGTGCGTATGCAGTAAAGAAAAATGTAACACCAGCGGGAACTTTGCGACGTGGGGGAAGGACTTGAAAATTGGGGTCATTCTGGGCGTTCCTCTCTTCTTCTTTTTGCTCGTGACGTGGGGCAAGGCGATGTAGGGAGAAGGAAAATTACGGCAAAAAAATATGTAGTCCAATGATAAAGTAAAGTGTAATTTGCAAACTTGTCATGATTTTTTGCAAACTACAGATACATCAGAATTCTGTCTTAAAATTTTGTATTTAAATTTCAATAAACATGCAATCTAAAATGTGCAGTCGACTCGAGTACAACTTTGATGCAGTAAAACTTTCAATATTTTACCAATTGTTTTTAAAATTTAAATATGAAACGAAATCGATTCGCAATTTCTGAAAAATTTTCAAAATTTGTTCCAAAAAGATGCAAAAGGTGTATGTTTTCATGCAAATTTCAGCTGAGATTTGCATGAAAATATATGTGTGTCCTTCCTTAGGACATAAGTCGACAAATTAAAATTTTCGCTAAAATATTTTTACACCACTTTTTTAAAACTTAAATATGACACAAAATTAATTCTTCATTTCTCAAAAATTTCCAAAATTTGTTCCAAAAATCATGCAACAAAGTACATTTTAATACAAATCTCCGTACAATTTGAGACGCAGACCTGGAGCGAAACTCAAATTCACGGCAAACTTTGCACATGGTCCAGTCTCTCAAATCTCAATATTTTCCCGATTTCAGATTTTGATTAAATTTTCCAATTTTTAATTCCCCAAATTTAAAACAAAAATGGGGAAGTACAATCACAAAACGAAGGTGAAGGAGGGCTTTAATCGCCACTCCCACAGTATGAACCCCGACCGGAAGAAGGAGGGTTTGAAAGGGGTTGGCAAACCCAGAGATAAAGCAACCATTAAAAGGTTGCAAATGTATCGGAATTTTAAAGCGAAGAGAGACCCGACCGGAAAAATTATAAGGGCCGCCCCCTTCCAAAACACCCTCCCCAGTGGGAGCGTCGCCAGGGTTGAACCAAATCAAAAATGGTTCGGAAATTCGAAAACTATTTCACAATCTGCCCTCCAAAAGTTTCAGGAGGAATTGGGCAAAGCTGTGAACGATCCGTATAAGGTATTTAATTAATTGTAGTTAAATTATTTATTTATTTATGCCAATTTGTAACAAATCTGGAGTAATTTTAAGCAGAAACCAGTGTAGAAGCCAGGTCGTATTTATGCAATTCAAAATTTCCAAAAAACCATTTATTTGTAAAAATATACAATTTGCAAAATGATAATTTGCACACGTAAAGAAAGCTATTTCCAAAATTTTATCAATCTAAAAGTGCAAATAATACATTACCGATTAGATTTTATTCATTGATTAATGAACAATATATATATTTGAGACTTTAATTTGACGGTAGAAAACGTCGTTAATTAAACAAACTAATTAATTCATGATGGAACATGTGAATTAACTTTAATTGCAATTAATTGTAATTTTTCAGGTCGTTATGCGAGCTACCAAACTCCCCATCACACTTTTGAACGAGAAAGCAAAACAGGCCCGCGTCCACGTCCTCGAGACGGAAAGTTTCGACAGCGTTTTTGGCAAAAAGAAGACCAGGAAGCGACCAAAGTTGAAGGTGGCTGAGTTGGACGACCTCGTCCAATCGATCGAAGGTCGTCACGAGGCGTACGACCAGACCAAGGACAAAGATTTGGTTCGAGATGCGCCCGATATTTGGGAGCCGGCGAAAGAATGGGTCAACTCGGCTGGACAAAGTAAACGGATTTGGAACGAGTTGTATAAAGTGATTGATTCTTCAGATGTCGTTATTCAGGTGAGAATGAAGAATTCAGACAAATGAAGTGATAAGCAGAGAGGGCGGATATGTATTTATTTTCAAAATTTTCATTTTTTGATGACGACCGACGGTCAAATTTTGTGGGTGTGTTCCTTAACTCGCATAGATCACAAAATTTCAAAATATTTCTAGATATTGGAACATACTTCTAGGTTTTCAGAAATATAAGTATTTACGTTATTATTTGAAAAATATGTAAATCTATTACACGTTTTTTTCAAAAATACATATATTTTGTAAACATTTCTATTTCAACGATGTGAGGCGAAATTTTTGTACTTAGAGAAATTGGATCACAAAAAATCAAGAGGATTGCATTCAAAAATACAAATGTTGAAATCTGTGGTATTTTTATGTTTTTTCGTACATATTTCGTAAATATTTTAGCGTGTTTTCGTAAATTGTTTCCATCCTCTGATGATTATTGATAAGCTACGATCGTAATAAACAAACAGATAAATAATTCCCATACAATTTTCTCCCCAGGTTCTCGACGCCCGCGACCCCATGGGCACGAGGTCCCCACCCATCGAAAAATTCCTCAAAAAGGACAAACCCCACAAACACCTCATCTTCATCCTCAACAAGGTCGACCTCGTCCCCACCTGGGTCACGCAACGTTGGATCCAACTCCTCTCCAAGGAATACCCCACCCTCGCCTTTCACGCCTCGCTCACCCACCCCTTCGGCAAAGGCTCCCTCATCAACCTCCTCCGCCAATTCGCCAAACTGCACGACGACAAGAAACAAATCAGCATTGGTTTCATCGGCTATCCAAACACCGGAAAGTCCTCCATCATTAACACCTTGAAGTCCAAAGTCGTCTGCAAAGTGGCCCCGATCGCGGGGGAGACCAAAGTCTGGCAGTACATCACCCTCATGCGGCGCATCTATCTGATCGACTGTCCCGGTGTGGTCTACCCGCATGAGGAATCCTTAGAAGAAAAAGTCCTCAAGGGTGTCATCCGCGTCGAGCTTGTCGAACATCCCGAAGACTACATTGAAACTGTCCTAACCCGAGTTAAGAAGCCGTACTTGGTCAAAACCTATAAAATCGAGGAGTGGACCGATTCCGAAGATTTCCTCACAAAAATGGCGAAACGTACGGGAAAACTGCTCAAAGGAGCGGAGCCCGACCTTAACGCGGTTGCCAGAATGGTTCTCAACGACTGGCAGAGAGGCAAACTTCCCTTCTTCGTGGCGCCGGAGGGCTACGAGAGTACCGCAGACTTTAAAGCAAAACAGGCCAAAGAGAAGAAGGACGCGGTGGAAAATAAGGTGACGGAGGAAGCCTTGAAAAAGAAGCAGAAAGCTGTCGTGGTGGAGGAACAGATTAAAATGGCAAAGTTAAAAAAGCCACATTTGGTGCAGAACTTGAAGAAAATTTTGGTCGGGCTTAAATTTGAGGGGGATGATTTAAAACCGTTGGACAAAGAGGGGGAGGAAGAAGATGAGGAGGAGAAAGAGGAAGTTTTTGACAGTGAGGAGGAGGATGACGAAGCTGAAAATGACGATGACGATGATGACAATGATGACGAAACTGGTCCCCCAGTTGACAATGACCCCCCAGAAAAAGCCGTCCCCTCCAAGAAACCAGTCCCATTAAAGACGTCATCCCTTCCCACCTCCAAATCCACCGGAAATGACTCTGACACTTCCTACCTCACCGATTCCGACTCTGAGGTTGAACAAGTCATGAAACCCACCAAGAAAAATAAGAAGCTCGGAAATATCGAGGTGGTCAAAGTGGCTCCAATCAAAAAAGGAAAATTCCAACCCCCAGAACGAGGTTTGGACGAGTCCGACTCCGACGAGGAGGAGGACGACGAACCCGCCGCAAAACGGAAAGCTCGAACATCCGACGGACTCACGAGCAGGCAGAGACGAAAAGAAGAACGGGATCAAAAGAGGAAGAAAATTGGCAGCAATTTCTATGAAGTTTCGAATGTGAAGAATCGCAATCGTGAAAGGAAAAGCCCCCGTCAACCGATGGATGGAAGAAAGAAGAAGAAATAATTAAATTACAACTTTAAATAATTTAATTGATGATAATCATCACCAAAATCAGTACGTTTTTAATCATTTCTCTCCTCTGGGAACTTATTTTAAAATTCTGGACGACAAATTTGCCGTCAGTGAGTTGATTAATGGAATAGCGTTGAGTTTTTTGAGCCAGTTTCGACGAGTTCCAATTTTTCTGAAGGCTTCTTAAACTTGAGATCTCCTCCTTCAAAAAGTGTATATTTTTTCAAAATTGATAACTCCCTGCTCTACAAATTTGTCGGTCAGAATTTTAAAATAAATTCCCAGAGCAGATAAATGATTAAAAATGTGTCAATTTTGAATCGTCGAGTCCTACGTTATATACCGTTTTAAATTACTAATTATTTTTGACTTATCGCAAATCTGATTATTAAAACGATAAAATGTTAACAATACATACATAATTCTACTCATTTTCCCATTTTGATTCAATTCTCGCCTCATAAATTATTCCCAACCACGAACCAACTGGGCTCTTCTTCTTCTTAATTAACTCTCTTCCAAACGAGTAACTTTTACTGGGAGCAATTAAGTCTGCTCTTCGCCATAAAGATAAAATTTGAATGTGTAATAAGCCATCTCGCGAGTAAGGCAATTTAATCCAGAGTCTCATTTTATGTTTCAATTCCGAAATCAAAATTATCCCATCAAGTACCTCCTCCATTTCGGTGTAGCTGGAAAATGAAGGGATGAGAGTTTTAGATTTTCTCATGAAACTAAATTACGGCCTTGCTGACTGGTAAACCAAAATCATAATCGGATGAAACAACAGTTAAATCCACAGAAAGAGAAGAGAATAACATAGATAATTAATAATTATGGCGAAACAGGAAGTCGGACTGGACATGATTCAATTTGTATTATATAATTTGGTTATATCCGTATGAAAATGATTCTTGCTATGAATTTCTCCTCATAATTTGTACTTATGTAAGCCTCGTTTCACCAAATCTCTCCTTCACATTTAGCAAATTTGGCCAACTTGCAAGTCTTTAGCGTATCATTATCATCCTCATGAATCGTAGCTGTAAGTTAAGTAATGTACATAATCGTATAACATCGTTGGCTCCTGCATCTGGAGAAAGTACGTTCATGTTCATACCCAATGTACGTAAAACCCTGTGTAATCGTAACATTTGACTACTTGTAAAATTGTTATGTTTAATACAATCATGGCGATTAATTCGGAATGATATTTCATGCTCAGTTCTCAAAATTGTACAAATTTCTCTCACTGTATGAAAACAGCGTCTCAATTTCCCAAGTCTCAACTTGACTGAATTTGGTAATCTAATAACCATTCATTTCTTATTCTCGTCCTCGAAAAAAGTTTTACAAGAAAATGTGGCAATTCAGATTCACTTCCTTCCCCAAAATGGCTTCTTAAAGGGTTCTAAACCCGTCAAAAAGTAATATTTACTTTATTCCCATTTTTCCTCTCGGACTCCTCCCAAGAAATAAGGAACAAACAAAGTCGCCTCACACAAACAGTGGCCACGGAAGGTGTGGGGACATCGGGGGACATTAACATTGTAGGATGATGGGGAGGGAGGGGTTTATATAAGATTGGCAGATGATGTGGATATCGAACAACCGTGGGGACATTGTCCCTCTCTCCCCACGCTTCCGCGGCCACTGAATCATGTTCATACATTTGAGTAGCCTGAATTCTCTCAGTGGCCGCGGAAGCCGTGGGGACATTAACATTGTAGGAGGGATGGATTTACATAACATGGGGAGATGATGACGATATCGAATACCCCTGGGGACATTGTCCCTCCCTCTGCCCCCCACACGCTTCCGCAGCCACTGCACACCACCACCACCACGAAGGCAAAAGAGTAAACAAAAAGTGAATCCGGAGACATAAAGCAGTCTGGGAATTAATTGTGTTAAGGCGAGCAGAGTGGTTTGCTTGTGCAAAAGGGTGTCACAATTTGGGCCTTGTTACACCAAAATTATGGCCCCATTATCTCTGCGGCTTGGCTGCAGAGTTGACTACCACGTTAATCCCCACGATATCAAATCAACACATAAACACAACAGCAAAACATACATTTATTCTCTTCTTCTTCTCTTTTATTTCCTATGTCGCTGCTAATGCGCTCGGGGAAAGATTTTCATTAGCAAAGTATCCAAATAAATATCACTCATGAATCCAGTCCAGACTCGCATGAAATGAAATGATGCACATATTTATGTAATGTTGCTGTATAAAATTCGAATCATTATTGTCATAAAGTGGTATGAAAATAAGTGCATGGAATTCTGGGCGAAAATGATACAACGTAACTGCATTAGCACATAAATTTCCTGGACAAAATTAAGACTGGTATGAATTAAGACGAAAAATATGAACGTAGGATTAGTAAAGCTGTGCGTTTTTATATGTAATAAATTCCAAAACGAGTTGTACTTACAATGCTAAGAAATTTGGACCAATTTGAAATTTTGAAAAATTTTGTCGAGTTGATAAATTTTAGGCAAATTGATAATTTTTGACAAATTGGCAAATTTGGGCAGAATTTGGACAAATTTTAGCACCAATACCTTGTACATATTGACTTTGTACTGGACATAACGGGGCAAATGAGACATGCCATTTCCTAAATTCTCTCGACATAGATTAATACCTACACAATAATTTTTCATACATAAATTCCTAGATACGAGCAAATCAATTAACCTGTACACTCAACTTTGTGCTTCTACCCGTGTGTCAAGTCACCCGAGAAAGTGATCACTTATTATTATTTATCTGCTTGACAAAACCCATCCAAATCTCAACTTGCCTCTCACTTATTGTCCTGATCTTTTCTATTCCCCTGTCACTTTGCCCACTGATTTCTCTTCATCCATTCTCGAGCAAAGTCAACCTTTTACTTATCCACTTTATGGATTACTCCTATCTCATCCATTCTCCATAATGAATCACATCACAATACACACTTTTATTTTATCCCTGGTTTCTCCATCCGTCACACGATCCATCAACCATTTAGGACGACTTTCTCTCAAATTCCATCCTAAACCAAGAAGCGATACACTAAAAACGAGATACAATTTGTGGTTTGGCTTCTTTTTTATCATTTTATTTCCCAAGTCTCGGGATGCAAACTTTTCCCATAAAATCAAAATTCGCCTATTTATTTTTATTTATTGAATTACAATCAAGTCTCGTAAATTATTTGTGGAAGAAGAAGAGAGAGAGAGAGACTGGCAAAGTTGGAAAAATCGGATTAGGATGAAAATGCGCAATTACGACGAGACAGACAAAGAGAGAGAGAAGAACAATGAGGAGGAGGAGGAGAATTGAATGAAATGTAATAAAGGGGTGAAACCATGTAATGCTCATTTCTAGAATTGTCTCATATTCCCCAAAAAGCTTAATTTTGGGCGGGAACGCCACACCCACCAGGGTCAAAATAGTCTTATCGAAGGTAGAACATCTCCTTGAACGATATATCCAGAAAAAATTTGAATTTCGATTACCACACCAGAAATTTAAGAATAGGGCGAAACCGTCATAGCATTGTCTCACATACCCCAAAAACCCTAATTATGGACGGGAACTGACTTCCGGCGCACCCACCAAGGCCAAAATAATTTTACCGTAAATAGAACACTCCCACGAACGACATATCCACCAAAAAAATCGAATTTTCAAACTTCAAATGTTATGAAAATCGAATTTTCACCGCCGCCATGTTCAAACTTAAAAAAACGTTACAAACACATTTACGGAAACCTCACCTCTAAATTCATACCCGTTCTCAAGCTAAATCTCATGATGCCGACAGACCGACGGACGGACAGACAAACACTGCACAAACTATAAAGGGGCTTCCCCCCTTGATAATAAAAGGGGTGGAAATTAGATTAGTTTCAGTGGATAAAGTCCTTATTATTCTAATCGTATTCACTCATAATGTTCATTCAACAGAGGAGGAGCGGCTGGAGAGCGAGCGAGGCTTAACAAGGAAGACACACAATACAATTTCCAACCAGTTTATAGGAGTGAATAACTTTATTTAATTTGCTACTACCTTTACATATCCTTCCTCCACTTCTCCAGCAAAATCACAAAACTTATTCACAGCCCCAGAGCAAATATACGTCGCAGAATTGCACGCATTGGGATGTTGAGGGCATTTATTTAAATATTTTTGGTATGCCATTTTTCCCCTGTTTAACATTTTACAATACGTAATTTTTGCCATGTCCAAAATTCCCTATATTTATTTCCATTCCCAAAATGCTCCCAATTAGTTTTTCGTTTCTTACGAGTTTCCCACATTTCTTGCACTGCAAAGCAAGCCACGCAAGAAAATGCGAGGTGCAAGAAACTGGGAGAAAGTGCAAGAAATATGCGCTATCTAGCCACTCGCCATATGAAATACAGCGACGGGGCGTCGTTTTTTGCGCCCTGCATTTCTTGCAGGTCAAAATATTTACCTGTAAAAAACCACTTTCTTCCCGTTATTTCTTGCAAGTGGTTACTTTCACCCGAAACACTGCAAACTTCCCAAATTCGAAATTTCAAAAATTCCGAACATTTATTTTCATCCCCAAAATTCCCGCAATGTCGCCCAGATATTATCATGTACAAAATTCCCATCGTTAAAATATTTCCATTTCCAAAATTCCCGAAATTTATTTTCACGCCCTGTCCATCGCACAACTCGTCACATTTTACTTCAGCCATTTCCCTTACATACCTGGCCTTACTTTCTTTCTAGATATCTAACTATCCGACAAAATGAGTCTCTTTCTCTTTCTTTAAACTTCGCCAAGGTTGACGTTCGTCTATAACAAACCGTAAAAGGAATAAGGTAGCCAGGAAAAGATTCGTCGTCTCCGGTGAAAGTATTCAAATTCGAAGTCAAACTTATTTCCTAAATTGAATTGGACAAACGAGAAACAATGTTGACATTTTGTGTTGAAATAAATTTCTCGTCTCGCATCATCTAATTAGATTTCTCACGGATTTCTGAACCCCGCTCCAAAATCCACCCATTCATTCACTCACTCACTCACCATCTCTCTCTCAGACTTTCACTCGACACTGGGATTTGTACAAATTTACTGCTCCATGATTTGAATATAAGACCAAAAACGAGAGTAGATATGGGAATCAGCATCATTGTTACTTCCAACTTACTCTGGGAAATGCACTCTCAGAAATTTATATTTTGTCACTGGGAAGTAATAATCAGAGGGCGGCTATGTATTTAGTTTCAACTTTTTCATTTGATGACGCGACCGATGGTCAAATTTTGTGGGTGTGTTCCTTAAATCGTGTAGGATTTTTTTTTTTTACATATTTCGAGGTTTTTAGACATATGTAAATATTTTGCATTATTTAAAAAATACAAAAATCATCCAAGAAATTGGACCATAAAAAATGTAAGGTATTAAAGTCAAAAGTACAAATTTTGAGAATTTATGATTATTTATTGTATGCTTATTAGATACCTTTTTGAGTTATGAGGACATAAATATTTTGCCGTGTTTTGTAAATATTAACTGTATTTCAGCGATTTTACGGCCCTCTGATAATAATTTATTAACATTCTTTTCGTATAATTGTTCACTCAAACTTTCACCCATTGGTAATAAAATAAGAGACCATCATCACAATTTTACCACCACGTGCATGCCTGTTCAAAAATTGAGTTTTCATTGAAAAGTCAGTCATCCAGATTTCTGACTGAAGATTTTCATTCACAATCAGTCATTTTGGTTCAAATTCATTTCACTTCATTGGACTTCATTTCTTACTTCGCCCCATGTATTAAGCATAGGGTGAAAAATGAAATGAGTGAGAAATCTTTCATTCACAGTCATTCATCCGAAATGATGGAATCTTTCAATCATTGTCATTCATATCAAAGGAAATTCATTTTCATTCACAATCACTCACCATCATAATCAGTCAAATGAATGAAAGTGAACAGGTATGACCACGTGTTGACCACGTGGTTGTTGATTATGTTTTCACCACGGTAAAAACCCATACTTTCTCATCCAATTTCTTAGAGTGTGGTCTATTCCCCCGTAAATTTCCGTGTTGGGGTGAAAGCTAGCGGATTTTCAGTCTATACATTCCCCTCACACTTCCCTTTAATTCCCACTTTTCGCTAAACTAATAAAATAAAGCAGTGACTTGATTCTCGCACAAGAATCACTCAATTGAATTGTCATTCGCTCAAATCCAATTCAATTAGATTTTATTGTTGACTCTGGAATAGTCGGCTTGACTTCAGAGAAAAATCCCTTCCAATTTCCTGCCCAATTTTGCAAATTTCTCGTCATTTTTCCACCTTTTCATAATGAACAAATTATCTTAAATATTTCAAAATTAAACACGTGCAAACCGAAAAATTTCCTCTCGAATGTTGTAAATTGACGTTTTTTTTTTCATAATGAAGAAATTATCATCAATGTTTAAAAATATATCACACTGAAAAAGAAAAATTTCTAAATTTCCTGCAGACAGAATTTTGCAAATTTCTCAATTTTGTTATAATAAGCAAATTATCACGAATATTTCAAAATCTAATAATCAATTCAAAGCGAAATATTTCTAAATTTCCTACAGAATTTTGTAAATTTCCAGTTTTTGTATTACGGGAAAATAAATTATCATAAATATTTCAAAATCTAACATTCAGTTCAAAGCTAAAAATTTCTAAATTTCCTACAGAATTTTGTAAATTTCCAGTTTTTTCAGTACGGGTAAATTATCATAAATATTTCAAAATCTAACATTCCTTTCAAGGCGAAATATTTCTTACAGAATTTTGCAAATTTTTCGCTTTTTTCATAATTAGCAAATTATCACAAACTCTAAAAAACATACACACCCAAAAATTTCCCCCCGAATTTAGCAACCTTCTCCTCTTCTTTCCCACCGTTTCATAATGAACAAATTATCATAAATACTTCACCCTCTTCATCCACACATGCAAACCGAAATAAACCATGATTTAGGGTTATTCGGAAATATAAATGGTTGACGGGGTGGCCATTAGAGAGGCGAAAATCGTAGTCCGCTCACGTCCTCCTCAACAACTTCTTCTGCCCTTTTGACCATCCATTCCGACTGACTGACCAGGGCAGTCAGGGGTCAGTTTGTGAGTGGAGGATGCATGCGAGAAAGGTGATATCTCTTAATAAAATGCGAAATTCTCTGACATGCTGTATCACCAAAAGTTCCGCAAAGTGAAAACTGACTTTCTCTCTTCACGCTTTCTCTTTTTTAGGATAAATTACAAATCGTGTCGAAATACAAAATTTTGTTTGATCCTAGTCAAATTTTTTGCAATCATGATTTTTTTGCATACATGATTTCTGCACGATTTCGCCCTTGTTTACTAATCATAGGCCAGAAAATGGTGAAAAGTTAAACGTAATAACTTTCTCTTTCCGGATTAATTACAAATTCCGTTAAATACAAAATTGCAAATTACATGCCAAATTTTTTTGCAATTATGCAATTTCTGCACAATTTCATCATCCCTATTACAAATTACAAGTCAGAAAATAGTGAAAAGCGAACCGTCCCAACTTTCTCTTTTCGCATAAATTACAAATTCTGGCAAAATTTTATTTGCAAATTCGACACCAATTTTTTGCATTTATGATATCACACGATTTCATCCCTATTGCAAATCATAAGTCAGAAAATACATGAAAACCACAACTTTCTCTTTGCGAATAAATTACAAGTTTTGAAAAATATTTGTTTAATCAAAATACAAAATTTTATTGAATTTAGCCAATTTCATAAAAAAAATTTGCACATGATTTCTGCACGATTTCGCCCCTACCTATTACAAATCACAAGTCAGAAAATTAAACCGAGCTACAAATTTCTCGCCCCGACTTTTTATAATGCTTCATGACTGACCCCAATTACGGGGGATGCCTTCTCACACACTCACTCACCCACCTAACCCACGACGATCTTATCACATTTGCGGCATTATTATTAAATTACGTAAACTTGAGGTGTTTGCTTTCACCCGACAAACCGACCGACCACCAAACTTTGCGGTCTGGTCAGGTCAAGAATTTGTACACTTTTGAATTATTTCCTCTCCTCCTTCACCCATCCAGCCCAGCCTCGTCCATGGATGGCAGGGCAGGAAAGGAGAGAGGGCAGCGAGAGGAAAATGAGATTAGGCCAATCTATCCCAAAGGATATTAAGCCTCCTCCTGCTACGGACATGGTCAGGGAGAAAGTGGTCACTTGATGAATGGTCATTCCACGCTGACAGGATGGGTCTCAGCTTAAAAAATCGAGTTGAGTGTGATACACGATTAAATTTACATAATATTTATCTACATATACGAGTCGATGTGTAAATGGGAACTTACATAAACATAGTTTTTAAGTAAAATTATTCACGAGGTAAGAAATTGGAATCAAATTGGACTGTAATTTTTTTCAGGATTCTAGATACTGTAAATCAAAGGTTTTCCCGTCTAAAATGTAGTGAAATCCCAATTAAGTTCACCTTCTAACGGAATGGGTCTCACTCATCGTTCCCTCGGGTGAAAATCAAGGAAATTGTGTCACACACAATGAAATTGTCATATTATGAGTCGATTTTTAAATGAGAACTTAAACACATTTTTTACATAAAGTTACATATTAACCAAGTCAGATGTTTTTAATCGTAAGTAAATTCCTAAGAGGTGCGTGAGTTGTAAATTCACGTTAGTTAATTATGAGTGTGTGTATGTTGGAGTGTAGCGCAACTTGAATTACTGTGCACCAAATTCTAGCATAAGGCTCTATGGTTGTGTAAATGATTCGTAGACAACTTCAATTGGTTAATTTTAATTTAATAGTAACTGGTTTATTTCTGGTTTAATTCATAAGTACATACAGACTGTGTATGATACTATTTCTATTATTAATGGTTAATATGGGGTAATGTGATACAACTATTTCTTATGGGTAAACTGATACAATTTCTATGGGTAATTTGATACTAATAATTTTGCAATCTCAATTTCTCATTTGAGGCAATTTGAGACTTGCGATTCACTCTTGTGCAGAACAACCCTGTGTTACAAAAATATTAAATGGGCGTTACGCGGGCTCTGGTCCGTGGCTAGCTTTATACTGCAGAGCGGACGGAAAAGCACCCGTGTATGCTAACTAGTACATTCCATTTTCCAACTAAAAATAATCTATTTGCAAGTTATGCAAGTTATGTAAGTTACATAAACCATTGTTTGTTCAACATTGGAACAAATACATGCATACATTACTTACTACCATTTTTACCTGTTTAGCAAACTACAACACTGGACAACTCAATCTACATAAGATGAGTTTACAAGATGTGGCAGTGATGCAGCGTAACATACCTGCCATCTATCAGAAATTTTAATGAAATTCGAGTACAATTTTCTCATTTTTGTTTAATTCCAGATCATGTAAAATCAAACCTTTTCCGATCTAAAATACCATGAACTCGTCAAGTCTTCTTAATACATTTTGCCTCGTTTACTGGGTGCACTTTCAGCCCTAAACCCAGCTACACAACAACACTACATATACAACAGTCGTATGAATACGTATATAACTGTAACCCTACATGAGTAACCCCTTCATTATTTTCATCACCCCACCATTTACCACTCATCCACTCCTCATTACTACTAAATATCCTCCGAAAACGGGAGAGAACAATGTAATACCCGAATTTTGTGGGAGAGGGTAAAATCTCACTCTCTCCGCCTCCTCTCTCCTCTCTTTTAAATACCCGGAAATTCTACAGTCTCATCCTCACTCACATTTCCACATCCAGCCAAATAACCATACTACCTCTCAATTCCAGTCTACCCGTCTCAATTTCCCCACAAATCAAACAGTATGGAAAAACTGACAGAATTCGTCACCAATTCGTTCTCTGAGACGAGAGAGATTAAATTTTTTGGTAAAAGTTCCCCAAAAACGGAGCCCCTCTCCCCCCTCCCCCTCCAACCCAGTCAAAGCCACAGTGTCAACAATTGTCATCATCGTCATCGGAATGACAGCAGCGATTCGTCACATTCGGACGATGACGATGACAACGACCTCAGTCCGAGACCGGATTTGGACACGGTGATGACGACGACGTCAAGGTCAGCACAAAATGACGACGACGATTCGTTCAATAACAATGAAGAAATTAAGAACAAAAATAAATCTGGTGAGTACAAAATTCTTTAAAAAAAATTGAATTTCTGTCAGAAATTTGGCATTTTTTGGGACATGATAAAGTTAATTATGGGAAACTATCTAATCACAAGAAGAAGTCTAAATTTCAAGTAATTAATATTCGCAAATTTTTGATAAAATCCTACTTATTTGAGTGATCAAAACTATTGATTTTTTTTTCGATGAAAGACTGGTTTAAAAAAAATTGAATTTCTATCAGAAATTTGGCATTTATGTATGGAGGCATAACAAATTTTATATATGGGAAACTATCTAATCGCAAATACAAATTTCAATTTCAAACTAATTAATACTAGCAATTTTTTTAAATCATGTTATTTGATTGATCAGAATCACTTATTTTTTTTATTTCGATTTTTCGATGAACTACTGGTTTTTAAAAAAATTGCAGTTTTATTAGAAATTTAGTATTTATGGAGGCATAATAAAATTAAATATGGGAACCGACACAAGTGCAACTCAAAATTTCAAACTAACATTTTTAAAACTTTAAGTTAGCAAATTTTTATAAAATCGTAATTATTTGATTCCTAAAAAAACCCATGTTTAAAAAAATACGTTTCCACCAGTGAAAAATTGGTGGTACGTATTTATTTAGTAAATACTAATTTATTAATTCGATGGATAAGATTATTCCAATTTTTCTGATTTTTCCGAGATTTTAAAAATTTGGTGGATTTCCACGTCGATTTTTTAGTTTTTGCAATGTCTTAATATCTAAAATTAACACTAGATCTCCACAGCCCGTTCCCCCAGATATTTTGATAATTTGATAGACCTGCAAGTGGATTTGCAATGTCTGAATATTAAAATTACATAACATCAAATCCTTTCTAAATTGTTTATAAATTGTCTTATGGAAATTTACCCTTTTAAAAAATATTTCAAAATTCAACATCAAACTAATTTTTATTCGTGCTTGTCCTTAAATTAGCTGGCTGAAGCATTTAGTCACATGCACAAGGCTAAGAAATCACTATCACACAAGTCGGAAAATTCGTTTCTTTTCACATTTTTCCGAGAATATGATGCATTTGCATGTCAATTTTCTAGTTGTTGAAATGTGTTAATTAATAACAAATTTATTACGAGATGAGCTCAAGAAATCGTCATGTTGAAAAATATTTCAAAATTCACCGCAAAAATCAAGAAACGTTAGAAATGCTAGGTGCAAGAAATTCTAAGAAATGCGAGATGCAAGAAACTGGGAGAAAGTGCAAGAAATGGGAGGTGCAAGAAATTCTAAGAAATGCGAGATGCAAGAAACTGGGAGAAAGTGCAAGAAATACGCGCCGTATTTAGTATTTCCAGCGGCGGGGCGCAGTTTCTCGCGCCTTGCATTTCTCCCAGTTTAAAATATTTCCCTGCAAGAAACCACTTTCTCCCAGTTATTTCTTGCACGTGGTGGTCTTACTTTCACCCGAAACACTACTAATAAACTACCACCCTCTAAATAATATTTCACCACCACCTATTTACACATACCTACCATATCCCGTTAATTACACCTGAAAACCAAAAGTTTTTAGGGCACTGATTAATTAATTATTTAATGGAAAATAGACCAAGTACTTTTGTAACTCTTTTTGCGCTGCTGCATAACAAACAACTTTCTCCCCGAATACATACATAATTCCCTCCGGTTGAAGTAAGTACGTTGTAAATTCATCCCCATCTTCAGCACCGCGAGGACTTTTTGTTTGTTGTAAATCAACTTTGTTTTACTTTTAGTTCGTTAAATCTCATCCCACTTTTGTTGCTTTCTCATCCCTTGCTTGTTCCAGGTTAAAGTTAAATTTCCTTAATTAACTCGGATTCATGTGGGGAGAGGAAGAAGGAGAGTTTCATTAATTAATGTGGGAGAAGCTTATGTGATGCATGGTGGTGGTGGGTGGTAGCGTTATTAAGTAGATACTACTTTCACTCAGCTTATCATGAATTTTTAGGGTCGAAATGACAATATTTTATGAAATTTTACAAATTATGAAAATTTACTTAATGCATTTTAAGTGCTAATTAAAAATGTCGTGGTAGTGGCGTTATTAAATAGAAGATACTGCTTTCACTCATCTTATCGTGAAATTTGAAGCTTACAATTTTATTAAGGTTTAAAAATTTCTGATAACTACCAATAGTCGTATTTACGTTATGTGATACGTGGCTTATTTGCATTTTTGAAGTTGGAAATATCACAAATTTAATGAAATTTGGACAAAAACTCGTTTTTACGTGCCACATGGGTAACTTATATACATTTTGAAGTACGAAATAACAAAAATTTTACGAATTTTAAATTTTAGTAAAAAGTTTAGTCGATTTTTCGTCACTTACATAATTTGTAAAAAAAATTAAGCCATACTAATTTCTCTAGCCCATCGTATTAATTAATATAACATTTTAATAAAGAAGCTACTTTCACCCAACTTAACATGAAGTTTGAAGTCTTAAATATCACAAGTTTTAGACATTTTAAGACAAAGTTTGCATTATAAGTCAAGTCGAATTTTCGTACGTGGGCTTATGTAATTTATTAAAAAATCTCTACAAAACCAGGTGAAACTAATTTCTCCAGCGTATTAATTAGCATAACATTTTATTAAATCAAGCTAATTATTAAGCTACTTTCTCTCACCTTCCCATGCATTTTACAGTTCGTTCGAAAAAATTGTAAGAAATATTGAGTTTGCGTAAAAAGTTAAGCATGTGTTTATGACACGTGGCTTATTTTTCTGTACAAAATGAGGTGACACTACCCACTATTAATTAGCAACTTCTCCTCCCTGAAAACGTACATAAAAGCACTTACCTATTTCTCTGTCATTAATTTGTGAACCCTGAAGAAAATACAGGAAGTTGAGAGCTGAGGATGAGATGAAAAGTAATGAAAATTAAATCCCGTCCAAAGTTTGGAGCCTTGCATAATTTGTTGATGAGGACGATACATGCGAGGAGGAGGGCAGAATTTATTAATAAAATTAAGAAACATACAGTGTACACAGGGAAACTTATGCAGTCCTAATTTTACAAGAGTTTAACAAGTGTGAGACTTGTTCATTACTTAATGAGCAGAATTATGTTACCTCATTCATTTCATTTTAATAAAGTAAAAGTGAACGATATGAGGAGAAAGTTGGAGGATGTTTGCAACGAGAGATTTTTATGGGATAAAACTTCGCCAAAAATTCAATTTTGCGTGGGTTTTGATAATTTTTACAGTTTTCATTACTTAATGAGCTGACTTGTGTTATCTCATTTATTTCATTTTAATAAAGTAAACGAAACGAGGAATGGAGAAAGTATGTCTACAACGGCAAATTATGATGCCTAAAAATTTCCTAAAAATTCAATTTTACCCGGATTTCAGTAATTTTTACGGTTTTCTTCCTTTTAATAAATAAGTAAATGGAATAAGGATTCCTCATAATACGTGGAAAAAGTAAGAGTATGTTGCCCAACAATTCGCGAAAACAATTTGCAATTTTGCCAAGATTTTGATCATTTTTTTAAATTTTCTTTGAAAACAAAACTTCATTCGAAAAAAATTAAAAAAGTACAAAAGTCATCCAAATTCGTGCAAAACTAGATTTTCAGTGAATTTTTGTTTAATTTGGCAAGCTGATGGGTAAAGGGGTGTGGCAGGCGTAAATTAAATGGCATCTAAATCTGGCACTGAAAAAACCCCTACTTTCTCCGCCATTAGTTGCACCACACAATTTCAGACAAAAGTCGTATAACCAATCTCACAATAAAGTAATTTTGTCAAAAAAGGCATCTCTGCTTATTTTGAAAATGAAAAATTTCAATTTCCGGCATAATTTTATTATCTAAATTGCATTACAAAACATCAGAATGCAATTTATTATACTTTTTCAATCCAGAAATAACACAATTACTTCGTTTTTATCATCATTCTCAAGAATTTCATCACCCCGTAATAAAATAAATTTGCAAAATTGGGACTTCCCGTGACGCAGGAAAGATTGGGTGGGAGGTGCACTTGGACAGGGTAAAAGATCTCTTAAAAATTTTGTGTCTCTGATTTCTCAAGCCAAAAAAAGAAAGAAACAATTTGCTAAAAAAGAAGACTGTGTATGATAACACAATTTTGACTTTCTCATACGTTCTTTCGTCCCGATCAACATGTCGACACATGGCGGAAAACGGGTATAATTACTACTTACAGTGGATGTCTCTCAAATTTTGAGAAAATTAGTGTCAATCGATCACAAATTTTATTAGGATGAAATTTGCGAAAGACACGACCCCCCCCCCCCCAATGGGCACGTTTGGCAGAGATATTTGCATCCCAAGAGAAGACGCCCAGTAAATTTGGAAAGTGTAAAATTTATAAACTTTGGAGCGCGTTTTCTCCTCTTGGGATGCAAATATCTCTGCCAAACGTGCCCATTGGGGGGGTTGTGTCTTTCGCAAATTTCATCCTAATAAAATTTGTGATCGATTGACACTAATTTTCTCAAAATCGGAGGCATCCTCTAGGAGACCTCCATTGTTACTGGAAAAAACTACGGGTTATCAACTGCGGCAATTTGTATCTCGTCCAGATTTGGAGGGTAGTTTACAAACCGTCATTTTTGCCAGACTCCTGTTTATCGGGTTACTTTTTACGTGCCCTACATCATTTAAGGGGTGAAAAGCATAGGAGCGCGTGGATGTAAATTACTTTCGGGGCGAGAAAGGACAGGGACTCTCCTGCTGTGGGAAATCTTCTCGGAGAAAACACAATGAAAAATGTTTCAATTAAATAATCTTTCCCTGATTTCTTTTGGGGCTACGGGGCAACAAATAGAGCATAATTCATCCCCACTTTCTCGCCTCAATTGCATATACACCTCTGGCTTGGTTAGGAAGATTACACAGAGTGGAAATCCACACCAACTCAATTATGCAAGTGGAACATCTTCATTTTCTCGAGTTGGGTTAACTTCACACGCCGATTTGTATTTTTGTCTCAAATGGAATGGAAACATACTCATTTCAGTACCTAGTAAATTTGGAGAGAAATTTTGATTCGTCGCTCCCATTTACGGACAAATTTGATTAAAATTATGAAAGTTTTTTATTTTCATATTTATATAATTTTTTTGAAAATATCAATAAATCTCGTCTCAAATTAAGCACAAATGTATTACGGAGATTACGAATCATGGATTTTTACATATGTATGTAATTGTACACTAAATTCTCACATAGCACCAATAAGGAGTATTTAAGTTTCTCATTTTCACTAATGATAAATTTAGCGCTTGTGTAAAAATTGAGTGTATAAGTCTTAATTTTCAATCGCCGTAAAATTTCAATTAACCTCTTAACGCGAACATCGTAATACGACAACAAGACAATTTTTCTCTCGTATTTATTTTAATTAATTGTACTCAATTCATCTCAAATTAATTGCACATCATTCATAGGATTTTTTAAGACAAGTAATATACGCTCTAGATAAAAAAATGCATCTATTATGTAACAAAAATCTCTAATTAATTACATATCGACTTATTTAGGAAGCATCTTTTAAGACAAGAAGTGTATAAAATATATGCTCTAAACACGTTTATTATGTAACAAAACATGTCCATAATACATCTTTCTCTGTGTATAAATAAACCTCCCTCCATTCTTTCACTTACTCTCAGTCACCCAGCCATCCACCCACCTTTCCTGTCCTTTCCTGGCATCTGTAATTTGTCCAAAGTCGACGAGCCTCGTCCTAAAACCGGGGTGAAAAGCATAGCGTCACTTTTACATATAGAAAATATCCCTTGAATACATACATACATACTCCGATCCGAATTTAACCCGGGTTTCTCTCCCCATTTCTGTACAGGGCTCATTACCCTTGGGAGGTGATGTATGTGAACAATCTGCCTCCTCCTCTGCCTCAGCCTCCCTTATCTGCTTTATTAAAGGGAACCTGTTCACCCAACCCCGACTGCTCTCTCGGATTTAGTTCAATTTAGCAAATTGAACACTGTTTTATAATACGTGTTAAGCTGACTTTCATTCGCATAATGGAATTAAATGGTGCTTGGCCAATCTCCGGCCGCTCTGTTACACTGATTCACGGGATAACTTAATAACCCCCAAAAGACCCCCAAATCCCTCTTTACTCTATTTGTCTTTTAATTTGATTAAATCTCAAACATACAACGTGCTAGGAAAATGTAGCCAGACCAGCCACCACTTTTCCCCTCATGTGCACACACACTTTTCTCTCAGACGGTGATTGATTCACCATCAACTGCTTTCTCACTTCACAGTTTATTATGGGGGGAAAGGACTTTATAAGAATGTCTGTCCGTCCGTTGGTGTGTCCGTCTATCCGATAACGGGTGAACGCAACGAAACTTAAAAGTTTGAAGGCAAATTTCTCATTTCAAGGTGCAGAGCTGATTAGAATTTGTGCGCCAAAGGTCACACCCTTTAAGGTCAAAACGGTCAAAAAGGTCACAAAGTCAAATTGATGTCAAGTTAGTAGGAAATTTAACCAAGAATTACATTTTGACCTCCGTTTTGACCCAAATGTCAGAAAAGGTCACCAAATTTTAAATTGCTTACATGTCACAAATATCGAAAACACGTCAGATTTGTCAATTTTAACACGAAAATGTTAACAATTTTTACTTCTGCCACCTCAATGACCGAGGTCAAAGGTCACAAACATCAAAAAAATCGTCAGACGTGTCAATCTTAACAGATTTTCAGCACTTTAACATGAATATAATATCCAATTTCAACCCACTGCTTTCACTCCTTTCCTACATGCGGTTTCCCCCGGTTTATTATTTTATTCCGTACCGTATAGCGGAACAAAACTTGTTACTCTTGTGGGAACGAATGCCATCGGGAATTCGTAATGATATTGTGTCTCTTGTTTTCTCACTTCTTTTTTATTCATTCTACTCTACACAAATTACATTACAGTCGAACCGGTTAAGTCGGAGGCTGACAAATTGTGACACTTTTACACAACACGAGTTCACTCACTTTCATCTCTCGCCACACCATTATTCTCCGAAAATGCCGACATTTCCACTATTTTTAACATATTCTTTTCCACTTTTACAGACAAAATTCCCAAAGTTCCCGAACCACTGGTGAAAAGAGAAAGCAAAAAACTCTCTGGAACTCTCAGCAAACATCAAAAGATTAAGTACAAGCCGTATCATCATCATCATAACGACCATCATGCCAACTTTATTCGTCGCATTTTACCCCAAGATTCTGAAGGGGACGAAGGGAGGTCGTCAAGGTCAAGGTCAAAGTCTCCCCAGGGGGCAGGGGGCGGGGAATTGGAGGAGATTGACCCCGGGGAAGAGGAAATTGTTCCAATTTCTCAGGTCACGTCGCCCCACGTGGCGTCCCCACCACGTGACATGTCACCCCCCGAGGAAAATAACGTCTTAATTAAATCACACCTTAAACTACAACCTCGTGACGAAGATGATGATGAACAACGTGACGAAAAATCGTCCCCTTCACCACCACGAAATTTGATTAAGAGCGATTTAAAACCTCCCGAGATGAAATTTCCATTTCAAAATTTCCAAAATTCTACCGAGGTTAGTCCAGCCGTGTCGAATTCTTCGGAAATTTCGCAACATTCCCAAACCAAGAAACTTAGCGAGGAGGAATTGTCCCCCGAAAATCATCATCATCACCACCATCACCGGAAAATTGGGGCACTTTTCACCCCACATTCCCTTCTAAGTTCGTCGTCACCTCCGAATAGTGGACATCATCAATCGTCCCCCAGTGGGGGTGGGGGTGGACATAATAATCATCATCATCACACCCACAACAACAATAACCACCACCACAGCCACCATCACCACTCCGCTTCCGGGGGGCTGGGGGGTGGTGGAAAACCCAGCAAACAGCGGAGAAGCAGGACTAACTTCACGTTGGAACAGCTCAACGAGTTGGAGAGGCTTTTCGATGAGACACGTAAGCACTTTTTGCTAACTTGCGCCATAGTTAAACTATAACATGTGGCGTAAATTTGTGGTAATGAATGAAGCAAAAGCGCAAAATTTTGTTCAAAGTAGCTAAAAATTAACCCTTCATAATATTTTCCGTCAGATTACCCGGACGCCTTCATGAGGGAAGAGTTAAGTCAACGCCTGGGATTAAGTGAGGCTCGCGTCCAGGTAAAATCCTTTAATGTTCTGCTCCTCGTTCCCATTCACGACGAGAGAAAGGCAAAATCAAATCTCATACGGCTAAAATTTCATTCTCATTCATTTCATTGCTCCATTACCCACTCGGAGACTAATTAAACCCACGTCACCCTCTCCATTATTCCACTATTATTATGCAGGGATGGGCAAAATACGGCGTCAAAATAAAAGTATTTAAACGTCCGTTCTTCCCAGAGTTTGGATTTTCGGGGGTTGTTACACCCACAAAAAGACGAAAATCTACGTAGCGAAGACAAAATTCGTATGAAAATACAAGTTTTGTGAAGAAATTAACCTTTTACCGCAATCAAAATACTTTATTTTTTAAAAATTAGCGAAAACAATGTATTTTAACAGCGATGAAAAGTTAATTTCTTCACAAAACCTATGTTTTCATCGTATATTTTCGTCTTTTTGTGGATGTAACAGCTTTGGACTAAAAATACATAGTTTCTGAAGAAATTAACATCTTATCCTTGTCAAAATTCAATATTTTTAGAAAATCGTCAAATCAATGTAAAGATTTTGACAGAGATAAAAAAGTAATTTTTTCACAAAACGTCAATTTTCTCCTAATTGTTGCCTTATCCACGTAGACTTTCGTCCTTTTGTGGCTGTAACAGCCCGGAAATCCAAACCCTGAGAAGAACAGAGCTCAAAATCCTATATATTTTGCCCACCTCTGCAGTCCTCCACTATTATTACGTCGAGTAAAAGTTGTCCATTTAAGCACAAGTGCCCAAAGGGAATAATGGGCGGGAGGGCGGACGGAAGGAAGGGCTGCTAATACTGCTAATAGATTAAATTAAAGTGCTCCATAATATTGTACCAGCCAGCTAAGGAAACTAATTGACTGTGAAAATCATGCCTTGTTCCTCCCTCATGCTAATAATAATATGGCGAATATGTAATGTCCGTAACGCAGGGCTTAATGTAATGTAATTAATTTGCTGTCGGGTCTTTAATCCGGTAAATGCGTCTTCGGGTCATACCAACCAAAATACCAGCTAAAATTCATGGTTTAGAGAGGAGCAGAATTATTAAACAGGAAATGTTCTATAGAATGTGTGATCCAGTGGCGGCGGAAGTTGGGGGGGGGGACTTATGGCCATACCTGTTCAAAAATTTGGTTTTCATTCAAAAGTCAGTCATCCCGATTTCTGACTGAAGATTTTCATTCACATTCAGTCATTATCGTTCAAATTCATTTCAATTCATTTCACTTCATCGGACTTCATTTCTTACTGCGCCCCATGTATTAAGCATAGGGTGAAAAATGAACGGAGTGAATAATCCTTTCGTTCACAGTCATTCATTCAGATGAATGACTGTCATTTCAGAATGACGGAATCTTTCAGTCATCTTTATTCAAATAATACGAATTTCATTTTCATTCAACATCATTCACTATCATAATCAGTCACATGAATGAATGTGAACAGGTGTGCTTATGGGGAGGGGAAATTAGCATTGTGGGATAGGAGGAGGAGGGCGTGAGAAAGATACGATTTTGCCGAATTTCAGGGGGACGACAATGTCCCCCTCCTTCCGCCGGTAATGATTTAAGTAGCTAACGGCAAGGTAGGTGATGTGAGGATGTCTAATTTTGATGAGAATTTCAAACTAAATTCGTATCCTAAGAATGGATTAATTACGGTTTTATACATACTTAATGAAAATTAAAATTGGGCTAAATTTGCCTTTACTTAAAGTGAAAGTTGTTTAAGGGGAAAGTTAAAAATAAATGTTATGATGAAATCAAATCTTTCCGCTCCGATTTTCGGGGATAATTTTATTCTGAAAATTGCCATTTAACTTTCAATGAACCACTGTCAACAAAAACATAAAAAATATTGATTAAGGTTTATTACCTACTTAATGAAAATTAAAATTGGGCTAAATTTCTATCCATTTCAAGTGAAAGTTGTTTAAGTTAAAAATAAATATTATTATGAGACATGTTTTCGTTTCGAGTTTTTTTTTTCGGGGAAAATTACTTGATTTTATTTTGAAAATTTTAAATTTTAGCTTTTACGTAATGAGCCACTCACTATATTTAATCTTCATTTTTCATGCAAAAATGTTAAAAATCCGGATGAAAATAAATAATAAAAATTTACTCATCAGAAAATAAATACTTGTGCTGTATAACGCCGTTTAGATATTTTTGAAAAGTTTATATTAGGGGTTTACAATCGACTTATTTTGGTTTTCCCACAAATTATAAGTCATTTCTATAAATCAATTATAAGTGGGTTCTATTTGAATGCTCCACTTTTTGTTTAAATTTTATGTTGTATGCAATTCAGGCGACCGAATTGCATTAAACGTCAAAATCATTGCAAAAACAAACATAGTAGCTTTAAAAAGACCTAAAACTTCAACAATAGGTACAACCTTTGAATTCTTGCCTAATATATAAATTATATGATATTTATGACGTGGAATGATTGAAAATTTAATCTTCACTCTCATTTGAACTTCCCACTTTAAATATTTCACTGCACTATCGTAATTAAACCAATTTCAATTATTCACAATTTTAAATAACTTGAATACGGATTAAAACTCGATTGAAAAATAATTTATTGAGCAGCACGTACCCTGCAGAAAATTTGAGTGAGTCAAATTTCAACGGCAGCAGATGCTCAAAACAAGCGAAATAAGTGTCTTATTCCAGAAAAAAGTCAATCCAGGAGACTTATTTTCCGATCACTTATGGTCGGTACACTTATAAGTCAACATTTTGTAAACACCTATTAACATAGTGGTTCTAGATATTTTATTTTCACTTTAATTAAATAGCACCAAAATACATAACGATATTAATAATTTTCACTCCCAAAAATTAAACAACTTTTTAACAATAAGGACAAATTTTACGTCTTTTTTTGAGAAATATATTTCTCATCGTCATTATTATACAAAATATCATAAAATCATATCACAAAATTACACAAGTTTGCAATAACAAGAACAAAGTTTACGCTGTATCTTTTAAAAATCTCTTTAATCAATTTGCTCATCAAATGGTAGAATTTTTTTTAAATCGTGCATATTTCCGTACTAAAATTTAGTAAGCTTATTAAGCATAAAATTCAGGAATTAAATATATTTTGTGGTATTTAAACCCCACTAAAAATATTTTTAAACCTTGTTTACCCATAATTAATGAGCTAGATATATGATTAGCTTCATGTTAGCTTCACCCGACCGATTTGCTTCTCCTCCGTCTCAATCTCCTCCCCTCGATTTCATTCATTACAAAATTACACAAGTTTGTAATATCAAATACAAAGTTTATGTTGTACGGTTTAAAAATCTTTCATAAAATTGCTCATCTTCGTCGTCGTCATCAAATCGATGAATTTTTTTTTTTAATCCTACATTTTTCCGTAAAACTAAAATTTTAATAAAAAGTACGAGAAGGCACGTTCGGGAAATAAAAATGTTGTGTTAGTTAAACCTCACTTAAAATATTTTTAAATCTTGTTTCCGGTTAATTAATCCGTTCTAAATGTATAAGAAAGGATCTCTGTTAGCTTTTTAATCTCCACCCGATCCCATCTCCTCTCCTCCGTCTCAATCTGCCCCCATTTCATTTAATGAAGTGAGAACGAATGGTCATAAAATATATGAGATTTTGTCCAGTAATCGTGCCGCTCTTCGTTCAGGATTTGTCATTATTACCAAAAAAGCAGCCAGTAATAAATATGTTTCCGACTGAATTGCGCCATAAGCGAGACGTTACCTCAATAACAATAAAATAATTCCGCTATCCGTGCACATTTCCCATCTAATTGTTTCTCGCACTCAATCAGATCACTAGATTTGGACAAACAGATCCATTTCTCAGGATGCCTCGCTATAATTTCATTACGCCGTCGTCCTCTCCTTCTTCTTCTTCGTCCTACATACTTCGTCGTAGCTCAGGGACCGCGGAAGTCGTGGGGACATTAAAATTGTAGGATGCGGGGAGGGAGGGGTTTATATAAGATGGGGAGATGATGGGGACATCGAATAACCGTGGGGACATTGTCCCTCTGTCCCCTCAAGCTTCCGCGGGCACTGCAATATCTTAGTCATTTTGCGTTGTTCGTATGTACTCAGTGACCGCGGAAGCCGTGGGGACATGTGAGGAGATTAAAATTGTAGGATTGGGGAGGAAGGGGTTTAAATAAGATGGGGAGATGATGGGGACATTGTCCTTCTGTCCCCACCCTTCCGCGGTCACTGCAATGTCCTAGTCAATGCTCTGCCTGTGAACGTATCTAATCAGTGGCCGCGGAAACCGTGGGGACATCGGGGGACATTGCCATTGTAGGAAGAGGAGAGGGTGTGGTTTATATAAGATGGGGAGATGATGCGGACATCGAATAATGTCCCTCTGTTGTCCCTGCCCAAGTTCCGCGGCCACTGTCGCACATTTGTGTATCTCCAGCAGAAAAGTAACTAATGATCCCAGTGACAATTACAAATCGGACTTGTTTCTCGACCCGAGCCCCCACTTTCTCATACGTCCCTTCGAACTAACATTCATCTCGGGCGTCGAGGAAAATCATTGTCAGTCCGAGATGCAATTAGGAACGATTCATAATCGTGTCGCTGAACCTCAAAAAGTGTTCAAATCACGATTATGTATTCGCATACAGGAGGAAAATTCAGAATGTAGCTTGATTTCGCCCGAGTCAGGACTTGTAATGAATTTCTTTTCATTTTTCCAGAAATAATTTTTCCTCATCTTCAAGCGTGTTTCTTTCGGTTCGTTTATTCGTTTAAAATAATTTTGGACGTCGAAAATGTCCAAAAGTGGGAAAATGTTACAAGTTCATTATTGACTTTTTCGCAAATTTATATGCAAATAGCTACTTATGTAATCTCCCGTTAATTTTGACCATTTTAGTTTGTGTAATACCATGAAGTTAAAAAAAACGTTTGTTTTAACATGTTTTCTTATGAGAAATTAAGAAATTGGCCTTCTCTAAATCATGGCGTTTTACGCACTTACACACCAAATTGTCCAAAATTAGAGATTATCCGTCAAGGGAAGACTGCCGAATGATTAAATAATGAAAAACTAAGAGAGAGAAACTAATACTAATAAAGCAGAGAGGGAGACAGATACCACTACACACACACCACTCACTTTCTCCCTCTCAAGAACTTTCCTACTGAATTCTGCAACTGGATTTCCACTACTTGCCAACCAGGATGAGATTGAGGAAGACGAGAATGAACTTGGACGACCCGGTGATAATTTAGATTCCAAAAAGTCAGCTCATTTTGGTTACTAAAGCTAAACAAATCTCTTCCCAGCAAGAAAACTTGTCCCATTTTGCCCTATTTTCAACATTTTTTATATATTTTTAACGTCAAAAGTTTTAATGTCCAAAACTAGTTAAATCGTTTTTTGGACAACGGTTAAAACCATAACGAAACGTTGATTTTTTTGCATATTCTACGTGTTCAAAATTAATTTTAAGTCGATTGGATAAGTTTTATTACGAGCATAATCAATAGCCAGACAGACTGACTGACATTCATAATGGGTACATGAGCTCTGATTCTGGCTAAAAAGGAGCAGCTCATGAATAAATTCATGGGCAAAGAGTGGTTATAAAATATGGGTGGAAAGCGTCCCCTTGTCAGCCCAGCCAAGCCAGTCGCTCACCATGTAAATCAAACCCTTCACAAGACTGTCACCTTTTTCGACGTGGGGTGATCCTTCATCGCTCAGTTCACCCTCATGAAAAAACTATTTGTCTCAACATGCTTTATGTATAACGGCTCAATCATGGACAACCCTTTAAACGAGTGCTTTCACTTTTCGAAATAATGTTCTTGAAATTTCTTGTTTTTAAAAAATCAACCCAAAAATTAGGATTATTTTGATAAAAAATTAAGTCGCTAGCGCTCCCCGTTCTAATGTTACTGAAGTTAAAAGTTTTTCAAATCTCAATTTTATACAACTTTCGCCATTAATAACCTCTGAACGGGGAAAGCTAGCGACTTAATTTTTTCCGAAATTTGTTGCTATTAAAATCAACCAAAAATTAGGATTATTTCGAAAAAAAATAAGTCGCTAGCTCTCTCCGTTTAAAAGTAATTGAAGGTGAAAGTTATATCAAATTTGGATTTGGAAGATTTTGACTTTCAATAAATTTCGAACGGGAAAAGCTATCGACTTGATTTTTTTTCAAAATATTCTAAATTTTGGGTTGATTTTTCCCCCAAAAAAATCACGATTGCACTATTTCAAAAATTAAGCAGTTAAAATCCACAGCGCATCTCTCACCTAAACTTTCTCTCTTTAACAGGTATGGTTTCAAAATCGTCGCGCAAAGTGTCGCAAACACGAGAGCCAGATTCAAAAAGGGATAATGCCCGTGTCCATTGGGGGCAACTCGTTGGGCGATTTGCACTGTCGCGGAACCCCATTTTCCCACCTGCCCCCGCCCCCACTCTCACCATCGGCCCTGCTTCAAACGTCCTCCTCCTCGTCGCGACGATCCGCCAGTCCGCACAACCACGTGACGATGCCATCCTCGTCGTCCTCATCAAGCGCGGCGCCCGTGTCGTCATCGGCCTCGGTGGCGACCTCGATCGCGAACAGTGTCGCGATGTCGCTCTCCGGGCTGAATTCGGTGTCCATGTCGAGTTGTCTCAATATGAGCAGCGCCGCCGCCGCGGTCAGTTTGGCGAGCTCGTTGCGCCTCAATCCGTACGATCCGTACGATTTGAGGCCGCTAACGCTTCCTTCACCGTTGGATACGGCGTTCATCAATGCGGCGCAGCAGGTACGGATTTACATGAAATTTGCGTAATTAATTTGGATTGCGTGGAAGTTTTAGTGGAAAAGGAGAGATTTTATTTATTTTGTTAATATTTCGAATGTTATCTGGTATTCATCAAAACATGTGTAAAAAAAAGAAGAAAAAATTGGCAAAATTTGCATAATGACAAGAGGGCTGTTCTGTTTTTATTTTGAACTTTTTCATTTAATGACGGGACTGACGATTAAACTTTGTGGATGTTTCTTAACATCATCAAAATTTCAAAATATTTTTGCATATTGATTTCAAGGTTTTAAGGCATATAAGTATTTCCGTTATTTTGGAAAAATTCGTAAATCTATTACATATTTTGTAACTATTTTAACGATGTGAGGCGAATTTTTTTTTGCTCGAAAAAATTGAATCACAAAAAATCCAGAGGATTAAATTCAAAAGTGCTAATTTCCCGAAAATTCTTATTTTTATATTTTTTACATTTCGTAATATTTTGACGTTTTTCCGAAATATTAACTATATATGTGTTACGACATGTTATGTTAAATACATATGTGTACATATTTCAACGATTTTTCGTAAATACATTCTATTTGTAATGAGTGTGACACCGGTTGTAAGAATTTGCAAAATTGAATTATTCAATAACCACTTTTAGGTGATGTTGTCTAATTAAATAAATTAAGAAAATTTCAAATATTGCAAATGAACCTAAAAGGCTGACACATTTTCATACAGAAATGGATAAAATCTTTTTTTTAATTATGTAACTTTATATTTTGCATATTTCCTATAAAACTGTACATATTTTTCAAAAATACATACATTTTGTAAATATTTCAACGATGTGAAATGAAATTTGTTTGCTCAAAGAACTGATAACACAAAAATATTATATTCGAAAATACAAAATTTTCTAAAATACTTATTTTTTCGTACATCTTTCGTAAATATTTTGAAGTTTTTTCTTCATAAATATTAATTCCATACATATTTTAAGAATTTTTCGTACATACATTTTATTTGTAATAAGTACGACACCGATTGTAAGAAGTTGCAAAATTGAATTATTCATTAACCAGTTTTAGATGATGTTGGCTAATTGAATCAATTAGAGAAATTGTTATTTTGAAGATGAACCCAAATTTAACATATTTTCATACAATCTGTTTTTTTTAAATTTACATTATGCATATATTTTCTATGAAACTTTACATATTTTTTTTTCAAAAATGGATATTTTGTAAATATTTCAATTATGTGACACGAACTTGTTTTGCTCAAAGAAATTGGACCACAAACAATTCAGAAAATGCAAATCTTTCAAAAATTCGTAGTCTACGTTCATGTTTTTTTAAACATTGTTTCGTAAATAGTATGGAAATTTTTTGGAAATAATTTTGCATGTTAAAACAATATTTTGACGTTTTCTCCCAAATACGTATCAAATACATATTTATTTCTGCAATTTTTCGTAAATACATATCCGCCCCCTGTGAATTAATCTTTAAATTTTTGTTTAACATATTTTTGCAATTTTTCATAAATACGTATCCGCCCTCTGATAATTTATCCCCAATTTTTTGTTTAGTATGCCGCTGCCGCTGCTGCATTATCGTCATCATCCGCTGGGGGTGTGACCTCGGGGGGCGGTGGGCCCCCATCGTCCCTGCTCCTCTACCCCCCTCCATACCCCTCGCTCGCACTTTCACTCGCGTCCAGCTGTCTCTCCTCGGCCGCCGCGGCTGCCTCCATCGGCGCCGGAGGGGGAGGAAGTCCCCTCGTGGAGAGAATTTCCTCCAAAAACACCTCCATCGCGGACCTCCGCTTGAAAGCGAGGCGACACGCGGAAGCTTTAGGCCTCTTGGAAAAACATTTGTAAAAAGTGGAAAAATTTAATAGTTAACTCGGTGACTCATTGTAAAAATCAGGACATTTGTAATCATTTTTCCCCTCTGGGAATTTATTTTAAAATTCTGACCGACAAATTTGTAGAGCAGGGAGTTGTCAATTTGAAAAAATATACACTCCGGATTTTGACACTTTTTGAAGAAGGAGATCTCAAGGTTAAGAAGCCTTCAGAAAAATTGGGACTCTTCGAAACTGACTTAAAAAGTTATTAAAATCGTAAAAATCTCTACACATTTTTCATTTCTTGGCTCTGGGAATTTATTTTAAATTTCTGACCGATAAATTTGTAGTCAATGAGTTGATTAATGGAATGGCGTTGGGGTTTTAAGCCAGTTTCGACGAGTTCCAATTTTTCTGAAGGCTGCTTAACCTTGAGATCTCCTCCTTCGAAAAGTGTCAAAGTCAGGAGTGTATATTTTCAAAAAATTTGGCAACTCCCTGCTCTACAAATTTGTCGTCCAGAATTTTAAAATAAATTCCCAGAGCCGAGAAATAATTAAAAATGTACTGATTTTAGCGATGAGTCGTCGAAGTCCTACATTAAATAAATCTGTAGTCACAGTTAGTTGATTCTTCTTCTTATCAAAACATGTATTAAATTGACCTCTAATAAATAAATAAATAATTAATTAATTCGTATAAATAAATTGCATAGAAAATTGCACTCGTGATTTTTGCAGCAAAAAGTAGTCACTTAAATGCATCGTCACTTACATAAGAATGCAACAGTGCATAAAAAACACATTTCTTCTCGGACGCAGTAAGAAGAAATGACGCAAATCCGTCCTCACCGTGCACCAGCTTAAATAATTAATTAAGTCTTAATACATAAATTGCAAGGAAAATTGCATTCTATTTTTTGCAACAAAAAGTGATCTAGCTCTACTGAAATGCATCTCCAGTTACGTAAGAAGAATAAAACCTACAAAAAATGCACTTTTCGGATGCAGGACTAACAAGAAATGACGCAAATCAGTCCTCAACGTATCGGTTTCTCTTGATAAATAAACCTCGATCAGGATTTGCCTGGTTTTTGGTCCAACACAAAAAGACTTTGATTTCCGATTACAAAAACTTTATTGACATTAACATTTCCAACGGGAAAATCGGAGGACAAAAGAGAACAGGAATCTGTGTACGACCGTTATGGGAGTGTGAGTAGATGTCAAGTCAACTTGGGGCGAAGTCGTCTTCGTCAGGGAGTGAAATAAATTCGGGGACATTCTGTTCTTCTCGGAGTCAGGTTTTCGGGTAACGACGTGCAAGAAATAACGGGGAGAAAGTGGTTTCTTGTAGGTAAATATTTGACCTGGGAGAAATCAAAGGCGCGAGAAACTACGCCGCGCGCATATAAATGGTTCATACGGCGCGTGGCTAGATGTCGCTTATTTCTTGCACTTTCTCCCAGTTTCTTGCACCTCGCATTTCTTGCATGGCTTGCTTTGCAGTGCAAGAAATGAAAGTAACCACGTGCAAGAAATTCAAATAACCACGTGCAAGAAATGCGAGTAACCACGTGCAAGAAATGCAAGTTTCCACCTGCAAGAAACTGATTTCTTGCAGCTATTCTATTTTGAACTGCAAGAAATCCAAAGCGCAAGAAACTCCTTCCCGCCGCTATACTTCATACCGCGCGTGGCTAGATAACACATATTTCTTGCACTTTCTCCCACTTTCTTGCACCTCACATTTCTTCCTTTCCAGTGCAAGAAATGTATAACAAACCCGCAGAAAAAGGAACACCTGAAATTCGTAGACATTCTGTTCTTCTCGGATTGTTGGTATTTCTTTTCTCGTCGTCGTCGTCCTGATGAGCCGGATGGAATTGAGGATGGCGGATAAGTGGTGGTTTCGTTGGACTTGAGTTTTGTTGGTTAGTTATACTCTCATCCTCAGCGTGTAACAGCAGATTCGATGTGACGGCGGAGAATTTGGTGGGTGAATGAATAAGGATGGAAAAATCGGATCAAATCTGGGATAATTTATCGGAATGGATAAAAGAAATGTATATCGAAGGCAAAGAAAGCTAAAAATACAATACAGCGATACGAGTGTATTTTTATTATTGGAGTCCATCGAATCTAAGAAAATTGTCGTTTTTTTGAAATTTGTAAACTTTGACGCCAGTAGAATTATATTTTTTATTTGATTTGACTTTATATGATATGTAGGTAGTAGTAGAACATGTCGATCGATATTGAAGTTAATACAAATATTGGAAGCGTTGTTTGTGTACAATTTCGCAACTTGAGGATAACAGCTTATCGAAAGACGAACTATTGGTTTTATTACTTTCACATTATAATTACACACAGGTTATATACATATTTATTACACGTAGGAAAAGCTGACTACAAGGGAGTCGAACATTAAAACCCTAACCTTAAAGAAAAAAAAATATTTAAGATAACCTATCTAATTTGCATAACTGTACATACATACTGCAGGCTGCAGTCTGCAGCACATGCTTTCCAGGGAGAAAGTACATACATACATACAAACGGGTTCGGAAGGAATCCTTTGATTCACTTTGAGGGGATAACATCTTACCGAAGGACGAACAATTTTCCATTTAAGATAACCTATCTAATTAGCATAACTGTACATGCACATACATCCAGCACCCACGTGCTTTCCGGGGAGAAAGTGGTACATACATTTATATACATAGAACGAGTTCAAAAGAGATAATTTAACTTAGGGGGGATAACAACTTATCGAAAAACGAACAATTTTCAATATAAGATAGCCCATCTAATTTGCATAACTGCACATACATACACACATACAGCACCCACGTGCTTTCCAAGGAGAAAGTGGTACGTATACATCTATGTACGAGTTCAAAAGGGATAATTTGATTTAATTATCCTCTCCTCGCTCGCATTAATTAAACTCGTTCGTGTAGAAATGAAGGCAAAATCTAAATTTGCATGATTTGTGTGATTCCATTCCCTCTGTTGTGTGTTCTGTTGTCCATGCATTTATCACATAATTATCCAATAAACATCCAGATTAAAGCCGACCAAATGTACGAATACGTTCTCTCTCTCTCTCTCCTGCGCTGCTGGCTAATTGAATTATTTCAATTCATTAAATTCCAATGTTTCCCAGGGACGAAATACATGGAAAATCTGAAATTGCATCTGTTCTCGTAATGTAATAAAGTCGCTGGCAGAACACCAGTGGCCGCGGACAGAGGGACAATGTCCCCACAGTTGTGAGATGTCCGCATCATCTCCCCATCTTATATAAACCCCTCCCTCCCCTATCCCACAATGTCAATGTCCCCACAGCTTCCGCGGCCACTGATTACATGCATAAAACGCTAAATTCACTGAGGCAGAAGATTATGCACAGTGGCCGCGGAAGGGTGCGGACAATGCCCCCACGGTTATTCGATGTCCGCATCATCTCCCATGTTATATAAACCCTTCCCTCCCCCCACAAGGTTGCTGTCCCCCCATGTCCTCATGGCTTCCGCGGCCCCTGCTAGTAGCACAAAACAACGCAGAGCATAAACCAAACCAACCAACCACACGAATTAAACCTCTTGGTAAACAATAATCCTAACTCGGGATAATTTCATTACGCTGATTAAAGGAATACAGTAGTACCCGTGTGAATGTGAAAATTAGACTTTATGCAAATTTATATGTATGTATGTACCTCCGTATAAATAATTTCAATTTGATTTTCGACCGTAATATACGTCTTCCAAATTTTGCAAAAAAAAACTAAATGGTTTTTATGACAGTTTAATTATTTCCTTTTATTTACCTTTAAAAAAATTATTAGGATTTATTATTGACGTACTGGGCCGTTTATATAGTATCTTCTTCCAAGTACTGGGCAATCTAAATAATTTGAAAATTTCTTTATTTTGATAAAATTAGACTTGTGACTTAATAATCATACAATATTAAATTTGGTATAAGTATTTAGCCGATTTTTTAAAAATTTTACAAGCTAAAAATTCATATCATGTTCATATTCAAATTTCGTAAACATTTCGACTATTTTCCTTCTAAATAAGTCCGCATTTTCAAAAATATTTTCAGATACACGAAATGAATGCCATAAATTTTGCTCAAATAATCACGATGCATAAATTTCTCCCATAGCGTTGTTGGTTTTCTGCAACAAGAGCTTAATTCATTTAGCAGCCTGTCTGTACAGCAAAATATTTAGTACATACATGCATATGTAGCTATGTTGCATGCTATAATTATTGTGTAAACCCACCCCATATCTGAGCGAAAATTAGATAAGTATAAACGAACGAATGTGAATTAAATCATGTCATGTTGTAAAGTAAGTGGGATGAAAAGCGAGGATGTTCTCTAACCAAGTCGTAAAGAGAGACATCATATTTGTACGAAAGGGAGAGTGCAGATATAATAATTGAGCAATAAAATCTTAATTAAAGTTTATGTCTTTACTTAATGTGTGGGAAGTTGGCTTTAAACTTGGTGAAAGCAGTAGGTACATAAAATAATTATGTATTCATGAGAATTTCGGGAAATATGACGGGTTAATTCGCTCCCCTTATCCATAATTTCACTCCGAATTTCAGTCTCTCTTCCCACTTTAAAAATTCTACAGTGCAGCCTAATTTAGCCCGAGTCAGGGTGTTCCTATATAATAATTGAGGTTGGTATGATACGACCACGACAATTTTTAAATTTTTCACCACATTTTCCTCATCTTCCAACTTTTCTCCTAATTTTGCAGATTCTACGTGTCTGCAAAATTTCAAATCGAATGGATATCCAAGTTGCACGAGCGTAATTAATAAATAGACGGACAGACAACCATGACGAGTACATAAGCCCTACAGCGGGTTTTAATTTTTCACCCCATTTCCCTCATCTTCCAACTTGCCTCCTAATTTTGCAGATTCTACGTGTCTGCAAAATTTCAAATCGAATGGATATCTAAGTTGCACGAGCGTAATTGATAGACAGACAGACAACCATGACGAGTACATAAGCCCTACAGCGGGCTAAAAATAGCCACATTATTTCATCATAGTTTTGTTTTACACAGCGATTTAATTTTAAGTTGATGAAAGCTCCAATTTGATGAAAGATTGACAAACAAAGTAAACATCCAAAAATCAGGAGAAGAAGAGCGAATCAATTCATTAGTATAACTCGATTGTTCAATTACGTACGTAAGATCGGATTGGATTTGATTTAACCCTTTTTTGACGAAATGAAAGCTTCTTCTCCTCCTCCCATCGTCGTCCGTCACTATTCCAACCGTACAATCGTCTCATCACGGACGGATGAAAATCAACCATCATTTCATTTCCGGCCTTGTTGTTGGTGTTTGGTTTGTGCTGTGGTGGATGGTGGTGGGAGAGAGCTAATCGAATTAAAAGCCAATGGGGCCATCCGAGGCGGTTTACAATGAAGCCACCCCAACCCTAATTGGACATGACGGCTCTTCGAGGGAGGCTTCCCTCTCCGAGAAAGGAAGGAAAATACCCGAAAATACGGCACAGAGTTGCGTTCTCGGGCTTTTATTCGGGCTCTAAAGTCACAGAGTTTCTGCACATACACGAAAAAGAGTCTTAATTCCAGCATAAACTTTACAAAGGGCTAATTCAATTTGTATTATTTCTACACGGGACAAAAATATAGGACAAATTGGACCACTTTCCACTCCCAGCGTGTGCTCTCTGATTTTGACGAAACTAGTCTCAATTGATCACAAATTTGATTGGGATGAAATTTGCGAAAGACACGATCTCCCAATGGGCACGTTTCGCAGAGATATTTGCATCCGAAGAGGAGAAAACGCGCCGTAAAGTCGACAAATTTTTCACTTGCCAAACTTACTGTGCGTTTTCTCCTCTTCGGATGCAAATATCTCTGCGAAACGTGCCCATTGGGAGATCGTGTCTTTCGCAAATTTCATCCTAACTAAATTTGTAATCAATTCACACTAATTTGCTTAAAATCGGAGAGCATACGCTGGGAGGGCTCTACTGCTTTCTCTCGCTTTAAATAATTCTAAACTCGCCTAGATCAATTCCACCCCCGTAAAAAATTATAATTCCACCCCCACAAACGTTACAATTGTTTAATCCTCTTCTCTAGAAAACTCCGGGTCTGAAAAAGTGGCCCATTTTCCATCCACATCAATTGAGCGACTACACCATTATCACTTGCGGAATGTGACAAGAGTTGATTTAGAGTAATGTATAAGTAGCCTCTCTCTGCCTCGCCGGATACTTTTTCTCCCTGAGTGAGATGTAATTGCATTTCTATCGAGGATGACATAATATATTAGCACTTACTTTTCCCCATGCACAGCATCCTACGCACACGAACAGTGGCCGCGGAAGCCGTGGGGACAGAGGGATAATATCCCCACGGTCGTTCGTCATCTCCCCATGTTATATAAACCCCTCCCCCTATCCTACAATGTTAATGTCCCCACGGCTTCCGCGGCCACTCGGAGAATTCAGGCTACTCAGATATTTGAACATGATGCAGTGGCCGCGGAAGGGTGGGGACAAAAGAGGGACAATGTCCCCACGGTTAGTCGATGTCCACATCATTTTCCAATGTTATATAAACCCCTCCCTCCCTTATCCTACGATGTTAATGTCCCCACGGCTTCCGCGGTCACTGTACCTACCCTGCACTTTCTCCCTCTTTCTCTCTCCCCGAAAGAAAAAAATGTGTATGTATCAACCAACCGGTCCAAGTTATCTTCGCTTACTTAAGTTACAAGTTAACTTCATCTTGAATGCTGACCCAAGACAAATTCGACATAAAATATACACCCACCACCCAAACCGGCCCCTCATCGTCCGTCGTTTCCTTCCAGTGTGGTCGACAGGGTTTCGTTATTTTGTCAGATTTCTTGTATTGCAAAGCCCATTCTGACATATCTAACCATTATTAAATTTACTGGACTACGCAAATTTTCAAATTCGGTCTCCATATTATACATTTTACGGTATCTGAATGACCCAATTTCGTTTCTTGTGGGTTTGCTACATACATTTCTTGCCGTGCAAAGCAAAGAAATGCAAGGTGCAAGAAACTGGGAGAAAGTGCAAGAAATATGAGCGAGTGTGCATGCTTATTTGCTAATTACGAATTTATTAGTTCGATAGACTAGACATTTTAAGTCGGAAACTGAGATGCTTTTTCAGAATTTTCCATAATTTAGAAAATTGAGGAATTTCCGCGTCGATTTTCTAGTTTTTGCAATGTCTTAATTCTAAAATTATTAGCATATAGTTCCGAGAAATTATGAATGTTAAAAAATATTTCAAAATTCACCTCATTTTCTGCCTATATATCTTCCATAAATTAATTGCGGGTTTGCTACATTTCTTGGACTGCAGGGCAAGAAACGCAAGAAATGCGAGGTGCAAGAAACTGAGAGAAAGTGCAAGAAATGAGCGCCGTATACAGTATTTACAGCGGCGGGGCGTAATTTCCCGCGCCTTGCATTTCTCCCAGGTCAAAATATTCACCTGCAAGAAACCACTTTCTCCCCGTTATTTTTTGCACGTGGTTACTTTCACCCGAAACCCTGCCGGTCCGGTTACAATTTCATGACATGACTTTCTCCAAAATTTCCATGAAATGAAATATCGCACCCTTTACACCCCTCGGTCAGTCTGTATCGGACCCGTACCCATGTACGTAATATCTGGTTACGTACTAATGCATAATCCAACACAACTCTTTCATTCATATCACGCCACGCCACGTTTACACGGAAAAGTGAAACTTTAAGCACCACTTTTAAGCAGCACAGAGAGAGATTATGTCATCTTCACATCAAGATTCCATTTTCTCCACGTTTTTTAGCCCGAGTCAAGCCTTATGTACCCGTAATTGTGGTTGTCCGTGTGTCTATCTATGGATTACACTCGTAAAACTCATCCCATCAACTTGAAATTTTGGATGCACGTAGAACATGCAAAATTAGGGGGAAAGTTGGAAGATGGGCTTATGTACCCGTCGTGATTTTCTGTCTGTCTGTGCATGCGTCTCTCTATAACGCTCGTAAAACTTATCCAATCTCCTTGAGATTTTGAACACACGTGGAGATTGCAAAATTATGAATCAAGTTGGACGATGGACTTATGTACTCGTCATGATTGTCTGTCTGTCTGTCCATCTGTCTGTACATGCAAAATTACGAATCATATTGGAAGATGCACAAAATGTGTGAAAAAATGAAAAAGTTGTCCTAGTCATATAATAGCCACCTAAATTATTACTAACCCCCTGACTCGGGCTAAACAAGCCTACACTCTGTCCTTTTGTCTCCCACTTTAGATACCTTTTTCTATCCATTCTGCTCGAAACGAGGAGAAAGAAGTGACCTCAAACGGTCCAAATGTAGTTCACACTTTGGCTTTCTCTCGCTACAAATGTGGTGTGAGATGCATGTGTCAAACGGGCAAACTTTTTCCACTCTGTTGCCAATTCTCTGGTACGATTATCGTAATTCACTCCAACACTTCCAGAGCAGTCATCACGCTGTGGATGGTATGGGGAAAGGACGCTTTGTTTTCGGGTGGACGTCATTGGACGCCGAAAAGGAGCGAAGCTATTGGAACAAGTGTATAATCTGATCTGATGGGAATTTATGGCAATTAACGATTTCACTTTCCAAACTTGATCTGATTTATGGGATGATTCAATTAATTTGGAAGAGAGGATTTCTTTTCCACTCGTGTGACGAGGGAAAAGTGGGTGCCGTTTATATATAGTTGGTGCCGTTTATGGGACGATATGTACGTACGTATGTACATTAGTGGTCAGAATGGTACTTATGACCATGGTCAAGCAGGACATTATGTGTGTGACCTTATTTCAACTTGTGCCATACGCACATAATAAGACCAATGTTATAATGAAATGGTCAGGGAATTTGGGAATATCATGTGAAAAATGTCCTGCAATAATTTTCATGGTCAAAATTCCGGGCACTCAAAAATAAATTTTTGACAAAAATGTCAGAAAATTATTTCCATACCCAAAATATATGTAATTATTTATTTTACACATATTAATGTATTTGCATACAACTCTAATAACGATACGGGGAGAAAGTGAGACACGGTGGTCGTCAGTTACATGGAAAAATTTCTCTTTAAGCTTTGTACAAAATGGCAATTTCAGGCCAATATTATAGTAAATGGTCAAAAGGAATTTGTACCATGTCAAAAACGCTGTCCATTAATTTTCAAAATTTCTAGCATTCAAAAATTGTATTTGTATGACCAAAATTCCAGAAATTTATTTTCATTCCAAATTCTATTTTTACAAAGTTATTGCAGATTTGCAATACGCTAGCAGCGATTGACGATGCAGGGAGAAAGTGAGACACGATCAATTACAATATAAATACGACAAACTTTCTCTTTAACCAAATTTGTGTACAAAACAACTACTAAAAATGGTATGAAGATATATTAAATTAAGTTTGTTAAATATTTATGTATGTCTTATTCAAGTGTAAACAAGGGCAATAACAATAATAAAATCCTTGATTTATCACAGTCGGGCGAAATAAACGCCACAAATTATGCTAATGTGGTGGTGAAACAACACATTTTTACCCATCCAGCGTGAAATTGAATGTCGTTTTGGTGGAGAGAAAGTCTTACAACGGGAGGAAAAAAGGGTGTGATTCTTTTGACTGGAGATAATCGGAACTGGATAATAAAATAAAATCTGTTCTTTATCGTGTCAGAGTTTTTGTTTGGTTGGTTTGAGAGAGAAAAAAAGAAAACAGGAAAAGTTGAATGGGATTTTTATGATAATTTGCAGAACAAATGGCAAATCTTGTCGGCAAGTTTGAAATGAAATGTGGGACATGGATTACATTTACTCTGTTTATTTTCTACGAAATCTTGCTGCATGCATTACATTACTGACAGGAAGGATTTCTTAGTAAATTACAGCGTGATTCATGTATCTGAATAAAATTGAGAGTTTTTTTACTAGGTGGAAAATAAAGCTAGTAAATTATAGGCAGTTAGGAAACTTAGATTTTTAAAATTTCCGTAAAGTAACTCTTCCCATTTCTTGAGTTTGTTCAAAATTTCCGGAGCCGAAATCACTCCTCAGCGTCTTCTCAACATTTTTCATATTGTTTCGGGAAATTTTGACCTAACTCAAGAAATATGGGGAGTTAGGGAAATTTCAAAAATGGAGTTTTCCTAACTGCCGTGTATATACGATCGATATTTGTCTAATTTCATATTTACAGCAAGAAATTGTCGAGCATTATATAAAATTCGGTATTTTCACACTTTTAAAAAATTGTTAACTTAAAACAACGTGCGGGTCACATTCATTATACAGAAAAAAGTACATTATACAAAATAAAAACTTAAAGTGCAGGCGATAAAATCCGAGCCGGTCATTTACCTCTTAATTACGAAACTAAACACCGAGTTATGAAGGGTTTGCATTCAGAATAATTAAATCGTAATACATTAAAAAGTCAATATTCCCTAAAACACTTAATTTCCTACTGCACCGCTGAATCTTCTGGCACGAGGGAGACTTGTCCATCATTTAGGGCAACGAAACGATATCTTTCTCCGTTTTCACCCATCACGATGACCTGATTCATTTCGTCGATCGATGTGCATAAGACTAATTCGCTTGAAGCTATTTCAATCTTGCCATCGATGTGGGTATCATTATTAGATTGTATTAGGTCGGATAAGTCTAAAACGTTGTTGTTGATGGAGTTTGAATCTGATACGATGACCGATTGGTCTACAGATATCTGTGAATAAATAAAGCAATCAAATTAATTCATGTAAATAAATTGTATAAATTAGTCAGTTAATGTAGGACTCGATGACTAATCGTCAAAATCAGCACATTTTTTATAATCTCTCCGCCCTGGAAATTTATCTTAAAATTCTGGACGACAAATTTGTAGGACAGGGAGTTGTCAATTTTTTAAAAATATACACTCTAGATTTTGACACTTTCTGAAGGAGGAGATCTCAAGGTTAAGAAGCCTTCAGAAAAATTGGAACTCGTCGAAACTGGCTCAAAAAACTCATCGCCATTCCATTAATCAACTCACTGACTACAAATTTGTCGTCCAGAAATTTAAAATAAGTTCCCAGAGGCGTAAAATCATTAAAAATGTGCTGATTTTGACAATATGTAAGTTTAAATTATATACCTCATTGGAATATTGCGGTATGTGGGTCAGTTCAATTTTCATTGGAACTTGGTCTTCTCCTGAGATCAGAACGTGCCTAACGAGGTCGGATTGTGGTAGTGGTGGGGACGCCATGGCTTTTATCGGACTCCGACTTCTACTCCTACTTCTGGTCGAGTAAGAGGGAGGAGGTGCCATGATAAGTGTTTCGGGAGCAATTGTCACCACTGTTTCGGTGGGTGTGGATTCTTCAATAAAGGAAATATGAACTTCATTTCCAAATTTTGGGGTATTATGATTGGGCAGACCAAATATTGGCATTGGTAAAGGCGTCTTGCGTTTGGGCGTCCGTTTAACGTAACTCTTTCGAACGTCGCCCTAAAATTGGGGGTAAATTCTTCTTCAAAATCTATGAAAATATTATGCATTAAGCAAATCTACCACATACCGGATTCCTTTTGGGAAATAAATTAAGTTTTGCAGCAGGTGATACGTCAATCACTAAACCAGGGACATCTTTGGTATTTGAAGTTCCTTAATTGATGTCATCAAATTAGTTATATTTACATATTGACCAAAATAACGGGTCTTATCTTACTCAAATCATCATTTAACGGTTCCATTGATTTCCGCTCGTCATCTTCTGCCGCTTTACTTTTCATTTCTCTTCTAACAGCGTCAAATTGTCGCTCCACCAATTTTTGTAACGGTCTACCAGCAATTTTCCTCCCTGAAGTACAACAAATCACATTAAAAATATGCCACAAATTAAGACAATCTTTTTCATAATTACCCGGATGTACAAAGTAGTTATCCAAATGTTCAAATAGATGATTACGCATTGCCTTCTTCGTCCTCGGGGCTAACTTCCTTGTCCCCACGATATCCGAAGTATCGGACAATTGTTCCTTAAAGACTTGCGGTTGTATCGTTTTTATCGCGTCTCGTATCGTCCGTTGTGTCCTTCTCCCACTTCCACCACCACCACCACCAGCTGCAAACAATAACAAACAATAGTTAATCAAAATAAATAAACAATGTCTTCGATAACACTTTATCCTCCTCCCCTTAATCAACAATCTTATCACGCCTAACCTTAACAAACTTGAGACTCATGCAAAAACAACTTGAGACAATGACAACAACAACAACTTACCATTTCCGCTGCTCATTTTAACGAGTTAATTGCCAATTTAGAAAGTCAAACTACTGGGATTTTGCAAAAGTTGCTATATTATTTTCGCGTGGGTGTGGACTTTCTTCTTATCGAGACGACGATAATCACCCGAGGTGAGGTGAGACTTTGGACAACTTGCGACTCCCAAATCTTCTTGGATAAAGGTCGAAATTGTATTTTGACAAGTGCAGAAATAATTTTAGAATTGTCAGCATCATCTGATCCGCTGCGACCGAACTAATCGGATAGACGTCTATAGGTGTAGATATAGGGTAGATATACAGTCTGATTCAAACGAACCCGCGGCCAGGGTCGCACTTTACCCCGGTTACCATCCTCCTCATTACATAACTTCTTGCTTTCACGAACAATGAAACGGTCACACGGACAAATTTAGCAACAACTCCGATCTCCCGATAAAACTTGGACTTGATTAGTCACGTAGCCAATTTCTTAGAATGTTGCACAATCTCTCACCGTTTTTTGCAAAAAATATCGCGAATTTACAATTTTTGCCAAGTTTCATGTACTTTTCAAGTTTTATCATGTAATTGAACTTCTCTGCCCTGCAATATTTATTTTAATGAATGATTTGCTTTTATTCATTGTTAATTGTTACTGGATAATTACGACGTTTTCAATAATATTGTTCATCAATCAAATAACCTTAATGTCACACTTTTTCACCCCCACAACAATATTTTTCATTACAAATTCTTCTATGTTATCCAAAAGTTTACCAATACAGATGATAATGATCTTGTTCTTGTTATATGCCAATTTTTTTATTGTTTTCATTTCTCTCGCCAAGAAATTTTCATTACCAAATAAACATCAAAGTCAGTCAGTAGTCAAACCGCTTATCATTTTTTGTTAGTTTGGTTCCTTATGGGATTTGAAGAGAGGAGAGGAAGTCGATTTTATAATAAAACGTGAGTGATGTGATGTGATGATGATGACGGGAAATAATCAGTGGCCGCGGAAGCTGTGGGGACATTTCCATTTGTAGAATAGGGGGAGGAATGGGGACATCGAACAACCGTGGGGACATTGTCCCCCCCACGCTTCCGCGGCCACTGAGCATAATATGGATGGATGTGTGGCTTATGTAAGCCGCTGTATAAAGAATTGGTCGTGTTGCATAACATAACCCTTCCATCACTAAAGTAGTGGGACTGGCTTCCCACACACCATTCGTCTCTCTCTCTCTATCCTGCTTGCTCTCTCTCTCTCACAAAGTCAGTTGTTTCGAGAGAGAGGATCAGTTTTTTGTTAAATTTTATGTTTCCCATTAATTTCGAAAAAGAGGAGGACGAAATTTGGGAGGGTACGGTTCGTAAAGTTAAGTAATAGGGAAGGAGGAGAAAAAATAAGATAAGAGTTGAGTTTGAGTAGGTAAGTTTGGAAATTTTTGGTGACTGGTAACTGTAAATTTGGATTTTTGTTTCGTGTAAATTGAAGATTTTTAAAGAGAGATATGAGTTTAATTAAGTTTTTTGTTCTGACTTGCAGTAGATAGGTTGTTATCTGTCAAAGAATCCGGATTGGATTTGCGATTGGAAGTTTTAAGGTGATTTTTTTATGCGTATAATTTACATTGTAAATTGAGGTTTTTAATGAAGGGAGACGAAATTTGATGAGATTTGTCAGTTTAATTAAGTTTTCTGCCTTGCTTTAGGTTATCAGTCAAAGAAAAAGACCGGATTGCGACTGTACTCTATTTCACAGTTTTTTAAACAGCAACAAATATAAATATTGGATAAAAAGGTATATCTAAACTTGATTTCTGTGAATTATTATTTACTTACGGCTCACTAAAATGTATACACAAGGGATATTTACACTTATACAATTTATTATTCCCCCAGCTGCAAGCAATTTGGACAATGCTCACCCTTCTCGGTTCAACTCGGACTTTTTGGACACTATCTCAAGTGGAAAGGGTGTGTGGACAATTGCAACAATTGAAACTTAACCAAACCACCAGTAGCAGCAGTGGCATTCTACAATCTCGAGACTTTAGCAACGCTAACAGGGCCGCCATAACGAGAACGAATCGTCTCCAGTACCTCCTCTCTTATCCGACCGTTATCGTCAACCCGGACGGATCCACGTTCACGGTCAGACATTCAACGCCCAGGAAGATTATCAAGGTACAAAAATTATTGGTCTGTCCTCGTTTTAAAATATTATAAAGTCTTAAAATTTGGGAACAATTAACGGGTTTTTTAGTATGTCAAACTTCCGCTACTTAATTATTTATAAATCCATTAGTAAAATTTGCATCATTTCATTTCACCGAATTTCACGCATGGGATGGGCGTGTGCCATAAATTTCCTTCCTGTTTGTTTAGACTTTACATGTCGACCAACTTGTTCGCTCCTCGTGTAATGGAAATTGGACTGGGGATCCATCCATTCAACTTCATAATTGTCTTGCACTCAATAATTCAAACGTATCGAATTCTTCTTCTCTCTTATTTTGTGAGTATAGCAGTGGCCGCGGACAGGACAGAGGGACAATGTCCCCACGGTTGTTCCATCATCTCCCCATCCTATATAAACCTGGCCCTCCCCCCATCCTACGATGTTAATGTCCCCACAGCTTCCGCGGCCACTGATAGTGTGTACATAAGTATTTACTCGTCATGAATTGAATGACATGACCGAAACCCAATGTTCTCCCCCATGTAATACATACAACTTAACATTCAATTCAAGCAACATATATATTCCATTATTTTGATTAATTCAAAATTTGAAAAAACTTTTCAGAACTTTTTACTTTTTTTCTCCCCAGAAATTCAATCATCTCCTCCGAGATTGTCATGAAAAGCAGCTTACCTGGATTTTCTCCTCCCCCGTTCAAAATTGCATTATCTCTGTAAACAGAAACAAACTCGTATTTCATGTCATTGTCATGAAGCAGCTCTTTCCATGAAATTGTTTCATGAGTTTAGGTTTGTTTGCCGAATTTACTGAAATACGGTCTTCTCTCTCTCGTGTTGTTTGTAGAATTTGATTAGACGGTTTTGTTATGTAAAAGTGGTGTTTGCTTACATAAGTATGTACGTACATTACATGGGTTAGTTACGTAGGTAAAGGTACGAAAAAAATGAACAAACACTGATCCAATCCATCCATCCATCCATGTAAAGTGGGGAACAACTAAATAACTAAAACATATATAATACCAACCAGCATCATTATTATCATTTATACATTGTTATGTTACGTTACGTAGGTAGGATGTCTCTCTGCTCTTATGTATGCATGCATACTATTTATCAATTGAGTCACGAGCTCTAAATAGTTTGGTCGTGGTATGGTTACTTAGTTAGTTATTCAATGAATTTGACGAATTCGCGAAAATCTATATAACTAATCCGCGTACTCAACCCATATGCATGTGTACGTTATCAGTGGCCGTGGGGACAGCTGGGGACATTAACATTGTAGGATGGGGGGAGGGAGGGGTTTATATAAGATGGGGAGATGATGCGGACATCGAACAACCGTGGGGACATTGTCCCTTTGCTTCCGCGGCCACTGTTCATACCTTATCAGCGCATACCTCGCGTGGTCTGGTGTTTATATCAATGGGTAGGTCATGGTAATTGATGATGGCTTGGGTTGCCTGTATCAGGTGATGATAACGTAAAATCACTTAATGTACTAACAATTAGTACTAGTAAATTTGCATGTTTAGTATCAAATACATGTGTAGAAGAGGAAGTTAAAAAAATTTAAAAACTTGTTGTCTTTCATTGTTCTACTTTTCCGTATTTTAGTTTCCGTCAAGGACGTGTCCTTAGCAAAATCAATACTAAAAATTGAATGCTGAATTGATACCCATGTCAAATTTCGACATAATTGTACACTTGAGAAGTTTACTTGGTTGTCGACTTGATTGGTTACGTTTACTATGTCGATGGTCATATGTCAAACAATTTCAACAGTATAGATTTTCCTCTACGAAATATTGGTCAGCCTCCTCTTTCCCTCTCTATCTCTTTACCCATCTCAACCCCATTATTACTTTACTTATTTATTTATGTATTGATTCCATTTCATTTCATTGTTCTCTCCTTATATAATTTCAGCTTCCGGTGGATGTCTCTCTACTCTCTGAAGCCGCCCGGAACGCAAGATTGGAACGAAGAAAGTTGAAAACCAAGGTGAAACTGGATGAAGAGTTTCTCGAAGAAGACGGCTTCGATGCCAAGAAATACTTAAAGTTTGTCAAGAAATGAACTAAAAAAAAGTCCAATCAAGAAGTAGTCAGAAATAGTTTGTTACATAAATAATTTACTTGTCAATAATTATTCAGTGAATATTCAGATTATTCTTAATTAGTCATCATCAACAAGAAAATGTGTCCTCGTCGTAGTATATAATTGTTTTCGTAGTAGTGGCGATAAAATGAATCAGTAATTGGAAAACCCAAGTTCTGCACACACAGAGTCAGTCTCAATCTAACTAGGTACGTGTGTCTCCACTCTTTTTTGTACTTATTGATTTGCTTATACACAATAAATTATGTAATATTTACTACCCTGCACTTTGATTTCTCTTAAAAAAATATGCACTTTTCTTGCTGGCTTTGGTTTTTGTTTCGTTCTTTTTTAAAAAAATAAGCTATGCAGTTTAATTATTTAAAAGAGTCGACTAATTTTTTGTAGGCTAAACAAAATGGAGGAAAAGTTACAACAACTTGACGTAGACCTGGAAGTAGAACCTCCTCCTGTGAAAAGGTCAAAGTTGGATAAGCTCGATAACACGTCGGGGCAAAAACTTTCCAATTCTTTAGAAGAAAAAAGAGATGACGACGCGCTAGAAAAAAATGGGAGCGACAGAACCAATAAAAAAGTCGCAGCTTCACCTGATGCAAATGGGAATCAAGTTGAAACCGATAAATGTGTTCTGGAAGACAAAACTGACGACGAGCCCCCCGCTTCTTCTCCCCCCGATAACGATAAGAGTCCTACTTCTAACACCGAGCTTAGCAAATCATCCACCCCTTCAAAAAGTCCCACAAAGAAGAAAAAGAAACGCAAGAAATTGAAACCATCATCGACCACCCCATCCCCGGTGAAGGTGAAGGACTCGAAAAAAACTGCAAAATCTAAAGCCGCCGCCGTACAAAAAGCTGAAGCTCAAGCAGCCGCACAAAAGAAGGCTGCAAATCTTCGCAAGAATATTAAGGACATTTTCAAAACGGAAAATCTAGGCGAAGAAACCTTAGCGGCTCAACGGGAAGAAGCGGAACGAAGGGAACGAATGATTCTCAAGTTGCAGCAGTTAAAATTACTGCAAGCTCAAACCCTTGCAGCTAACGCGGCGGCATCGTCGTCGTCATCATCGTCAATGAACGTCCCCTCTCCAACACCTTTGATAAGTAGTGCCCCTTTGATAAGTACGAGTGACTTTGCCCCTGCTGTTATTAAATGTGAAGACGACGTAGTCAGTGGTCCTCCACCTCTTCCCATTGGTGACGAACACGGCGTCGTAATCGACGCCACTTATCTTTCCCCACCACCCTCCGAACTTTTCGTGTCGAGTGAACTTCCCCAAGAGGAAATTGTTCTGTCTTCAGACGACGAACGGGATGACGACCATGAAATAAAAACTTGTGTTACTAGTAATAATAATAATAATATCGTTCAATATCCTCAACATTCTTCTACCTTATCCGAGTTGAGAAGCCATCTTATCCACCCGACGGAAGGAGTATACGGACAGCAATCCTTCCCATTATTGCCGAGTGGTGACGCTTCTTCTTCCGACTTCCTACTCGATGACCAAAACGTTATATCGATAAGTTCTGGGGACGAAGACGATACTAATAATTGTGATAACCCGGTTACAACAAGTAGTAGTGCGACAAATGGGAATGGATATCATTATTCGCATAATAATAATATTAATCACCACTTTTCCTCTGCCTCCTTATCGTCCCACCATTTGCCGTATTTCCAACATCATCATCAGAGTGAAGTGATAAGCGAGTCGAGTAGTATTAGAAGTGGGGGGAGTAGGGGGAGAGGAGGGCGTGGTGGTGGTGATAATGACAGTGACGATGATTGCGTCGTTCTCAGCCCGACGCCGGAAAGTGAGGACCCGATTGAGAAGGAGGAGAGGAATTTGGACGAATTAAATATTTTGGACAGTGAGGGAAGGGTTTTGGTCAATGTTGGACATCCGGATGAAGATCCAGACATATTTTTGGCACCGCAAGTTTCAAGGATTGTTAAACCGCATCAGGTATTTTAATTTATGAGAAAACTATTTAATTATGAATTATGGTTCGATTACATTTACAAAATGATTACGTTCTGCTCACAGATCGGAGGTATTAGATTTTTATACGATAACGTTGTTGAGTCCGTCGACCGATTCAATACGGCCAGTGGGTTTGGTTGTATCCTGGCGCATTCGATGGGATTGGGAAAAACTTTGCAGGTAAATTAACTCGAGCAAACTAGTGAGGATGGAGGTCTCCCAGCGTGTACTCTGCGATTTTGTGCAAACTTGTGTCAATCCATCATAAATTTAGTTAGTGTGAAATCTATCAAAGACACGATCTCCCAATGGGCACGTTTGGCAAGATATTTCCATCCGAAGAGGAGAAAACTCGCCTTAAAGTTGTTGACATATTTTACACTTTCCAAATCTGCGCATTGTGAACTCATGCCTTTTGAAAATTTCACATTAATTAAATTTGATATTCGATTGTCAACATTAATTTGATCAAAATCAGAGAGCATACGTTGTCAGACGACTTCCATTGTTAGTCGATGTTTTTTGTACTATACATTTTTCTCTTTAAACTTCAGGCCGTCTCTTTCTGCGACGTATTTCTCCGCGCAGCCCGTGCCAAGAGTATATTAATCATCGTCCCTATAAACACGATACAAAACTGGCTCAACGAATTCAACGTTTGGCTCCCAACAAAGAAAACTGTATCCAAAAAGAAGAAAAAGCCAGTAAAGAAGGACCCTGCAACTCCCGCCAACCCTGATAACCTCACCACCACGCCGAAGAACCCACCCAGTCCGGCCTCCCTCACCGACTCCATCAGCGAAACAGTCTCGCTAAACTTGAGCTTTGATTCTACTTTAAATCTATTCGAGAAAACCGAGGAAGATTCCGCCGCACCGGAAAAACAAGAATCAGATCCCGACAACGATGGCGGCGAAGCGAGAGGCGGAGGAGGAGACGCCATACACTTGAGAGAATTTGAAGTTTACGTTCTAAACGAAACCGTAAAAACGTTACAAGCCCGGGAAAAAATTATAAGCGAGTGGTCCACAAAAGGAGGCGTGATGCTCATCGGGTACGAAATGTATAGGATGCTTGCGCTCAAAAAGTTGAAGAAATCTGGGAAGAAACAACCCCCAAACTTCCCATTTTCTGGGGGAGACGAGTATTCCAACGAAGCCGTCAGTCTGAGCAACATTTACTCCTGCCTGGTAGATCCTGGGCCAGATCTGGTCATTTGTGATGAAGGACATCGCATCAAAAATAGTGGGGCTAGTATTTCTCAAGCCCTGAAAGCTATTAGGACACGGCGTCGCGTCGTCCTCACGGGCTACCCGCTGCAGAATAATTTGATGGAGTATTGGTGCATGGTGAGGAGTTAGCAACTATTAGCTTGCGTGGGTTCGATTTCCGTTTTTTTTTTGGAAAACTGGGGATGTTCCCACTGTCCCGAAAAGTCCCATCATCTGTAAAAAACGGAGCTTAAAAAAGTATCGTCCCCTGCTTTCCCGGCAAACGCGTTTCAACGTTTCCACCACAAATCGAGCTCACGATTATTAGCGTCTCTAGAATTGGAATTAATTTATAATAATCTTTTCCCAGGTGGACTTTATCCGACCGAATTACTTGGGCTCAAAAGTGGAATTTTCCAACATGTTTGAACGACCAATTTCCAACGGACAGTGTGTCGATTCCACCCCGGAGGACAGACGATTAATGAGGTTTCGATCCCACGTCCTTCACTCGTTGCTCGAAGGATTCGTTCAACGGCGCTCGCATGCTGGTAAAATTATGGTCTAAATAATTAACGAAGGACTCAATGACTCGTCACCAAAATGCGGTCGAAATTAATACATTTTTAATCATTTCTCGACTCGACTCGACTTGACTGGGAATTTATTTTAAAATTCTGGAAGACGAATTTGTAGTCATTCAAGTGAGTGAGTTGATTGATAGAATGGCGCTGAGTTTTTTTTACGCCAGCTTCGACGAGTTTCAATTTTTCTGAAGGCTTCATAAACTTGAGATCTCCTCCTTCAAAAAGTGTCAAAATCTGGAGTGCATATTTTTGAAAAATTGGCAACGATCTGCTCTACAAATTTGTCGTCCAGAATTTTAAAATAAATTCCCAGAGCCGAGAAATGATTAAAAATGTGCAGATTTTGACGATGAGTCATTCAGTCCTTTGTAAAGTCCAGCGGATTTATTTATTATCCCCCAATTTTACAGTGCTTCACTCCGCCCTCCCCCAAAAGAAGGAGTGGGTCTTCCTCCTCAAAATGACCACCGTGCAATACAACCTGTACAAAGAGTTTATGCAATATCTCAGCGACAATAATACGGACGGACAGTGTGGCGCAAATCCCATCAAGGCTTTTGCCGTCTGCTGTAAAATCTGGAACCATCCCGACGCTTTGTACAACGTTGTACGGAGAAAGCAAAGCATCCTCGACGATCTCGACCTGGACGAGCTGAATAGCGGAACGGGCGGTGGGGGGTCAAACTGGTCGAACAAATCGAGGCGACGAGGAACCAGCAGAAAAAAGAAGGAGAAGGAAGGCTCCCCTCAAATCTCCTATTTTGACGGAAGCGGTTTCGACTTTCGTCGAAGCACGCTCGACTATTCTCCAATGTCTTCAACTTCAAATCGGTCCGGATCCGAGGCCCTCTCGTTGGACTGGGCGCTCCCAATTTTCGAAAATTATGTCCCCGGAATCCTCGAGAATGGAGTCAAGTTTGAAATCCTGTTTGAAATTATACAAGAAACTGTGCACGTTAAGGACAAATTGTTAGTATTTTCTCAAACCCTGCTCTCCCTCGATTTGGTGGAATACTTTCTCCAGCAAAAGTTTAATTGGGCAAAGAACGCTCAATATTATCGACTCGATGGGAGCACGACGGGGCTCGAGAGGGAAAAACTGATCAATAACTTCAACAAGTTGGAAGGAGTGTTTGTCTTCTTGGTGTCGACGAGGGCGGGATCTTTAGGAATTAATCTTACCGGAGCTAACAGGGTTGTCGTGTTGGATGCTTCGTAAGAGTTGCAATTTTTTCAAGATAACTTTGACCTTATCGAATTTAATTTATTGTACGATTTTTTGTTTTAGATGGAATCCGTGCCACGATTGTCAAGCTGTATGCAGAATTTATCGATATGGGCAAACCAAACCGTGTCAAATCTATCGGTAGATACATATATGATCAATAATTAATTAATTAGTGCAATTAAGACATAATTATAAAATCTTTGCTTGCTTTCTAGATTTGTGTCGGATTGCACTCTGGAAAAAAGGATTTACGACCGACAAATCAACAAGCGGGGGATGAGCGACCGTGTCGTTGATGAAATGAATTTTAAACGTATGCATTTTCAACATTCGTGCCCATTTAATAATATGAATAATTAATTAATAATTATGATAATTTTACCAGCCCAATTCAAAAGCAAAGACGTCAGCTCCTTTCTCGTCCTGAAACACGACCATCTCGACAAATTACAGTATATCAAGTGTGACCTCAACCCAGAAAACTATTCGGATCCAATCCTCCAAAATGTGTTGGCTCGACATGGCGACAAATTGACGCAGGTAATACAACAAACTGACAATATCATCCCGGAAGTAGAAATACTAATAAGATTTGTCCATTATTAGGAACCTTTTGAGCATGAATCACTCCTCATCGACCAGAAAAGCCAACGTCTCTCAGCCACCGAAAAACGGCTCGCGCATCGCAACTATCTCACGGAAAAGCGGACGGCAGAGCTTCAAAGCGCGTCTGGTTACTCGTACTCTCGTCCATCATACGCGGCGTACTATCCTCGAGAGACGTCGTCGACAACCTCCTCCCTCCTTGCGTCCAACACGTCGCCTTCCTCATCTCATCGCACCTCTTCTTCTTACCTCACGTCCTCCGCGTCTTTATCTTCAAGCTTCCGTTCTTCGTCACACCCTGTAGTCCAAGAAGACAAATTTGAGCATCACGTCCCAGCCTTGCGAGCAAAGGGGATTTGTGTCCAGAGTATTTTACTGAAGAAGGATTCCTTCCTCGCCGACCCGAGCGGAGGACCGGACATGTAATTAATGATTAACTAATAATGGAGATCTCCCAGCGTATGCGATCAGATTTTGAGAAAATTAGTGACAAATTTAATTAGGATGAAATTTGCGAAAGACAAGATCTCCCAATGGGCACGTTTGGCAAAGATGTTTGTATCCCAAGAGGAGTAAATGCGCAGTAAATTTGGAAAGTGTAGCATTTGTCAACTTTAAGACGCGTTTTCTCCTCTTCGGTTGCAAACATCTCTGCCAAACGTGCCCATTAGGAGGCCGTGTCTTTTGCAAATTTCATTTCAATTAATTTTGTGATCGATTGACACTAGTTTAACCAAATCTTATTGCACACGCTGGGAGATCTCCATTGTCATAATTATCCCATTTACATAAAATTATGCATAAAATTATTTACAGGTATCTCATGGGCGGCGAAAAGATTTACGTTCTTCGCTCAGAAAAAGGAACATATCTCCGAATCAGCAACGGAAAACTGATCGCTGTCCGAAACAACGCATCAAATTCAAGATTTCCCATCCTAACCGTCCCTCCGACGCAAGAGCTGTCCAAAGAACAATTGCAAACCTTAGTCTACTCCTTCCTCAAACTCCCCAACCATCATTCCTACACCAACGACTACATTCACTCTGGTGCATTCTCCTCCTCCTCCACCTCCACTGAACAACCGCTCCCACCCTCCGCCAGTTTCTACACGCATAACAAGCACCACCTTCAAGTGACCAATACCCGCAGCAATTCTGGCGGAGATGTCACCATGTGGCCGTCGTCATCGGCCTCATTAAATCCCCAATCTCCACAATCACCTCTAGTCGGGCTACCTTCGTCGTCAAAGCTAAACAGCGATTTTACAAAATCCTCGTCATCTTCAAGTTTAAACGCGCTTTTAGACGCGGCCACCATCAACGGAGGAGGAGGACCAATGAGTGGACTAAATTTCACCTCTAATCTCGAAAAGTTATCCTATCTCGCCAGATTTTCCGGCCTTTCTACCCAACACAAGGAACAAGAATCTTCTTCTTCTCGACGAAATCGTCTGCTGATGGACGACAATTCCAACTCGAATTCCAGCTTTCCACCCGGATTCCTATTCCCTCCGTGTCCTACACAAATCTTCTCCCGGACGGGGACACCCCCCTCCACATTTGCATCGGACGTTGAAGTCATCCCCATTTCAAAGAAGAGGAATCGCCCCGGCGGTGGTGGTGTGTCGCCGAGTATTTCCTCCTCCGCGACGTCAGCCTCGTCCAATTCACAATCCGCTTTTCCCTACAGTCACGCCGTCTCTATTTCCACCACGTCCGCGTCTCGTCCACCCACCATCGAGGCGGAACGACACCCTTCAAAATCCAGTGATGCCAATCCCAATTTTTACGAGGATTTTACCATCACGGTAAAATCCCCGAACAAACTTAAACATAACAACAGCAGTTCTTCATCATCTGCAATCAGCACAAATTTCACGTCCCGACCCGGCCCCCACTTCAACTTTGATCGAGGCGAATACATCGCGCATCATGATAACGTATCGGAGGGAATAGGATCGTCCCCTCCGAACAGTGCGTTCCACCACGTGACCACCACGACGACGAGGAGTGACAACGGGGTGCACGACTTTTCCAGCACGTTATTAAACCAGTATTACAACAACGGTTTAGTTCAACATAACACGAAAAGTAATGGAAGCAGTTCTTCTTCCTCGTCAAAGAATGAGTTTCCATTTCATCAAAATCAAGGCGTATGATATTGGAGGAGGGGTCAACAAACACGTTAAAAATCTGGTAGAGTCAGATATATACTCGGTACTGGTATTGATTTGGTAATAACTTGTGACCGGATTGGTAGTAGTTTGTTTCAGAATGGGGAATTTTTCATTACGACAACATTACTAAACGGTAATGCCCGTTTTTACCAGTACCGATAAAGTCATGCATATGTATGTACTCCGATCAGTAATGATTTAATACCAGTTTTCTAAGAGTGCAACAACAACGCTGCTGCTGCTGTCGTCGTCTTCAGCGAATACAAACGTTAGAAATGTTCAAATAATAATAATGTGTCGTTTTTGCACCTTGTTGTTTGTTGAATGATGATATTACATACATAATTATTAAGTATTCAATTCATCTTTTTCCTGTGTCAAAAAGTATGTATCCCTAAAAAACGAAATGTACCTTTTCAGAAATATTTTAAGTTGAAAGTCAAGAAAGCATGAAAGATCGATGAGTCTACCTTAATTAATTAATTACTGCCTCCAATCGTGGCTATGATTTTGAGTACAAAATATCAGACAGAAACTACATATATTTAAGACAAGTTTTTAACTGGTAGTAGAATAATTACATTTTAATTAGTGGTATAATAATAGTTAATCATTTACATAATTGTTGTTGTTTGTGTGGGTGGTATTTGGTGTGATGCATATGTACGTTACATAATTAATTAGTTAATTATCCTATTTATTATTAAGTTCGTTCATGCTACAAACGACACCACGTTATTATTCAAAACTCATCCTCCAGTATTGTATTGTTGACTTTACCGACCGAATGTCATGATGATTATCCTAATAAAGAAGTATGTTTCTATTTACGTGAAAATTTACGAGGTCGACTTTATTTTAATTATTAAGTTAGCGTTGAATAAAGGACATTTTTTAACGCAGTTTTATTTTGCTCTTAAGCTTCCAAGATTTAAATTTCCAATTTTGCACATCGAATTTTGTGTTTGAAGAACCGGTTTGAAATCATGTTGAGAAAGAAGTTTAATTAGTATTACATGCTTTTTTCAATCTTAATAAGCTCGAGAATCCCGTCCTGCATCTCCTTCACGGCCTGACCCTCGGTCAAACCCAATCGTCGCTTGTTCGAAATGTCGTAAACGCCTCCGATGCTTTCGGTATGCTCACCGCTCGTGCCACGAACCTGGTTCATGGATAAGTCAAATTAAAGAAAATTGTATCTCCGAAATTTGACGTAGGACTTATCACCAAAATTGTTGAAATCAGCACATTTTAAAATAAGCATTTCTCCCCTCTGGGAATTTGTTTTAAAATTCTGGACGACAAATTTGTAGTCAGTGAGTTGATTAATGGAATGGCGTTGAATTTTTTAAGCAAGTTTCGAGGAGTTCCAATTTTTCTGAAGGCTTCTTAAACTTGACATCTCCTCCTTCAAAAAGTGTTAAACTCTGGAGTGTATATTTTTTTTTAATTGGGAACTCCCTCTACAAATTTGTCGGTCAGAATTTTAAAGTAAATTCCCATAGGCAAGAAATGATTAAAAATGTTCTGACTTTGGCGATAAGTCTACATTAAGCTTATCAAAGATAACGCCTCACTAACTTGAAGATTATACTTTGCCGCGGTCGCATCCAGTTTGGCCTTATCCGCTGCCAGCTTGGGCAACTTGATGTGGACCGAGGCTCGAATCGTGGTGCCCAAATTGGTCGGACAGAAGGTCAGATATCCGAACCGATCGTTGCGAGAGAAGCGCATCTTCTTCTCGATCTCCGTCACACCGGCGACCATTCGCGAATACACGCCCCCCAAATCACCCCCCTGCTCCATGGAAATGATGCGAAGGTGATCCTCCTCGTTGACCCAGACGAGGAAGGACTTCGCATCGTTGTGGTAAATTCCTCTCCCAATGGGCCAAAAGCGACACGCATTCGCCGCCTGGAGGAAACGATCGCCTTCTTTGAAGAGAAAGTGGTCATCAATGAGTTGCTGTTGGGTTTCCTTGGTCATTCCGAGGAGAGGGTAGTACCTGCAAATTTTTACCGGTGGGAAATTAATTACAACAGGGGATAGGCAAACTACTGTATTTTTGAACTCTGTTCTTCCCAGGGTTTGGATTTGTGGGGCTGTTACACCCACAAAAAGACGAAGATCTACGTGGGGAAAACAGTAGTCAGTCGAAAATACAGGTTTTGTGAAGAAATTAACTTTTTATCTTTGTCAAAATACATTATTTTCACGACTTTTTTAAAATTTAGTGTTTTGACCTCGATAAAAAGTTAGTTTCTTCACAAAACCTGTATTTTCGTACGACTTTTGCATTCTCCACGTAGATTTTCGTCTTTTTGTGGATGCAACACCTCCGGAAATCCCAACCTTGGGTAGAACCCAGCTCAAAATACTCCATTTTAACAACATATTTTGCCTACCCCAGTAATTAATTAAGGTACATAATTAAATATCCCATTAAACTATTTAATTCGAAACCTACGTTCCAGCCAAGACTCCGCTCAGTCCGGTCAAACAGCTCGAAACTTTGGCTTCCATTTCTTTGTACTGCGGCTCCGTGAGACAAGGGTTGAATGGATATCCTTCCAGTGATCGACCACACCGGACTCGAGTCGAAATCACAAACTGACCGTCTGGGTCGACGTTGACGAAGGAGCTCAGGTCTCCAAAGTCTTTTGCGGGATGATGCTAATTATAATTAAACTTGTTTCAGAGCGTTCTCTCTCACCACAATTATTAATTAGTTGATTTAAATTTAATTTAATCACATCGTTTTTCCCAAATCCTCCATGATAGTCGTCGATAATGGGGTCAAAGAGATCGGCAAAGATCTGAAAATACATGAAATACATAACAATTTGTAAATTTATAAGCAATAATTAAAATGTAACGATTATATGGTATCAGAAGCGTGTGGACAGAGGGACAATGTCCCCATCATCTCCCCATGTTATATAAACCCCTCCCTCCCCCATCCTACAAGATTAATGTCCCCACATGTCCCCACGGCTTCCGCTAATTATAAATACCGTGTAGCTGTCCGCATCTGGCGCATAAACGCCAACGCCACTATCCAAATTTTCCACGCCTGACTGGATAACGTCCATGAGAGACGCGCCCAATGGGGTCTTCCACATTTTGAGCTTGTCGAAAACATCTTGAGTCAAATATTTCTTCAAAAGCGAGTGACATTCCTCGTCCGACGCCTGCTGCAACTTGGCGTATGCCGCTTCCCTGAAGTAATTTTAATAAGTTTCATTTTTGAAATCTGAAATTGAACCCATAATTTTTCGAAAAACTCACAATCTCTCCAAAGTTTCAGGGTCAACTTTCTTCTTGCGCCCGATACACCCAGCAGCTCCACAGCATGGCATGATGATTCTTTTTTTAAAGAAAGACGAAAGTCCGACGTACAAATACAATCTGGTGGAAATGGGGACGTTTCCGAGAAGCAAAAAAGTGTGAGACGACGGGTTGGTGAAAATTTTGTCGAGAGAGAGAGAGGTCCTCTTAGATTTGCACTGGCTTCGTCGTCGTCGCCGTAGTTGTTACCGGGACAACGGCGCTTGAATTTTCACGTTTCCTGAAATTCCATTTGGATCATCTTTGTCGGTAGAAGATAAGACCAGTAAAATTAGTGCAGTAACGGCATCTTGCTAGTATCAGTGTCTACCTGTGTGTCTTATGCTAAAGGTACTCATAAGGTGTAACTTGTCAATGTCGTCATTTCTTATTCCAAAGATTCATGAATTTATGCAAATTTATACAAATGTTCCCAATCAACAAGGACGAATGGAATTATTTTATATTTTTAATGACAGATCAATTTATATAAAAAAAACTTTAAGAAAGAGGCCGAATGGTAATAATCTTGGCCGGCCTGAATCAAGTGGAGGTTTTCTCACCCCACCAACACCTGATTTTTCCTCTACCCCCTACCCCCCAAACCAACTAACTAACAATAAGTATATTTTATATTTTCTCAAAATGTGTTTGTATTTGTAATAAAAGTTAACTATGAAAAAAGAATTTCAATTTTCATGAAAAAAGGATCGAGTTTCATGAAAATCTTTCTCCTACAAAATGTAATGAGCGATTTAATAATTGGGCTGAATTCCATTGAGCCCCGATGCAGCCGCGAGAGTCGATTCGAGCGGGTTGGATCTCGACCTCGTGCGTGATCGGGCAAAATTTCCTCAATTATTAAATTAAAGTTACGATATTTTGCAGAAATAATTAACTGATTAAATAAATCATAGTTTGTATTTAGTAAAAAGAGGGACAATTCTGATTGACTGATTCAGTTAATTAAACACTTTCTTAAATAATTTGCTCAACAAATATGAGCAGCTCGAGTGAAAAGGAGGATTCATTTCTCCACCAAAATCATGTCGGCGGGGGGGAGTCGAGTGGGGGCAGTGTCGATGGGGACATGGAAGGTATTATTATTTGATTTATTGCGGAGTTATCAATATTTCTACAAAAATTTTGCGTTTTGTTACTAAATTTAGAGAGGAAAGGCGGCGTTTTAATTATAACCGACAACGTCCATTTATTTAAATTGTATTTTACAGTTGAACCTGACATCTCGATCGAGACGGCGGTCAAACTGGCTGAGTTTTTACAGACTAAAAGGGCCGAAATTAGTACCAGTCTGTATGAAAAGTACGGGCCTGTGGAGCAGACTTTGAATTCATTTAACCATTTTATGAAGTTTACCCTTCCCGACATTATTTGTAAAAATGGAACCTTCCAACATGAAGAGATCCTCCAGAACGTCAAGGTCCTCTCTCCACAATCATTTTTTGTTGACTTGTTCATAATTTAAATAATTTTGTTCCCCATCTTTCAGAAAATTCATCTCGTCAGCGCTGTTCAAGTTAGTATGCCAAGTTCTAATGAAATAATACGAGAAACGCAGAGGGGGGAGAGATATTTGTTGTATCCGCATGAATGTCGAACCCGTGGATTGTCATATACTCGACCCATCAATGTCACTTTTCTCCATAAAGTCTTCAAAGTGGATAGCTGTGGAGGTCAGACGATCGACCGATGTTCAAGGGATCCCATCAACATGGGAGAAATCCCCATCATGCTCAAGTCCGAGCTGTGCAGCTTGCATGGATTTGACAACGAAGAACTCGTCGCTCACAATGAGGATCCGGACGATCCGGGAGGATATTTTATCATCAACGGGAAGGAAAAGGTATGTCGATAAGTAGAAAAGATTGGCAATGAAGGTCTCTCAGCGTGTGCTCTCCGATTTTGATCAAGTTAGTGTTAATTTATCAGAAATTTAATTAGAATGAAATTAGTGAAAGACGCGATCTCCCAATGGGCACGTTTGGCAGAGATATTTGCATCCGAAGAGGAGAAAACGCGCCTTAAAGTCGTCAAGTTTTACACTTTCCAAATTTACTGCGCGTAGATCTACTCTTCTGATGCAAATATCTCTGCCAAACGTGCTCATTGGGAGATCGTATCTTTTTCAAATTTCATCCTAATTAAATTTGTAATCAATTGACACTTATTTGCCCAAAATCGGAGAACATACCCTGGGAGACCTCCATTATTACGAACGAATAAATTCTATGCTAACTCCAATTTATATTTACCTACCAAAATCTAGGTCTTAATTTCCCAAGAACGACTCGCCAGCAACCAAGTCTTTGTCTTCAAACCGATGCAAGCCGCATCGTTCGAATTGCAAGCAGAAATTCGCTCATTTGCATCTCCCACATCGGAAGAAGTGAACGCTTTGTGGATAACGATCCCAAAAAACCCGAATTCTTCATCCGTCAACACGATCAATCGTACCTCGACAAAAAAACCGGACGAGCAAAACTTCACCACAGATTTAATTAATGACGGCTGTTACATCAAACCGATCGGTCTCGGGGTTCCGAATTATATCCAAAAGCACAAACCCCTCCTCGAGAAAAAGTTTCGACAACGCAAACCCGGACTTGTCGTCGAGCACGTGGAACTCTTGGATTCTCTTCCGCTCAAAGTGCTGTACAAAGCGTTGGGCTATTTTGACGATGAATCAATTTGGAAAACTTTTGGATTCACGGACAACGAGGGGATCGAGTTCCAAGAAGTTTTAACAAGTACAATGGATAATTCTGTAGCTGCAAGTTTAGAGACGCAGGCAGAGGCTATCATTTTCATAGGTAATAAGATAACCTAGGACTTGATAAATCATTGCTAAAATCATCAAAATCAGCACATTTTTGATCATTTCTCCGCTCTGGAAATTATTTTAAAATTCTGGGCGACAAATTTGTAGTGCAAGAGTTGCCATTTTTTAAATATACACTCCAGACTTTGACACTTTTTGAAGGAGAAGATCTCGTGTTTAGAAAGTCTTCAGAAAAATTGGAACTCGTAGAAACTGGCCCAAAAAATTCACCGCCATTCCATTATGCAACTTGCTGACTGCAAATTTTCCCTCCAGAATTTTAAAATAAATTTCCAGAGTTGAAAAATGATTTAAACAGTATTGATTTTGACGATTTTAGTGCAGGGTCATCGATATGCATCTGATTATTCTTCATAAATACGACTTTTTCCACATAGGAAAGTTACAGAAGAGGAAAGAGAGGCTACAAAATGCTCACTTGCTCTCGACCGACGAACCTCCCCCGCGTCGAATTGTGACCCACGAAGAGCACCACTTGGCCGGTGAGATATTCATCAACGAGAAGGTTTTACCACACGTTGGCGTCGAATCAAATTCGAGAATTCGCAAAGCACTCCACATCGGTTACATGGTAAACCGTCTCATCAAGACGCAGGCCGGCCGGATAGAGTGTGACAATCGGGATCATATCCAGAACAAACGGTACGATTTAGCGGGACCATTGATGTCCAGCTTGTTGAAAAAGTGAGTCGATTTTAATTTTCCGATTCAAAATAAACTCAGTTTTCTAACCCTGAATAAAAATGTTAATTTTTTATTTAGAGTGCTGCACCAGCGGATGCAAGGAATGCTGCTACAGATTATTCGGAAAATTGAGACCGGGCGGAATTATGACTTTTTCGAGGAAGTCGGTCCATTTTACACGTTGACGGAAGGATTTCATTACGCTTTCATGACCGGAAATTGGGGCATTAAACGGATGCCTTCCATGCGTGTGGGCGTAGCGCAGGTATGTTTTTTTTGTAGACATTGGCGACGGAAGCAGGGGGATAATGTCCCCACAGAAATCCGGCGAAATCGTATCTTGCCCATTTTAATTTTAAGTCCAATCCCACAATGTTAATGTTCCCATATGTTCCACAACTTCCGCCGCCACTATTCGCAGATGTGTGTCGCACTAATCGATAAATACTAATTTGTCCTCTCTGTCCGCCAAAAGGTGCTATGTCGACTCAACGGGATTTCGACGCTCAGTTACTTACGTCGGGTCAACTCACCATTCAACCGACTTGGCAGGATGACTGATCCTAGGATGGTGCACAACACGGCTTTTGGCTACATTTGTCCCGTCGATACCCCTGAAGGTGAACCTGTCGGATTTCTTAAGCAGTTATCCATCATGGCGCATGTCTCCGTGGATGCGGAGATTTCTCCCATTCGACGATGCTTGAGGGAGATGAATGTCAATCAGCTTGATGAAGAAAATGATCACTTATTAGCGACGTGAGTCTTCATTAATTGCGAAAGACTCGATGCCAAAATCAGCACATTTTTAATCATTTCTTACAAATTGTCAGCTCTGGGAATTTATTTTAAAATTCTGTAATTCTAAAATTTTAAAACAAAATTGTAGTCAGTGAGTTGATTAATAGAATGGGATGAATTTTTTAAGCCAGTTTCGAAGAGTTCCAATTTTCTGAAGGCTTCTTAAACTTGAGATCTCCTCCTTCAAAAAGTGTCAAAATCTGGAGTGTATATTTTTACAAAATTGGCAATTCCCTGCTCTACAAATTTGTCGTTCAGAATTTTAAAATAAATTCCCAGAGGCGAGAAATGATTAAAAATGTGCTGACCTTGGCGATGAGTCATCACATCCTACGTTAATTACTTCTAGGTACATATTAAAAATATAATTATTAGGGAGACGAAAATCTTCATCAACGCCTCCCTCGTAAACACCTGTCCCCCTGGCGCCGCGTCAGACTTGCTCGTCGAGAAACTCAAAGCCCTCAGAAGAGCTTGGGATCCTGACCGGTACCAGGAGTACTTATCAGAATTCCACAGGATGCGCTCAGAACGCGAACGGGAAAACAAAAAGAAGGGTTTAGAACGATCCCTTGGCGTGGCTGAAGTGGAAAAAGAAGTCCGAAAGAAATTGAACTTTTCATCCATGATGAGCAATCAAATTTCAATCGTTCGAGATTTCTCGCGACGTGAAATTCGAATCAGGACGGATGCAGGGAGATTATTGCGCCCATTGTACGTCGTTAAAGGGAACCTGCTCAAGTTGCATGGACACGTCGGAATACTGAACGGAAATAATTCCGTTGTCAAATTCGAGTAATTATTCATTATTAATTAAATCACGGGAAATTGTAACTAATTAAATTCCCTATTACTTTTTTTAGCTGGCCTAAACTTCTCAAAGCTGGAGCAGTTGAATTTCTTGACGCCGCCGAAGAAGAAAATGCAGTTATTGCGATGCATCCCAGAAATCTGATACCCTCCAAGGATCCAGACTCCCAGACGTCTCAAAATACTCTAAAGTTATCGTACACTCACTGCGAAATTGATCCGAGTGGTACACTCGGCGTTTGTGGGGCTATTATTCCATTCGCCAATCATAGTCATAGCTGTCGACTAACATTTCAAGTGGGTTGAGACATGGTTTGAAACGTGGGTTCGATTTCGGAAAACGGGGGAAGAAATCTCCCGGAAAATTTCAACAGTCCGTAACAAATTTACCCTAAAAATGCTGGGAAATTCCCTTAAACTTTCAAAATTTCTCCCCCTTTCCCGGCAGCAAACGTTTGCACTACAAATCGAACCTACAGTTTGAAATACTTTTAATTTTGGGTTTGAGGGCTAAATTTTAAATTGTTTTCAGACAAACATTGCAAAACAATCTGTAAGTACATATTTTTCTTTGGCGTCATACAAATGTAAATTATTGCGAATTAATTTTACAGCTTGGCGTCTACGCGCTCAACTATCAGTCCAGATATGACGTGGACTGTCACGTCCTTTACGGAGGACAACGGCCTCTCGTCACCTGCAGAGCAGCCGCAGCCTTTGCCGGATTTGATGCCAATCCTTCGGGTCAAAATGCTATCGTGGCGATTGGTTCGTACACCGGGTACAATCAGGAGGACAGCCTGATTATGAATGAGAGTGCCATTCAGAGAGGACTCTTTCGCTCGATGAACTACAAAACTAAGGACGACACGGCAAAAACAAATCGAGGATTTGGCGACGAGGCAAGTTTTTTGTGATTTTGTGTTGTACAGATAGACAGAAATTGTTAAGTTGACATTTTTTTTGCAGAATGAAACGTTTGAAAAGCCTGACCATAAAGAAACCGGAACTTTTCGAGGGGAACGAACTAAAATTTTGGATGAGGATGGCTTACCATATGTCGGAGAGGAAGTCAGAGACGGAGACTTGATCTTTGGTACGTTAAAATAGAGTATTTTGAGCTCAGTTCTTCCCCGGGTTTGGATTTCCTGGGCTGTTACACCCACAAAAAACAAAAATCTAGATGGAAACAGCAGTAATACTAAAATACAGGTTTTGTGAAGAAATTAACATTTTATCGATGTCAAACTACATTGTTTTCACGATCTTTTAAAAATAAAGTATTTTGATAAGGATAAAAAGTAAATTTCTTCAGAAAACCTGAATTTTCGTACGACTGCTGTCTTCTCCACGCAGATTCTCGTCTTTTTGTGGGTGCAACAGCATTGGAAATCTAAACCCTGGCAAGAACGGAACTCAAAATACTGTAAATACTTTGACAAAGTACTTTGCCCACCTCCGACTGGGTGCATTCTTTTAGAATTAAATTATTTGCTATCAAATTGTCGCTTTTTTTGCATAAAAATTCCAGGAAAAGTACAAAACATACCCAATCGTGAAAAACAAGAAGGCAAAGAAGGCTGCAGCAAAAGGGATGTTTCTCAACCCATTCGGATCCCTTGTCACTCAGTTTCTTACCATGCTGGCAAAGGCGAACCCACTAAGAAAGACCCCATCAACCCGTCACGAACCATGGTCGACAATGTTGTCGTGTTTGACAACGAGAGTGGATACCGATCATGTAAAGTTCGCCTCAAAACGGTTCGATGTCCTCAAATTGGGGATAAATTTGCGTCAAGACATGGTCAAAAAGGAGTGATTGGTATCACGTTACCCGAAGTTGTAAGCTGCTTATCATCGTCAATGCGATGTTATGTTATCTATTATCCTAAATTTATGTTTATTAATTAATTTATTAGGACATGCCTTTCACCAAGGATGGAATTGTGCCCGACATAATAATCAATCCGCATGCAATGTAAGATGATTTTTTATACCACGTGACGGTAGTCAAACTATAATCTCGTCTATGTTTTTTACAGTCCTTCTCGAATGACGATTGGTCATTTACTGGAAATGTTGGATGGAAAAGTTTCTGCATTGGCAGGCAAAATATCGGATCGACCTCCGTTCAGTGCTTACGATGAATTTGAGAACGGATTTGGATTGGATTTGACCGCACAGCTTGAAACGGAGCTGAGGAAACGAGGATTCCAAGGGTCAGGATATGAAGTCTTGTACTGTGGACATACAGGAAAGAAGATTAACGTGCAATTTTTTATTGGTCCGTGTTACTACCAGGTAGTGAAATTCACTAGAATTTGCGTCCTTTCTTTTTCCTGTGAAAAAATCTCTGAAGCATTTACTTCCTATATTTCAGCGTCTTAAACACATGACCATTGATAAATTACGGTTCAGAGCTAGAGGCCCCATTTCGGCGTTAGTGAGACAGCCAAACCCTGGAATTTCTCGGTAATTATCCATCATAAATTTAATTTATTACCCTGATTGATTACATTATTGACACTTGAATTTATGTAAATTAGTCGCTTGTTTTGTTTGTATCGTCATTTAAAAGTTTACCTAGCCATTTAAAAATTTACCAACGTTAATTAACTTTTTACAGAGAAGGTGGCTTACGTTTCGGGGAAATGGAACGCGACTCAGCCATAGCTCACGGTGGAATGCAATTTCTTCGGGAACGACTTTTCCTCGTGACTAATAATTTAATTACTGTACTAATCATCCATTTTTAGTTAATAATTGTAATTAAATTTCCCCCCTCAGGTATCCGATTACTACACGACGCCAATCTGTCACACTTGTGGTCAAGTCTTGACGCGTGAAATAGTTCATACCGTAGATCAGGTCAAGTTGCGGGAGGAAGGAGCAAAAACATATCAATCTACTTTTAAGTGTATGACTTGCAAATCTCAGAAGGACAGGGTAACTGATTTATCTTCAAGTTTTGTCATTTTCGGCGTCAAAGGTTTTCATATCAGAAAAATTAATCAAAATTTATATAATTATGCAGGGCAGCCTTGTCGAAATGCCGTACGCTACAAAGTTATTGTTCCAAGAACTAATGTGCATGAGCGTAAGGGTTGTGATTCTTCCGATCGAGTTGGAAATGAATGACATTGTAAGCTTTAGTATGTACTATTTAACGTAGGACTCGATGGTTCATCACAAAAATCGACAGTTTTTAATAATTTTTCGGCTCCGGGAATTTATTTCCAAATTCTGAAGGACCGTAGTCAGCAAATTGATTAATAGAATTGTAGTATTTTTTAAGCCAGTTTCGATAAGTTCCAATTTTTCTGAAGGCCTCTTAAACTTGAGATCTCCTTAAAAAAGTGTCCAAATCTGGAGTGTATATTTTTTTAAATTGGCAACTCCCTGCTCTACAAATTTGTCGTCCAGAATTTTAAAATAAATTTCCAGAGCCGAGAAATGATTGACGATTTTGGCTATAAGTCACTGAGCACGGTTGCTTGACACTGTAATACGGTTGCGACAAATGAAGCATTTCGAAAAAAAAATCATTTTTGAAATCGTTGGTACTTTTGCGATGGTAAAAAGTACAAAAAAGTACCAACGACTTTGACCTCGAATAACTTTTGAATAGGCAGAGATAGGGACTTACTTCTCAAGGATGAAATCAACCTAATTTTTAGCTTGATTTTTTAAGCTAAAAATCTCGAGTGTACTATTTCGGAAAATTAAAACGTTTATTTCGAAGAATATCTCTAAAATTTAAGTTTTTCAGGAATTTTACAGCCAATTCTTATCTCACAAAATTCTATAATATACCAAAATGATCTAGACCGATCGATTGACACCCCACTGGAGGGTGTGAGATAACTTGATCCAGATTTGACCTAGGGGGTCATCTCAATCCTCCAACTTAGCAACGGTCCACTCACACCATTTTTTCAGTACATAATAATTTCTTCAAAAATGAAAATTTGTGTTGGAAACAATTCATTTGTCGCAACATGGTTAGAAGTGTAAAGTTGTCAAGCAATATTGGTCACTGAGTCCTATTTACGTTGCTAATTGTCAATTTTATCTGCAGTATGAAAAAGAATGCTCTACTTCTTAACCTTTCCTTCAGGTACAAGGAACCATATCCTTTGGTCATCAACCGCGCGAAAACATGGTGAACATGATTTCCGCCGATATGACTCAACTTTGGAATGACGTGCAACCCACCGGAAATCCCGTCGATAATGATGACCGTGCCTCCAGTCCTGCTGTCGTCCCTGGTGGCCGTGACCCCAATCCTGCTGTCGTCGCAGTTAATGACTCTGACCAAGAGCTGAGTATTCCACCTCTAGAAGAAGATATCACCGAAGATTTTCCTGGGTTGTAGTTTAGTACGTCGTAGTTTAGCAAATGTTGTTATTTAAAGCTTTCTCTGTGACCTTTGTTTTTTTTCAGTATTGACATAAACAAAATTCCTGTATTGGGATTTCTTTCTTATTACAATTACGTAATGTGTATATACAACTATACTTTAATTATTGCACGATTGTAGAGGCATCTGATCTCTTGGGCATTCGTCCCAGTTGCACTCCAAGTAGCAGGAGAGACGTTGACAATCCGGAATTGGGATTCGTCCCAGGGTTGAAATTGGATTCGTGGCGATACCCATTCTGTCAAAATCACTGGGTTTCAAAGGTTTCACCGGAGTTTCATAAACCTCTTTGGGATGCATGCTAGAATAATTTAGGGTAAATTTAGGGTGCAAATTACTTCTCGTATTAGTAATAATTTACATACATGAAACATTCTTGATACATGGTCATAATATCGTAAGGATCGGCCGGGTTTAAAATTTTCTTCACTTTGCATACCGGCGGTGTAACGAAGCACTCATATCCTCCGTACCTAGAAGAATAATTAGTTAATTAATATACATCCTTAATTACGGGAAACGATCACACATTTTCAAAATTTTCAGTAAATTTCAACTACCCAGGAATCATTCTGTCGTAGGGTTGTCGCAACATATTTTTCCGAACCAGTTCAAGATTTTCTTTGGTTGGTAAATCATGACCTTCGGGACATCGAGCATACCTAAAAAATAAATTATCAACATGATATTTATCCGTTCTTGGCGTTTGACTCCAGTGGTCGCGGAAGCGTGTGGATGTGGACAGAGGGGGGCAATGTCCCCACAGTTATTCGATGTCCGCATCATCTCCCCATATTATATAAACCCGTCCCTCCCCTATCCTACAATGTCAATGTCCCCACAGCTTCCGCGACCACTTTTTGACTAACTTTGCTCGACAAAGCCGATGTTCCTGGAAGTACGAGTCGTGCCCAAGATCAGGTCTGTTGTACATGGTGTCACACCTCCCAGCCATCTTTCGCACTTGAGGTCGATCCCATTTTTCGAACACTTCGCCCAAATTCATCATGGCGAAAGGGGCAAGTTCTGCAGCGCGGGCGAGCTGCGTGCATAATTAATTACAATTACTCATTTGCATTTAAAATACATAGTTTTTCAACTAAATTACCGGATCGCCCGGTGGTCTCTCTTGCGAGCTGGCTGGCTTTTCCAGCACTGCGAGTGGGAGTGGCGCCCCATCTTTGTTCATTTCGCGATAAGTCGTTGACCAAATGTACTTTCGTACGATTCCTTTCCGACAATCGTCCGTCTCCTGCATCGCGTACCGTTTCTGGTCTTCTTGCAGCTGTTCGAGAGCTGGGCGTGGGCGACAGGGTCGAAACCGAGCGGGAGGGTTTCCCGGTGGGCAATTGGTCAATTGCTGACCGTCTCCGCAGCACGGCATGGTGGGGATGAGTGGGTAAATTAGTCGGATATGTTCTTATCTAGAGATAAACAAGAAATTAGATAATGTTAAGTCAAATTTAAAGTGTAAACTTACCTGTATTTCAGGTGAATGCATGCAGAAACAAGGGTATGAAGTTTGGTCGATATTTTGCATAATCAAAATCGGCAGTTACACAATGAAATTTAATACTTTTCCATGTAAACAAATATTTCACTAGATTTTCATAAAAATCACTTATCAAAGAGTGGGGCTTATCGCTCACCAAAAATTGAAGTGATTATTTTACATACGTTAAAAAACCAGGTGGACTGCATTTATTAAATACAAAGCTTACTTACAACTTATTTATTATTTACGATGAATAATTAACTGACTCACTATTACTTTATAGAACATAGAACTAGATCATACATAGCACTAGATTAATCGTATTTACTTATTTAATTAAATGACAAACAATTCTAAAAGCAACCAGGATAAGGGTCCACCCTATTTTTTCTCATCACCAATTGAATCTTTCTGTTCATATCTTCACTGTAAATGGCGACACACTTTTCATAATTGATTCTTCGCCTTACTTGGCACGCCTTTTCGTGATACCGTGTCCTCCGGTACTGGTCGAGGTGACCTTCACGCCCCATTATTCGATTCAATAGACGCATCGCCTCGTCCACGTTTTCATTCCGAACGAGAACCGTCCTCGCGATGAATTTTGTATGCATGTTGAGAACCATTGTTGCGACGAGGGGGGTCAACAATTCCCTAAAAAACACATAAAATAATTAGTTAATTAGATGATAATTAATTAACCCAAACTGTGACAAATTGATCACAAAAAACTTGTAACATAATAAGTTTTAATTATAAATTCTATTTACCAATTAGTCCACGCTCAACTTTGACTTAAAATTGGTCGACTTCTTCTCAAAATAAGACAATGTCAATCTCAATAATTTTGAATTAGTTTAGAAATTTTAGGAAATTTTATTAAAAAAATGTTCAATGTTCACACCGGAGATGCGAATTTCGTTCAGTTTTGTATGTCTATTTACCCCACAGATTTCGTGTTCGTCTGATCTCAAAATTTTGATTTGTTGTGCTAAAGTTGGTTAACGTTTTTACGTTATTTTATTTTTCGTAGTTTTTGTTAAAACTTATTTTTAATTATTTGAAAAGTCTCGTAATTTTATACCAATTAGTTGTTAGAATCTTTTATAACAAACGTGCCAAATGAAGTGAAATTAATCAGCCAGTATTATTACTGAAATTTTGTGGTGGAGTAATTTTTTATGGGTGTGACATTACATTTAATTAACTTACAGTCATTTATTTTGCATTATAATTAACATTAGTATTTCTAAATTACAGGATTTTTACCACTTGTTGAACTAAAAGACCATCTGCTAAGCAAATTCGGCTTGGATTTTTAGGAGTCTGCATGAAATAGTGATTGGAGTAATTTTTTATGGGTGTGACATTACATTTAATTAACTTATTTAAATCATTCATTGTACATAATAATAATTAACACTAGTATTTCTAAATTACAGGATTTTTTTCCACTTGTTGAATTAAAAGACCATCTGCTTGGATTTTTGGAGTGAAAGTCTGCATGAAAAAGTTTCACATTTCTAGTTTCACCAACCACTCACTTTCACCGGAAATAAAAGACGTTGACGACTTCAAGCAAGCAAAATGACGACACACAATGATAACCCTCTTTTGGAACTCTTCTCTAAATATTTCGTACTGCTAACTATTTTTCATACGGCCTCCTGCCAAACTCCGGAGCAAAATCGGAGTCACTCCTTCGACTTTGGAGATTTTCTCGCTATTGTTATCATAATGGTTTTAATGTTCGGTGGGGTTTGTGCTTGTCTTGGAAAATTTGCAAGGGTTCGTTCTGGACAGATTTGATAAGATAAATTAATTACTTGGTGAAAAACGAGTCTCTAAAAAAACCTAAGATCTGCTGACGCGACTGATTTCTATTTTATTGTTTGCACAGTTAATTTTACAATATTTTACAATTAATGAATTCACATTATATACCAACCACATACCATATTTTCTTGACAATCTTATACATATTTCTAACAATGTAGTGATAAGTTATCACTGATAAAGGCTATTAATACCAAAAATATTTAATAAAAAACTTTTAAAAAATCATCAGATTTCGACAGTTGTAATTTTCTCTACTTCATCACCACCAGCGCCATCGGGAACATCTTCTTTTTCCAATTTTGTCCCAATTTCTTCACAATTTTCTGCTCCGGATTTCTCACCACCAACGACGATCGTCCTGTTCTTGGTTATCTTTGGTTTTTGCTTCACCGGAAACTCCGTACCTTCATATCTTTCCGCTGCCTGCCATTTCTTCTCCGTATCCAGATCGAAATCGAACGGTTTTTCAACATTCATGTTGAACAGGTCACGTTCATAAGCTGTAGTCATCAACAGTATTAACTTTAAAGCATTATAATGACGTAAAACTAAAATAAAAACGCACTATCGATAAGCTTCAAGTTTCCGGGCAACTTGGCTCTAGCTTCATTCAATGTTTCGCGACACTTATCCGCATTTCCCAGGAGAAAGAGGGCCTTCGCCAAAAACATTCGTCCCCGGAGGGAATGTTCCTCCAGTCGCAACGCCTTGTCGCATTCTTCCACAGCAGAGGAATAAAGTCCCAATCGGAGATATGTCAAGGCTCGATTGTTATACAGGCAGGGAGAATCCCTGATTAGTTTTATGGCCTAATACATAAATGCACAAAATTACATCACATTTTTAATCATCATTCTCGCCTCTGGGAATTTATTTTAAAATTCTGGACGACAAATTTGCAGTCAGTGAGTTGATTAATGGAATGACGCTGAGTTTTTTAAGCCAGTTTTGATGCGTTCCAATATTTCTGAAGGCTTCTTAAACTTGAGATCTCCTCCTTCAAAAAGTGTTAAAATCTGGAGTGTATATTTTTTTAAATTGGTAACTCCCTGCTCTACAAATTTATCGTGCAGAATTTTAAAATAAATTCCCAGAGCGGAGAGATGATTTAAAATGTGCTGATTTTGACAACTTTATCAAGTCATGCATATGTAAATATTTCTTTTATCGTCATTCTCACCTCATTATAATTTTTTAACGCTCCTGCAAAATCCTTCTGCCCAAAGAGAATGTTCCCCTTCTTCCGGAACTTATCCGACTCCACTTTCCTCTCCTTCCGGTCTGCCGTCCTTCGTTCTACGTCCTCCTCCACGGACCGCATGAAGGCCTGAGTACTCAGCTCATCCTGACTTTGACCTCTATTTTCCTCCTTAACTTTGTTTATGACGCTGCGATCCTGCGTCACCTGGCAGGCAAGGTCACACCCCCCAACGTTCTTCTCATGAAGGAGGATGTCCGCTTGGCGAATGCCTAATTCAAATTTTTAGTCAAAAAAGGTGACAAAAAAATCAAATTTCAAGAAAACAGACCTCGTTCATTCTCAGCCGGATCGGTGGAAGCGAGTGCGCTTATCACAGCCGTGATTTCGTCCACTCTGCCTAGAAAGCTGTTCAACTCGGTGTCCTCTTTGAGCCTGGTGGGGGTCTTGTCGAGGTCAAGGTCGAAATCGCCGGAACCGCAGTGCTCTGGATGACTCGAGCTCGTCGCCATTTTAATTAATTGCTTAATTAATTGATAATAAGTTGTGGATTGGATGCACAAAAGGAGAGGAGACACAAAATAATGTGAAAATGACTGAAAGTTTGAGTTTGCAGGAAGCAAATTATTGAACAAACTTTGTATGAAAAGTTGTCATTGGAAACTTGCCATTCCACGTTGGGTTGAACATTTCTATGAAATTACAAAAGTTCTCAGAAACACTTATAATTTGTAAAATAAGGGGATCAATTAAAACTTATTAATTCCAATTAAATTGTAGCATTTCACTGTATGCACATATTTAATCTAGATAATTCCTTGTTATAACAGGCATTGCTAACTTGCAGGAATGACTTGGTGAATGCTGTCTCTCTGAATTTCTTTCTATTCTATGGGAGAATGTGGGCGAAATTCATAATACTTATTTTATAACGTGCCAAATTACAAATTACTAGGAATTAAGAATTCAATTATTGTGCGTATTTTTAATTAGAGAAATATTTTATCACGATTTGTTACAATAATTTGATATTAAATGCATGGTGGTATTTTAAATATGTACGAGCCTGTATTACATATTCTTATTATAAAATGTACAAGGAATCGAAATCTAACACAACAAATACACCACAAATATTTTACAAATTATACTACACAGTTGAACAAATTGATATTTTTCCCCGTAAAATAAAGAGATTCTGTGGGTAAAGTTTTGGTGTCATCTCATGCGATCATTGCCAATATTTCTGCCAACTCATTTAGAAACATTTCCTGAAAATCCCAACGCAAAAATCATATTTACTTATCCGAATTCGAACCTTGTGGCAAAGGTAATATAATAAATTAAATTAAAACTTGCCTCTTTCGGAGAATGTCTTTCGGGCTGGAATGAACAAACAAGGAGATCATTATCTAAATTTTAGAATGCGAATGTAAATTGAGTCGTTGTCTTACCCAAAATTCGAATAATCCATTTACCACCCGTTCAGCCAATGAAGCATCCTTTTCGACAAATTTGACGACACAAAATGCCAGTTGAGAGTGGTAGACCGAGAGACAATTCATTTTGTGCAATGGTAGCAGCACGTCGAAAAGAGAAGCAATGTGCTCCTCCCTCAACGGGAGAGCTAATCCGTTGATGATGCTGCAAAATTAATAAAAATTGATTTGCGAAAGTGACACTTAAGGTGGAATAGCATGCTGGCCAATGCGGGTTTAGAGTTTAAATTGTTGTGTCTCAACTTTCCCTTCCTCCATGTATTCAAATGGCGATTTTGAAACATGTTTGTCGCCGTTCGTTTTTTACAATATGAAAATTTTAATGCACCTAAAAATCGGTAATTTTTATGCTTACAAAGTTAGGAAATAAAAATTTTGATTTGTTTTCTTCAATGAGGAAATATTTAATTTTTATTGTTTATTTTTCATCTATTTTATATTTATCTTCTGGTTGAAGAAAAAAATCAAAATTTTTATCTCCTAACTTTGTAAGCCTAAAAATTACCGATGTTTAGGTGCATTAATATCTTCATATTGTAATCAAAGAAACCCAAAAAAGGAAAGCTTAGATGAGACTAAGAAGTGCGATAAAAAGTATTTAATAAATTTCTTCTTAATGAAGGACATAGAATTTTAATATTTCCAGTATCAGTGCCCCAGTATATTTTCAGTATAGAATGATAAAGTGTCAAATAATATTGAGATAATATTTTGACCACCATCAAAACTTTCTCAGTTTTAAACTGATTTTCGGGATTTTAATTTTGTATTTTTATAAAAAATATGTATCAACTTTTTGCTCATTTACATTTAGCATGAAGGCCTTCATTTTTTTCTAATCTCAAAAAAACACATTTTCGATGGTGTTTTTCCTGCATATCTCAGGAACAGGGCACTATTCCAGCCTCCTGGTCGACAGTTCAATTCTAATTTGCCATAATTGACTCTGGACACTAATTTCATTAAAATCGGGTGGAAATTGACCTAGATCTGAAAAAATTAAGCTTTTCAAAACCGTAGTGATTGCTTACTTAGATGATTTTTTTCCTGCAGTAACTATAGCCTCATCTAAGAAAAACGAACGGCGATGAACAGGTTTCAAAATCGCCATTTGAATATATGGAAGAAGGGAAAGACGAGGCACAATAATTTAAACTCAAACCCCGCATCCAATGCCACGTTAATACTATACTGATAATACTAACCTCGCCTGTATTTCTAACATTTCTGCGATCCCATTGTGACGTTCAGTTTCGTAAATGGAGTGATGGAAGATATTATAAACCTGCTCTCTGCAATGGATAGATTCTGTTAGTAATTTTTCTCGCAGCTTAATTTATTTGGTACAAATCACAAAAATTGCTTCAGTACCGGATGTATCTTCGGAGATTAAGGAGTTTTGCATAAATCTTGTGATTGGTTAATTTTACAAATTCTCGTTCTCTTGAATCTTCAGCGTTATATAAATCCAGTAACTAAATATAATGAGAATCTCATTATGAGATACATACATATTTATATAAGGTAGCAGATAAATTTTAAACCAACCAATTTATTTTTTTGAAAGTACTTGCCTGTGACACAAACTCCTTATCTACATATTTCTCGGCTATACTAGGTTGAAAGTCAGGGGTTTCCAGAAACCTGAACATAATACCTTTATGTATAATTATAAGCAAATAAATATATATAGCGTAATAATTCTGAAAAAAAACCTACTTCAAAAACAATTCATAAACGAGTTGCAAATGCGGCCAAGCCGCGTCAAGCTGAAAAAAATCAAAGTCATTAACGTATTCATATACGGGATTAAACATAATTAATTAGCATAATTGTACCGTAGGCTTAACCTTTTCCGGTTCAAAATCTGTCCCGTTTGGACTCGACGATGGGGCCAGCGCCCGAAACACGTTGACGGAAAACTATTTAAGAATTGTACAAATCGTTAATGTAATGTAATAAATAATTGCATAGTTTTCGTTCAGAAATTTGACCCAATTTTCTGCAGAAAAGCGATTTGTACAAAAGCGATTTGCAGAATTATGCACATACTGTTCAGCAGAATAAAACGAATAGGAATTTTCTACAAGATTATGTAAAAAAAATATACAAAATACAAATATATCAAGCTTTTGTCAATTACTGCAGAATTCCACTCAATAACATAATAAAAAATAGAATGTCCACAACTTCTGAGTACCATGTTGACCGCTTCTGGATAAATAGGCTCTGTAATGACGCCTTCCTGGGTCGTAATGTATTCCACCATTTCTTGGAGTGCGCATCTTTTCACTTCTTTACATTTGAGGTCGGACTGCGAGTCAGTAACAAAATCAAACAGGACGCCACACTGTCGAAGTTTTTGAACAAAAAGCTCCTCCCTTTCCGACGCCGCCGCCGTATCTAAACCGCAACCAAATGACAATTATTTAAGATTAATAATACATAATTGGTTTGAATTGAGTTGTATATGAAAATGTGTACTTTTGAGCAGGGGAAGGGCTTCGAGTTCCTTGTTCTTTGACGGGGACAAGCTCAGCATTTTGCCATCTTCTTCCAAGCACGGGGCCCCAACGTACATTTCCATCTGGTTATAATAACTCTTTTAAATTGTATTCCCCCACGGATAAATAATAATTATTACTTGACAGGACTTAAATATACCTGCTTTTTATGTTAAGGATGACCTCTTCTTCTTCGTTGTTTACTCTCTCCGTGAGCCCAGTTACATGCACCGTTCCTCTAAATCTAATTCGTTAAGTACCAGATCACCCTGTCCTGCAGGAACTAACCTTCTTGTCCTGCTGTAGTAAGATTCTTAATTGTTCTTAATAATCTATGTAAATATGTATTTACAACAGCTCGTCCGCTTTCCTTCTTCCAATGAGACGAATGTCGACGCATGGAGCAAAATGACGGGAAATTGTATCACATAATGTGATACACATTCAATGTCAGGATGAATCAATTCGTTTCCTAAAAAACACCGGCGTAGCCGTTAGTGATTGAAGAATCCTGATTCAATGTAATAATTAATAATTAATTATTAAACTATAATTATTATAGTTTAATTGTTAAATTAGCTATGTTAGCTCAGTTCCCGGGGATGGAAAAATCTGAACAAAAAAGAAAAGTGGTTTTTAACAGTAGCAATTAATTCACCAGACCTGCAACAATTTTAGCTAGATTTTTTTTAATAGTCATGATTCATTCATGATTTCGAATTTATATGTTTTTATGAGAAATTAATGATATCCATTTAATTAATACAATTTTTACAATGCCTCAATTTAACTAATGAGACAGAATCACAACGTTTTTCATATAACAAGGAAACGTTTTAATAAACAAATTCATAGTTTACTTATGTACATATGTGGCTACATTTGCATGTATCTTTAATCCTTATGCAACTCTTTAACGTCACTACTAAAAATAATGCGAAATAGGTTCTAAGGTTATTATTATGGGCAAAAATAGTGAGTCAAACTAGCAATTTCTGTGGTTTAAACGGATCAAAATATTTACATTTTTTCCCCACGAATGATAAATCATTCACGAGTGAAAGGTTATAGTTAACAATTCCCAGCTAAAATTTTAAGCATAATGTGTCGTGTCTCCGAAATGTGTATTTAATTCGTGGTGGACACAAAAACAAGTTTTTTTCTGTACAATAATTGCCAAGAACTGTGCAAAAATCATGTGATCAATTTAAGAGGATCGCTGGTCAAGGCATTATATGCTAATTATAACATGACGCATAGGTCACACCAGGGGTCAAAATTCCCCAAAAGTCAATCACATCCTTTTCGTACGACTTCCTAACCCAGTGAAATTATCCGACTAACAAAAAACCAACTCGAGGTTTAGTTTCCTTTTTCAGCTAATGAAATTCATTCCAGACCAATTTCGCACCTCATTTGGTTCCATGTTCTACACGGATATTAAAGATTGAGTCAACAAGTGCAATTATTTGCACATCTGCACAATTAGGAATCATCCCATCTTACTATGTTATTATTATCGTCTGCTGCTCTTTTGCCACGCTTGACACCACGCTAACATGCATAAATCATGGTTCATCTTTATGGCGTTGTTAGATATGAATTATGCAATAATTTCTCGTGAGCTAAATAAACTGCGACTGCACAATTTAGAATATGCAAAATAGTGTCAAATTATGATAAATATTTAACCAGTAAAAAACGGGGTAAAATTACTCACACTTTTTATTTAAAAATTGTCGTGCAAATTTTTGCACACATGCAAAATTAGGTACAATACGGCACCACAATTCTCCTCATTTCTCGTTAAACTTGCGACTGCACTATTTAGAATATGCAGAATTGTGTCAAATTATGATACATTTCTAAGTAGCCAAAAAAACTTAGTAAAATTGCTCACACTTTATATTTTTCGAGGTAATAATTGCCCAGCAAATTTTTGCACACATGCAAAATTAGGTACAAATCTCCAGGTGCTGGTCCATGCACTTTTTCCTCGTGCTACACCCCCCACGGGCAGTGAGTGAAGCGACCATGCAGAAAAACTTAATTAGACCTAATTTACGGCTTCCTGTCATTTTACTATTTATGTAAATGTGCTTGAAGGTGATGGCGTCGTCGTCGTGCACCAAAATTGGACCATCATTCTACATTCCAGTCTAGTTTCTGCGTAATAACGACTCCTATCCTAAATTGGACTTAATTTATCACCTTAAAAAACGGGAGAATTTAATTATCTGCACGATTACTTTATAAAGCATGCATTACTTTATTAATCAGACCACACTTGATTTTACCAAAGGCATTACATCACTACTAAAATTAACTAGTTGCGTATTTTACTAAGAAGCCGAATTGACATCATCATTTCATATCCTCCTCGCGAGTACGACAGGATTTTAAAAAGGAATATGCTTCACAAGCACAAAACAAAATGCATCTCTCTCTAAATAAAAAAAGTGACATCTTCTCCGGAGATGAGATTCATGCTCTCTCGCCCACAGCAAAACTAAAGCAAATGCATGCAGCAATACAGATACTTCCTAAGTAGTACTTAGTAAGTACTAATTACATCAATATCAATGTCACCCTGATCCTCTGGCTAAAATCGTGTCAGAATATTTCCCTCACAATGGAGCTCTCCCATCGTGTGCTCTCCGATTTTGAGCAAAGTAATGTCGATTGATCACAAATTTGAGCAGTATGAAATTTGCGAAAGACACGATCTCCCAATGGGCACGTATCTTAGCCAAACGTGCCCATTGGGAGATCGTGTCTTTCGCAAATTTCCTCCTAATTAAATTTGTCATCGATTGACACTAATTTGCTCAAAATCGGATCGCATACGCTCGGAGACCTCCCTTGTTAGTTCGTTAATGAGTCGGTTTTTAAAGAACAAAGCAAATAATTGACCAAATTGTACCACACAAACAATGTCACTTTCATCTTTTCCGTCGTAAGTAGTTTTACCAATTTTGTGGGTGAGACGACTTTCCGCCTCATTATTTAATTTAATGCGTAATAACTTCACTTCACTTCAACGTGGTATTCCCAATATTCGCAGAAATTCGCGAAATGTATGTAAAGTTGACAGACTTTTGACATGTTGACATTGATCCATTAATCCCTAAATGTATGTACATACGATAAAATTGTGAGGAACGTGACTGGTGTGAACGTTTGCAATTTTTTTAGCGACAAATATGGACAATTCAGTATGCTAATTTACAAAATATTGTATTCTGCGTTCCGGTCTGATTCTTGAAAAGGTTGATTTTTCGCGAAAACAGGAAAAACTCGAGGATATTTTGTTTCATTTTATGGATGCGAAATAATTTAGCATTTTTCAATCAATACTACAATTTCGTGACGTTTGACACGTAATAATCTCTGAGCGTCGTTATTAATTGCGAATTTGCGAATTTGACGGATTCTTTTTAATGAAAATGAAACGGAAAACAATCAAAATGTGGCATCTTGCAAGCCTAAAAATTAGTCAATATTAGTCAAAATATATTCAACGGGTGTGAAACTTGTCAATTTTTGGGAAACATAATTTTCGAAGAATTGACAAAAAGTAATTTAGAATCAAAGACAATTTCGTAACATTTGACACGTAACAATTTTTTAATAAGTTGTTGAAATAGTTTGCGAATTTTACGATATTTTTAAAATTAAATTAAGCAAGCGTTAAGAGCTACATCTTTCAAACCTGTAACTCGCTATTAATTCAGTCAAAATAATTTTATCGGATTTGAAGTTTATCAACTTCTGGGAAATTTTTCATTTTACTGAAAAATTATTAATTTACAATGAAAAATGGAACCGATACAGTCTTTAATACACCTGGTTTTCATTTTTTTAAATAAATTCAAGTAATAATTACTTATAATAATAATTATAAATTATTAAGTTATATATTATTAAGTTATTATTATTATATATTATTAATTATTAAGTTATATAATTAAGTAATAATTACTTTATTAATTATTAATTCCTCAGATTTAATTTTTTTCTCAAAATATTGCCAAAATTGATTAATTTTCACCTGTATTTATTCACACTTCTTTTTAAGATAACATTTTTACAAAGTCAAAAAATTCTTCTCGTGAAAGTTATTTAGTCTCTAGCCGGATCTTATATTTGCATAAATACATATTTAAATTAGTAAAAATAAGGTAGCGCAGAAAACCAAATATGAAAATAAGTAGGCGTCATTTAACTCCTTTCATTCAATTTTTTTCAATTGTTCATTTGTCATTACTCATTCAAGTCGGCTAATCAATTAAGCATGTGTCCACAAACTTTGTGGCAACGTGTTCTTAAAATTCACTTAAAATTCGTACATTCAATTATTTATAGTGCCCACTGGTGCAATACACTCTTAGAAATCCGGTATTAAAATAATACCAAACTGTTTTCATCTATGAATTGATATTGACAAGTAATACCTTGTAGTTATAGGTCGGTATTAAAGTTTTACCCTTTGGGTAGTAAATTTTTACGGACCGGTATAATTTTAACACCAAGCGGTAGCAACTTTAATACCGAGAAATCAATACCTGCCTGATTTCTAACAATGTAGAAATCCAGTATTAAAATAATACCAAGCGGTATTCATATATACCTTTACCAAGGCGGTATTGATAAGTAATATCGTGTAGTAACAGCTCCGTATTAAAGTTGTACTATTAATATATATCTTTAGCAAATTTCTATGGCCCGGTACAATTTTAATACCACGTGGTAGCAACTTTAATACCGAAAATTTAACACCCAGAGGTGGGAACTTTAACACAGAGAAATCAATACCTGCCTAACAAAACCCTAGTTCTAACAGTGTAAATACATACATGCTAGTAAAAAAAATGACATTTGGCAAGTTTCATATTCATTACCAACACCCACACCGCTCAAAAAAATGCTAGCTCTGATTTAATTACAATTACTCATCCATCCGTAACAACAATAACATCCTTTTTAAAATCCTTGTGGTTTTAGTTTTTTTTTGTTTGTCGACACGTCGTCTCGTCTCCCTGGCCTGGATCAGTTTCATTTCAGACTAAAAATATGTTCCGCTTATCAAATTATGGCATGAATAATATGCCACACCACCCAAAAATACGTATTTTATGCAGGTACATACGTGTGTACGTGAATCACCCCACATTTGCCACAAATGGCATGAATATATCCAGTCGCCGCGGAAGCCGTGGGGACATCTGGGGACATTTCCATTGTATGATAGGGGAGGAAGGGGTTTATATAAGATGGGGAGATGATGCGGACATCGAATTACAGGGGGGTGGGCATTGTCCCTCTGTCCACACGCTATCCGCGGCCACTGTACAAATCCAATCCACCCATAGTGGTATCTATCCAATCCACCCACCTGAATTTGCACATATGTCAAAGGTTCACAAATTGAAAATATGTATAGCAACGTGGCGAATTTATAGTAATGAGCAAAACGTAATCCGAGTCATGACTGGGGTACAAAAGTTTGCAAATTAAATTTATTTATCTTGCTTGCACCACCGAACTGTCAGCCAACCCTTTTCGCCATTCCATTGTGATTCAAATTAATTTTTGACTCATCCCACAACAACAACCAACTGTTAAAATATGTACAATACACAATTTTGTACGTGCGCTAAATAGTGTAAAATGGATATGGATGTATATAGGAATATGACTTTACGATCATGCTGGTGTGGCG